TCATTGACTTGATGTTGTAGTTCCTCAAGTGTCAGTCCACCGTGTTTGTGGGCTTTTTGAGTGAGGACTGTTGTGGCACAACACTTGATTGCTTCTGGAGGTGCCTTTTCAATGATACCTGCCACTAACATTTCATCAATCTTACTATGTAGGAACTGGGTCTGAGGTGGCATCAATGCTTTCTGGTGGACTCAGGTCTGGAATGTGGCATCTTGAGGTATGTTGAGTTGGTGTTCTGCTCCTGGGACTGGCAACACTTCTGATAATGAACATGCAAAGATGTCAGCATATTGAGTAACAAGTTCTTTGACCTTTTCTCATTCCTCAGGACTAAGGTTGTCTCTGACTTGCACTGCTTTTACAATGTGAGCTACTCTTCTCAGATTTCTTGGGTCCATCGTTCTCATGAAGGCTTCTGCATTGTTATTGATAAAGTTTGCCAAAATAGTGTCTTGTGATGCTTTGTTGCTGTTATCTGTTGGTTCCATTGATGTGTCCTTTGTTGTCATGGTCTCCTGAGCTTTGTCCTCAATTGTGTTAGCTTCCACAACCATGGTCTCATTCTGATTGGGGATGGTCATTGAGGTTCTGTTTGCTGTTATCTGTACTGTGTCAGTTTCATACTCATGTATAGCTTTCAATGCTCTTAGCATTGGTTTCCCAAGTAAAAACTTCCATCCTCCTCCACTATCAAAAACTTCAAACTCTCCTTGTGCCTTGACTCCTGCTATCATAATGTCACCTTTCCATGTTCCTTTTGATGGGACCAGTGCACCATTGGCCATTCTTAGTCTCTTGGTTGATGCTTTCCAATTCCCTAGGCAATGTTTGATGCTATTGAAGACTGTCATGCACATGGCACTGACCATGGTGCCTTTGTTGAAGAGTGCTTTGACTCATATGATCTCTCCTTTCGGTCCTGTGAATGAGATATAGTGCAGGAAGGGTTGACATTTATGGTGTGTTCCTTCATCATCCGTCAAGTACAGGTCAATAATGTTGCATTGTTCACTAGCCAGCTGCATAACAACATAGTTTGTACTGTGTTTGATGGGGAAGGTCTGCTGGTCCTCGTATGTTTCCTCCTTACACACAAGGACTGATTGTCTGGGTGGATGAGGTACTAAATGTTTTCGGTGTGACAGTCAAGTTTTCCTTGGGCTTAGATTTACTTACTTTACTTACCTTTACCTACTCCCACTTTCTTTAGCTTATGTTCGCATTTTTGCTGCTTACTTAAGCATGTATCTCTTTCACTAGTGTCAGTACCAGCCTGAATGACAGTCCCTTTTGATGATAATTTCTACTCTCTGAGCACTGAGCCAAGTCAGAATCCCATGGGCTGAACATACTGCTCTCCACTCAGCAGCTTGGCCAGCTGAAATATGATTCCCACATCGGGTCATTTGGCTATCCTCTATGCCAATGACCTGTTCCCATTTCCCTGGTCTAGAGTCTCATCTACCATGAAATTGACTTGGGAGGCTGTGGCCCTATTGAATGTGCCTAGAATTCATGTGCAGTTGCTGCGCCATATACTTTCATTCTTCAGAAGTTGGGTGTCCATTGGGATGGGACATCTTGGTCTGATATGCCCATGTGCTCCACACCTGAAACATTTACCAGAACAGACCTGCACTGTTCCTGGCATTAACAGGTACAGCATTTTCTCTAAGCATCTGGCTCCCTCTCCCCATTTCACTGACCATTGCCTTAACTGTTCTTCATATGCTGCATGGCCTGCATCTGTGTCTGCTTGGTGCTTTAGCTCATTGATGTAGGTGCATAACATGTCTTTCTCTTCTTGTGTAGGAGGCTGTCCTCTAGGGTACTGATTGGGTGTCAGTTGATTAGCTGTGATGTCACTCTTCACAACGTTGGGACATTGGAAGGTGTGTTCCCCATGGTTCTCAGGAGTGCTGTTGCTTTCAGAGTTGATGTGTTGGATCCAATTGTTGTTTGTTGCATCTGTGAGCATAACACTTTGATGGGATCTTGTCAATTCTCTAGCCATGCGATGCGTGCATTCTGAGCTCTTTCCACCACCTTCCTCTCCTTTACTCTCTTTGCCTTCTCCTGCAGGATGTCAATATTGATGTCTTTGATTTCATTCAAGAACATGTCCCAGTCTGCTGGTGCTGCTGATGTCAAGTCTCTAAGAGCTTGTGGGAGTGCTTCGCAGACCAGTTGGATTAGGATGGGTATGTTCTCTACTCCTGTGTCCTTCACAAGTGTCTTTAACTTGTTGTGGAACTGTGTGTGTGCCCATGTTGCAATTCCTGCTACCATGACTCTTTCCCCAGCTTCTTCCTCTTTGAATCACAGCTCTAGTAAGTCCTTTTGATATTCTCTCTGCGTCTTCCCTGCAATGACTATCGCTGGCCATTTCACTAAGAATGCTGCTTTGGCTTGTGCCCATGTAGCTTTCTGCAATGCACTTAGGTCTGTCCACCATATGTCTGCATCTGAGCCCACAGAAATGAATGTGCCAAGTAGTAAGATCATTATCACTTCATCTGAAATGTGGTTGACTGTGATATACCCTTCAAGGCTTCATATAAAGTTAGCTGAGTTTTCGTTATCACGCCCATGGAACAAGGGTGGGGAGTTTGCTGACATCATTGACATTGTAACTTTACTAACTGTCTGTGCTTGCTTTGGTATGATGGTAGGCTTTATATTGGGCTTTGTTGGTACTACTGGTGGTTGCACTGGTAGGACAGTTTGAGTATTTGATTCTCTGGGGATAGACAGCAGTACACCTGTGTCCCACTGGAAGGCTGGGAGAAGTATTGTGTTTCTTCTTGGTGCATCAGGTAATGACTCTTCATCATCTTCTCTTAAATCCTTGCTAACTTCACAATCCAGTGTGACGATCATATTCCCACTAGGCTTGCAATGGCCATCTTTTGATATAGGTGATGGAAAGCTACAAAACCATTGACCGCTTTTCCCACACTCAACCTACTCCAGACATGTATTCCTGCGCTCTGCAGACCCATGCATTCACTCCCGTGCTGCGTGCATACCTGCGGTCGATTTCCCACACCTTCAGACTACCTTACAGATGTCCTGTGTCAGTCCATTGTCCATCCTACCTCATTGGTACGTATTTTGCCTTGCCTCATGTGTTGTAACATGTGTTACAGTCTTATTACATGTCTTTACATATTCCTACTGCCTGTCTGTCCTGTCCCTTCCATTTCCAAGAGGGTTTAGCTAGTATAAAGTGCCTAGAGTGACTACTTCGTATTTACTTCCCTTCTACAGTATTTCCTTCCCTTAGGTTTTACTTAGGAGCAGTCACCATTAGTGCGCACTTTTAGCCCCTATTGGTTACCTTATACCTGGACACCTTACCTTGACTTTCCTTACCTGTGCAATCAATACCCTTGCCTCACTTGCTACCGCACCATTCCTTAGACTTCCTACCCTACCTAGCATCTCACACTTCTGCATCAACCACTCATTGACTGCACTTCCGCATTCCCACACTCTACATATCCATGCTCCCATTCCCACGCTCTGCACACTTTCGGGTCTTTAGTATCATCAGCCACTCTCAGTAGCAATTCCCTTTAGGGTCAAACATTCTTGCTTGCAAGTGTAGCAGCTAGGCAGAGCATTGACCTACAACAATATTTTTGGTTAGGCACTTTAACAAGTGTCTAGCCATTGTTGTGTTTGCACACTGGGACTTCACAATCATCTGGTTCCTCTTTGTCCGGCATAAGCTGCCATTCGTTAGTCTCCAGTGTGTTGAGAGGCAATGACACTGATGAGGTGGACATGCTGCTAGAATTTTCAGTGTCTGAGAGGGCCTTGGGTAGGAACTTGCCTCCTGGCCCTCTCAGTGGTAGTTTCTTTCTATTAGGCAGTTTGGCTAAGGAGACTTGTTCATCGTCAGTACTATTTCTCAGTTCAAAAATTGAAATGCTATGCTTTGTAATGTGTTCTCCTTATGTTTCTTGACTCTTTTGTACTTGACTAGTTGGGTCATTTGCTTGTGTAATCCACAAGGCTTTTGACTTCTCCATCTAGACTCTGGGCTCTAAAGCTCTGGACTCTGGACTCTAAGGGGAAGACCAAATGTGAAGCTTTTGGTCAAGGTGAACTCACTCTGTTCACCAGTTGGAGTGGGCTATGCCTGAAGACTATGCTCTCGAAGAGACAGCTTATCTTCCTCTCTACTACTTCTGGAGGCTCTAACAACTCTCTCCTTGGCTAAACCCAACCCAAACACCACCAAACTCTCCTCTACTCTCACCCTCAGCCTAGGGGTCCCCTACTCCACCAGCATCTCAACTTTGCCCACATTTCTCTCACCTCTCTGGAAGTCACACCCCACCCACATCCACCATCCATCCTCTCATGAATTCTAAGTGTCATTTGAATGTCCAATTTCATGCCAATGTGTGCTGGTATAACTAAGTTATGTGCTACCAAGTTTTGCCAAAACTCTACCAAGCTTAGTGAAAATCCTGAATCTTACTCTGAGTGCACCTACTAGACATCAGATGACTGGGTTCATTAATGCATTGTTTACTCCTTAGCTATCCGTGAGAACGCTATATTCTGGATTTCGTTATGATGTTTGTTTTCTCTGTGTCTCGGGTTTTCCTTCTTGCTATAATAGGTGTTTATTTGTCACTATTTTGAATCCACATATCACGCTACATTGTAGTTGACCGTGCTCCGCACGGTAACTTGTCGTTTTCCTGATGGCATTTGACAGATTGCAAACATGCCCGCTCCAATCCTGATTAGTAAAGCGCTGTCTGATCCTTCTGTGGACACAGCATTGCAAGTTTGCTCATGGGAGACTAACCAGCACTTTGCATCCCATCGAGGTTGCTGTATAAATATACTAAACCTTGCACTGCACTGCACCCAAGCAGTACTGAGCTTGCAGTGCCGGATCATATTGGACCATCAAGACCGATGTGCAGCTGGGCCATATAATGCATATCTGCAACAGACCCAGTCAGTCGTCTGCCATCATGGTCCCGTTGTTTGACCAAGCTGATGTCAGTATCGGCATCACACTGCAGCATAGTGACGTGAGTGATGGTCAGAATCAGTAGCATGGCATTCAATAAACTGACTGTTTACGTGCACTATATAGTATATTTTCAGTGCGTGCTACCAACGGTTGTATGCAGCAGCGTTCGTGCTGAACTTTCGTCTTAGTTGCCATAGCATGTCTTTGGGTAGGTACCAACTCAGTTGGTGACCTGTCAGTCGACCAAGGAAGTTGATTACTTCGCTATTAGGTATACGACTTTGCTCTCACCCTCGATAAAGATGTAGGTTTTCGTCCAGCCAACGTCATAACAGCGCCCAGAGCCTGACAAGTGACATACAAAGGCCGTGTTCATACTGGATGCTCCATGGGGAATACCCAAACTGACCTATCTTACCTGCCGATACTTACCATTTGCATTGGTCGTCACTGATATGTTTTGTATGTCCAAAAATGTGACACTTGAAGCAAGTGGAATCTCACCTGTTTTCAGGAATTTTACAACCTGGACTTTCCCTCAAGGTATGTTGTTGTCATCGCATGTTACTCTGAAAGCTCAATTCAAAAATCGCAGTCCTGCACAACTTTGTTTGCACTTAACTCATGTGAGTTGAGCCCCTTGTGAAACGAATACCCCTGGAACTGTTGCCCCTACCAGATATCAGAGGAATCGAACTGTTTTGCGCAGAATGTTAGTATCCTTTACTGTCCATTATTTCCATGGCTGACCCTGGTTCCAACATCCTGCAGTACTCTTTACGTGGAGAGTTTGGGCGGTGATGGGTCACAGATGGCTGATAACATGTTGCAACATTGTGGTAAGTCAGTCTTTCGGAAGTGAATTGTTTTGTCAATTGCCAAATGTATAGCTCTTCCTGGTCCCAGTGGTGGTGACACTTACATTATCCGACTCTTCCTCTGCAGGTGAGTCTCCTCCTGCTGGCTGATTTGGTGATTCACAACGATGTGGTTTAGTCATGCAGTCACCTATTCCAAAAGTCGCAAGTTGCTACAACAGCAAGCAGAGTCTCATTGTCATCGTAGCCTATGTTTTGCTCGTCATCACAGAAATAGGTAAGTTTCACAGTATTTTTATATTATTATGTTAAATTTTCCATAGAAATCCTCAGTTTCATGTTATACCACTCGTGGAATGATTATAGAGAACATGGAAACGATGCGCCTCTTGTACGGGTCCTGGTCAGACATAACATATTTTACTTTGCCTGTGGACTTGGTGAGCAAAACAACATCCATCAAAATTGACACTGACATTTGTAGCAGACCAGTATCTTCCACCATGGCCGTGGTTGCCGTGGTTGCTCTTCCCGTGCATATTTATAAGATTATGAACCCAACGTCCAACTCAAGATCTAATTGCAGGCATCGTACGCAGATGCGGTATCAGAGTAAGGGGCTGTTTCTTGGACTGGACATATTGACTGACTGTCTCGTAGTTTACAGTTCGTGATACACAGAATACTAGCGACATGCATGCACCGCGAGCTGTACAACACAGCCCACCACACTGAAGAGACTTTCACTGGGAATGTGTCCCTTCCTCTTGTTTTTGCACCAGCTTTGTCGGAGGTGTAACTTGATTATAAAGGTCCTTCTTCTCTTTACCCTAGAAAATACTAGATCAATGATTTTTAGATAGAGAATTTGTATCTTCTCGGTTGGTAAGAGTAGATACTGCGAATAATACTCTCGCCCACAACACATGAGCTCACTGAGTTGTTTGCATTGACCAAAAGCCTCTCACTTTGCAAGTAGTCCATCGGAACGTACAATCCATGGAGAATAATTCAGGTAAATTCAAAGAACGCAGCTTCATGAATGCAACCTCAAATAAGGGGGAGGTCAAGCAAAATGGAGATGAGGAAGCATACAAGTGGCTTTGCATGTCATTTTGAATGGTAACCTTGAATATGAATAAAGCGAGTACCAGCCATTGAGCAGCGCATATGGTCACACCACTGAGTCGAACTGCTGGGTAGCTGTCGAGTGCAAATACATACTTTCCATGATTTGTGTTTCTCCCTTCTGTTAAGCCCAGAAGTAGGTTCCAGACGACAAGGATACATCTATCTGATGTCTGCTTTCGTCTGGATTCACTATTGCACCACTGGGGCGGTGTTGAGAACCTTGATTAGCAAAAATTGAACGCCGGAGGAGGCGAAGGAGGGAAAGGATCAATTACCTAGGATAGCGCACCAGTGAGCTCAAATCCCTAGAAACACCGTAGATGAATTAATGAAACACATCAATTAATTTATAGGTATCACTACACATAGATATACATTGATGCAGAACGAGACACAATGAAAACAAATAAACCTTCCTGGAGTTGCTGCAGTACTCACCATTCGTCACTCCCCTACATCCAACCCAGTACATTCCTTTTCTGCCTGCTCCAGTGGGTACATGTGACATGTCCCTGACAGTGCCAGAGGAGACCATGTACATAATGGTGATAGAGGGCAGGCTAGCTAGCACTGGACGCCATATTGTTTTGAGCCCACAGAAACATTGTCATACTGACCAGATGACAGGCAAGAGAGAGACATTCAGGTGACACCCTTGCCAGAGTCCTCATAACATGGTGATATGTTAGAGCAGCTACTCGACCCAAAAAGACAACGCTATTCATGCAGTCATGTAGGATAGTCAGATTGGAGGGCCAGGATGCACCGACTGCATGATTAGATGCGACATGATACATTCTGGAAGGTGCAGAGACAAGAGTTGGACGCACAGATGCACTGAGGCGAACAGCCCCATGCCTTGGGCATCTATGGAAACTAAGGCATGTTGATGCAGTAAAGCAGCATAAAACACACAATACACGCACCTCTGCAACTTAGGCCAAGACACTTCCAAAGTCCATCTCGACGGTACCGAACGCCATCAACCTGCAGTAAAATGTCAAAGCTCATTGTAATCACTGCATCACTGCGAGAGTTCAAAGGCCATAAAGGATGCGTAAGGGCAGTTGCAATTTCCCTAGTAAATGACGGATGACCGGTCATTACTAGCTTGAACAATAGGGCACTTCGTCTGTGGGGCTTGAAGACAGGTGTTGTGTTGAAGAAGATGGAAGGCCATCCAGTCCTAGGATAAGTACTAATAGGGTAGAGGGGCGAAAGTTTCGGAACAAAAACCTGGATTTCATGATAGCGTTCACCATGCTCAATGGGACTTCAAACTCAGCAATTGCTTGGTCAACATAGACAAAAGGTGTACAATAGTCAACACAAACAAATACGCAAGTGGCCCAATTACCAAAAGTAGCAATTCTAGTGAACACACTTCTATGATAAAGCAGAACCATCTCCCTCGAATATCCAGATCAAAAGCAGACGTCCCACATCACTATGTGATTCAGCCACACTAGCTGCCATCTGGTTAACATGGTATGTTTATCATTACCACTTCTCTATCGAGTTAAAACTCATTTCCGCAGTTAATGTTCATCCCATACAACTTCACTATTAATACCAGGACCCGCACATTGTCACCGGAAGAAACTATCGTGCGTCGCAATATTAATAGGAAGGCGCCTGAATCTGCAGCACCCCTTTTATGTCGTTACTTGTGATCATGAGGTAAGACATCATACTATGTGTCCTAACATGGACGTCATCAGAACACCCCTTGTGTATCCCTGACCTTTTTACTTTGAAGATTTGTGCCTTATCGGTACGCCTGCGGCAATTATTATCCTCAACCTGCCCCTGCAATTATCAAACAATCAGCCTGTCATAAGTCTCGCATGAGGCATGAACATATTTTGCTGATTTCACAGTGAATGGTCTAGGTTTCGGAGGTTTCCCTGCTTCACGGAAGTAGTAGGTATTGGTACATATTGAAGCTGTGCAATATTTTGGGATGAGGTCATTTGCAGGCTCTGCTAGCATATCATTGCTACGCTCCAGCTGACGTTCTGACAGAACATTCCCAGGCGACCAATATTTCAAGATTTCGGTAACTTGTCCCACCCCACCTCGCTGTGTGAAGGAAGGATGTGGTGTGTTAATAATGGCTTTTTGACGGATTGCAAACATACCCGGGGCCATCAGAGAACCGGTGAGAAAAATATATTGTGATATATAGGGAAGGATTTCATCACATTGGAATATAAAGCAATACACGACCATGTATCAGCAAGAACTCGCCAGTTCGCTGATGGCCTCCACAGACTCCGGCCCTGATAAGGCGCTGTCTGATCCTTTTGTGCATACAGCATTGTGTTTCAAGTCCACATCGGAGATTAACCAGCACCTTGCATCTCAGTGAGGTTGCTGCATAAATATAGAACCTTTCACCCAAGCAGTACTGGGCTTAGAGTAACGGATCATATTAGATCACTGATACCAGCACACGGCTTCTTAGACTGGGCCATATAATGCATATCTTCAATAGACCCAGTCAGTCGTCCACTATCATGGTCCCGTTGTTTGACCAAGCTGATATCAATATCGGCATCACACTGCAGCACGCTAACGTGAGTGATGATTAGAATTGGTAGTATGACATTCAACAAACTGACTGTTTACGTGCGCTATATAGTATGATTTCAGTGCGTGCTACCAACAGTTGTATGCAGCAGCGTTCGTGCTGAACTTTCATCTTAGTTGCTATAGCATGTCTTTGGGTAGGTGCCAACTCAGTTGGCAACCCGTCAATTGACCAAGGAAGTTGATTATTTCGCTATTAGGTTTACGACTTTGCTCTCACCCTCGATAAAGATGTAGGTTTTCATCCAGCCAACGTCATGACAGCGCCCATAGCCTGACAAGTGACATACAAAGGCCGCGTTCATACTGGATGCTCCACGGGGAATACCCAAACTGACCTATCTTACCTGCTGATACTTACCATTTACATTGGTTGTTACTGATATGTTTTGTATGTTCGAGAATATGCTACTTAAAGCGAGTGGACTCTCACTTGTTTTCAGGAATTTTACAACCTGGACTTTCCCTTAAGGTATATTTTTGTCCTTGCACGTCATCCTTAAAGCTGAAGCTCAATAAATCTCAGTCCTGCACAACTTTTTTTGCATTCAACACATGTGAGTTTGATCCCCTTATGAAACGAATGCTTTCAGACCTGATGCCCCTATCAGATGTTGGAGGAATCATACTGTTTTGTGCAGAATGTCAGTATCCTTTGCTATTCATTATTTCGGTGGCTGACCCTGATTGCAACATCCTGAAGTACTTTTCATGTGGAGGGTTTTGGCGGTGATGGGTCGCAGATGGCTGATAATGTGTTGCAACATTGTGGTGGGTCAATCTTTTGTAAGTAAGATGTTTTGTCAACAGCTGAATGTATAGCTCTTCCTGGTCCCAGTGGCAGGTGACACTTACATTATACAACTCTTCCTCCCTAGGTGAGTCTCCTGGTGCTCTTTGATTTGGTGGTTTACAGCGATGTGGTATAGTCATACAATCACCTATTCCAAAAGTCGTGAGTTGCTACGACAGCAAGCAGAGTTGCATTGTCATCATAGCCTACATTTTACTTGTCATCGTAGAAATAGGTGGGTTTCACAGTATTTTTATGTTTTGGCATTAAATATTTCATAGAAATCCTCAGCTTCATGTTATACCACTCGTGGAAGCTTTATAGAGAACATGGAAACAATATACCCCTTGTACGAGCCCTGGTCAGACACAACTTGTTTTACTTTACCTGTGGGCTTTGTGGGTCGGGACATGATTCTTTACAAATTAGCACTAACATTTATGGTGGATCAGTATTTTCCACCATGGCCGTGGTCGTCGTGCTCACTCTTCCCGTACGTGTTCATAATCATATGAATCCAACGACCAACTCAAGATCCAATCACAGGCATCGTACTCAGAGGCGATATCAGAGTAAGGGGCTGTTTCTTGGACTGGACATATTGACTGACTGTCTCGTAGTTTACAGTTCGTGATACACGGAATACTAGCGACACGCCTGCACCACGAGCTGTATAACACAGCCCACCGCACTGAAGAGACTTCTACTGGGAATGTGTCCCTTCCTCTTGTTTTTGCGCCAGCTTCGTTGGATATGCAACCTGATTGTGGAGATCCTTCTTCTCTTTAGTACCCTAGAGAATACTAGATCAACGATTTTTAGATAGATCTCCTCGGTTGGTAAGAGTAGATCCTGCGTGTGACACCCTTTCCTGCAACCCATGAGCTCACTGAGTTGTTTGCATTGAGCAAAAGATCCCCCACTTTGCAAGCAGTCTATCAGAACGTATAATCCATAGAGAATCATTTGGGCAAATTTGAAGAACGCAGCTTCACAAATGCAACCTCAATAAAAAGGAAGGCAGAAGCGAAATGGAGATGAGGAGGCATACAATCAACGTTGAATTTTTGAATTCCGAGAACCTCTCGTGACGGACAGATACTCAACATCACTGGCGCATCATATTCAGAGTCTTTTGCAATGTGCCCTGAACCAGTGATGTCAAATCACATGTCATTCTGAATGGTCCTTGAATATAAACAAAGCTAGCACCAGCAACTGAGCCAGACACAGGGTAGCCCAGTGCGCGTATTCACAACCAGGTTTTGATACGCAGCCTACACAATAAAAAACACTGAACCTAAAAATACACATCACAATCCGAGAGCCATAAAAGAATCCATAACCCTTAGACATTCGTCGGAGGGGCATCTCCCTTGGTAGGTTCACACCAATGCTACAGCCAAAAGAAAATCAGTTCTTGTCACTACTAGTAGGGCAGTTCGCAAAAACTCACGTTCAGTTTCTGCGCATGTGCTAGCTTGTGTGTTTGGGTACGACAGTTATATCCGTACCAGCAGTTGTCTGGAATAATGTCTCCTCCTGACGAGATTAGGTGAGTGGACAGCCGTGAAAGTGATCAAGGGCAGAAGCTTATGCTTAACCTTCTGGCCCAAGTACCAGATATGGAGATGGTCGCATATGAACTTCTCCAAGCATTGTGAACATAGCCAGTCTGCTTTGTTCCAGGTGAGATAAGTCGGTGTTTTGTACATCAGTAAATGCGAGTTCCCACAAAGATTGTTTGAAGGCACTCACAAAATGCTCGTGTGGAAATGCTTTTTGGTTAGCTCAGGTCAGCATCTGTAAACACTCGTTTTTGGTTAGCTAGACCCTGACAACACTTTGGAGACATCCGATGCGAGATTCTTGATTATCGGTTCGATTATCAAAAAGATCTGTGTGATCTACAAGTACTATAGATTATCTATGCTACTACTATCTACTACAAACTACTATCTACATCGAATCTGAGTCAGATGTCGTGTTGTCTCATGCCTGCGATGGCCCAATCACTAACACATACTGCAAATACTGTTTAAGCTCAGCCTTCTCAGCAGGAGTGAGACGATCAATCGCATTGAGAATCTCGTTGAACTTGCTTTGGTGGATTTGACCACCAAAGGGGTCAACTTCCAACAAGTGCTTTCCCTGTTCATGCAATGCACAGTGGGTAGCTGCACCAGCTATGCATAGAACATATTTGATGGCCTTGAGGGGGGACTTGCCAAGAAATGACACGTATCCCCAGTACCAAACAAATCAGATGACATTTGCCATGACGAAACAGCTCTGGAATTTCATGTGAATAATCATGTTACCATTCTACAAAAGACATGGTAAGTAAAAGTTAGATACAAGGAATGTTTGACATACCTCATCAAAAAAGATGTTGTGCATGAACACAAGTGGATCATCTCCACATATAAATATGTTGACCCTCGCAGCACAACACTAATCTGCTGGTAAAGCATGTCCTTGTGGGGGGAATAGTTGAAATGCACCACAGACACCTTCATGTGTGAATTTGATCATCTTCCTGCATCTCGCGGATAGTGCATTGCTGACCACCTGATGGTGTGCACTGGTTATGAATTCCTGGAAAACAGCTGCGAAGATTATTAGACAAAGTAGTATATAATATGAAAACACTCACCATTTGGCCTGAAGAATTGTGGGACTGACTCTCGAATAACCTTGTCAATGATATGCCACTTTTTCTTCTTCAAGCACACCATTGCATTTTTCGAGAAAACGACCTGTGTGACCAACACTTTAGCGCTTTTCATTGTTTGGGAAATCACCTCCAATGTTAAATGAATGACATTTTGAGATACCACGGCTGACAACAACATTTCATCTGTGGCATCACTTGGTGTCTCGTGTTGTTCAGCAACAGCACTGTGTGTTTGCAGTATCAGTGATGGTAGGGGTTCGCGATATAAGGTACGGTGTTGGAGGCATATTTGCATGCCAGACTGTGCATGTTGTCGTCGTCTGTGCAGGCCCCATTGTCTATGTAGATTTTGAATGAGCATTAACAAAACAGAAAAAAGAACTTATGTGTACAACCTCCAAGGGAGGGATTTGCCCCTGTTGGATCAGTGCCAGGTCCAAGGCTGGGGGACTCAGGCCATTTCCTTGATCTATAATGCTGATGCCTTCATCAGGAGCATCCTCAATCCATTGAGGAACAGGTGCAGCAACTCCTGGATAGACAGAAGGACCAGCATCAGGTGGGAAATCAGTTGGACCAGAGTCAAGTGTGTCCCGGAAGTGATTGTAAGAGTCATATTCCTGTCTGTCAGCATTCAATGATAGGTCTTGCTCATAAAATGATGGGCCCTGTGCATCTCCAAAAGATGAAGGACCCTGTGTGTCTCCATAAGCTGATGGGCCCTGTGCGTCTCCATAAGTTGATGGGCCCTGCGCACCTCCATACCATGCCTGCCCATGGTCTTGAGCATCTCCATATAATGATTGCCCCTGCTCCTCCCTATCTCCGTATAATGATTGCTCCTGTGCAGGAGCCTGGTCCTGCATGTGACCATACAATGGCTGGTTTTGATTGCCATAAGAGGGTTGCTGTGTGCACCTGCATGACCGATTAGCAATTGGTAGACTCCATAAGATCCACTTACCTTGCCACTGTAGTTGAGTTTGTCCATAGGGATTGAAATCAAAGGCTGACATTTGAGGTTGTTCTGTGGGAAGGTTGAGTTGGTCAACTGCTGGTAAACCAGACAGATTAAGCCCTGATCCCCTAGTTGGTTTGTGGATCTTAGTCTTGCCCTTGCACTGTGAATTATGCACACCTGGCATCCAGGTGGTGGTTAAGAAAACAGAAACAATCATATGTCAGAAAAGACATGTACTGCTTGATTCAATTTCATCTTACACAAGAAAGAGACATGAACTTGGTACACAATTTACAGACTGGGGGAAATGAAATGCATGCTGGGGAAAATAAAACATGTGCAAGTCAAATGGGGAGATTTAAGGGCAAACTGTAAGAAGTGGATGGGGAAAGAGGCCATGTTCCAGAAGCACAACTGAATAGACAGGGTAAGGGGTAAGAAGTAAATTGAAAAGGGTGGTGCTTCAAGAAGCTATATATGAACAGTGCGATCTGAAGCAACAGGCAGGTTATCAACTAAGATATGAATCAGCATGGAACAAAATGACCCGGCAATTAGTAAATTTACATACCAAGATTGAAGGCATCAGTACAGATTGGGAAGGGCTGGGCGACTGCAACTAGCCATGGATACGATCATCTTCCTCATCGTCGTCATCATCAGTTCCCTTGTCATCATCCATGCTATCATCTGTATCAGAAGACAGACTGGGTTTACTGACGAATTGCGGATAATGGGAAGACTTCCCCATAGAACCCAATACATCTTCCAATGCACATGAGCCTAAGTGTTTCTTGAGTACATCTGCTTGGGCAGCGACAGCACGAAGTATCTTGCAGTCGTCATCATAAATGGCTTGAAGGTAATTCACATCATCATCAATTTCTTCTTGTGACTGGTCAGTGAAAACATTCCTGATTCATTTCAACTCTTCATCACTGAAGAGGAGACAATCTTTGTTCTCATGATACAAGCCATCCAGGAATGTCATGTACCGCTCTGACGCCTCAAGCTCCCATGTCGTCATTACAAGACATTGGCATGCAGCTTCCCAGCCAGCAAGCTTTGATTTAAACAGTTGGTACAATGTTGTGAGGCTCAAATTCGAGAAGCCCTTAGAAATTATTTCCTCCCACTTTGACCTATCAGATAATGTCTAAAAATATTCAATAATAAGAAACATACCTGACAGATTTCTTCAGCCGTGAACTCTGGCCTAGATCCTTGTCCTGATACATGAGCTGCAAATCAAAGCTCCAGCAGAGCTGGATGGAAAGCATATGGAATGTGTTTCTGAGACATTTGCTCATGTAGGTACTGCCCATGATGGGAAGGAGATGCAAAGAGTTTCGTGGGGGATTTTCCATGCTGGGAAGGAGATTTGAGGCCAGGTTTTCCACGGTAAGAGGGAGATTTGAGGAAATGCCTGTGCAGTATGCTCCGCTTCATACTTGGAGATTTAGGTACATCATATAATATACTCTGGTTTGCCTGACAAGGTCTAGGCACCTCATCTACCAGGGAGAGGGAAGCCCAGGGAGAACCTGCATCAGAACCAGAACATATGTCAGAGGTCATCCAGCGAGGGGATTCATGGGTAGAGTGGATTGTCTTCTTTGAAAAATCAAAGGGAATTGGTTCGACACAAGTTGCCAAGCTTGAGTTGGTTGGGGCAGGACTGCTTGATCAAGGAGGAGAGGAGACAGGAGATGAGGGCGCAAATTCCATCATTGTCTTGCAGGCGACCTACAGAATATGAGTGCACTGCTAACTGCACTGCTATCAGGCTGGCAGCAGTATACCGTGGAGATGCGTTGTATGCAGACTTTGAAAGACTTTGCAGGTTTGCATGCCAGTCAAACTCGTCCAATCACAGACTGGGCAGCAGCAAATCCAAATCAAAGCTATATGATGTGAATATCAAGTTCTGTTGGGCTCAATTACAATACTGATGTGCACATACATTTGGCAGGTTATGTCCCAACTGCAAATTGGGAGACTTTCCGTCCATTGAGGCGCTGATTTTGCATCTTAATTCAGAGCCTACTTGTTGGCCATACAAAGCACAACCACAAGAATTACCTGTCCCTCCTGCACTCTGTCGATGTGGAAGTGATAGGACACCCACTACTTATACTAGTCACCCAAAAGCTGGATACATCTTCAGTGTCGGCAAAAACATGCTTGATAGGCTGGAAGATGATACATATGCATATCAGCAGAAAATCAACCATTACTACCCTTTCCAAGATGAAGATGAATGGGAGTTAGGGAAGTTCATGGTCGAAAACCTCACCCAGACCCAAATGATCAAGTTTCTGAGGCTGAAATGGGTAAATGTCCAAGCTATATCCTCACTCTTATTAACTTCGTTCATAGTTCAACAGTCCTCATGAAAAACCATCTTTCACTATGAAAGATCAACTATTAGACTGGATGGACTCACTCCCTTGTTTTACAGAGTGGAAGGCCTCTAAAATGGAATTTTCAGGCTACAAAACAATCCATCCCATCGAGCTCATCTGGCGTGATGCACTAGAAGTCGTCAAACAACTCTTCAGCGATCCAACCTTTGCAAACCACATGACCTATACTCCACATGTTGTCAATATCGGAAATCAGTGTGAATACAGAGATTATATGAGCACTGATATGGCATGGAAAATCCAGGTTGGCTCACTCTGTTAGTCCATTCCTACTAAATCACAGATTGACTTCACGATTTTCTAGGACCATCTCCCTGTAGGTACAACTCAAGTGCCAATAATCTTGGGATCCAATAAGACTCATGTAATGCGAATCACTGGAGGACTTGAAATGCACCTGGTCTTCCTAACTATCAGCAACATTGATTCAGATATTTGCTCCAAAGCAACCTTGCAAGCTTGGCAGTGTATTGCTTACATGCCAATCACAAAGTTCCACATCCATCCAGACTATCAAAGCATTCTCCAGGCGCAGTTATGGCATAAGTGCATGGACCTCGTTCTCACCAACCTTAAGGCCACTGCACCAGATGGATGTTTCATGCCTGACCCTTCCAGATACATTCACTATGTTTTTACACCCCTCATTGCTCATGTATGTGACCTACCAGAGGCCTCTATGATTGCTGCAGTCGCAAAAAATGCGTCCCCCCTGACCATGGCGGTGCAAGGGGATTTTGGTGATGGGACACTTCACCCCCCTCATACTGGGAAGCATACACTACAATGCATTGTTGACATCTCCCGCAAAGTTGATCCTTGGGATCTTGACAAGTTCCAGAAGGCAGCCAAGGCTGTTAACCTGTCTGGATGTTAAGAACCATGTTGCTCAAAGGAGAGAGAGACTGACTCAGAGGGGCTTGGCCTCAGCTCATACGCTGTGCCCCTTACCCAAATATGTGCCCTTCATTTCATATGAGGTCTGATGATGGTCCAACGAAGTCTGGAGGACTTCTGGAGGCTGGCTACTCTGCTGGAGAGTGCTAGAGGACTTCCAGAGGAGCGCGGGAAACGTCCGGAGGAGCGCAGGACAGTTCCAGAGGAACACAGGAAGTGCTCAGGAGAGTTCCCACTGCAAGGTAATACTTCTACAGGATGTTACGGTAAACCGTAGGTCGACTAGGATGGGCACGACGATAGGTACTCGATAAGAGTACGCCTAAAGCCAGTTCGTGTCCTTACAAATGTAAGGTTCTTTAAGACAAGTCAAAGAGAGTGTCTTCGACTTGAATATTGGTTATCAGACGACTTAGGATTGGGGGTCCTAAGCGAAGGATAGTGCAGGTAAAACCTAGTAGATTAAAGTGAAGTCTAACTAAGTACATGACCAAGTTTATATAGATGTGGGTCCTTTAGGGCAGGTAAGTACACGTCATCAGTCGAGTCAGAGATAAGGGGTGAGTCATCCAGTGACGTCATCAGTCGAGTCAGAGATAAGGGGCATACGTCAGCTAGTGACGTCATAGGTGAGTCAGCTAATGACGGCATAAGGCGGTCATGCTGTAATACAGATATGGAAAGGCGTTAGTCTAATGATGGCACAGGTGGGTGCAGTCATGACGTAATACATGGGTAAAGAAAAGAGAAAAGAGATAGGGGTGACCACGATTGTAACACAGGAAACAGGATGGAAGGACAGGAGGACAGGAGGGCAGGATGATGGAGGACAGAAGGACAGGATGTCTGGAGGTATGAAGGACAGGATGTCCGAAGGTATGAGGGTAGAACATCCGAAGGACAGGATGCCCAGAGGTACAAGAGACAGGAGGTCCGGAGGTCCAGAAGGAATAGGGGCTACATCAGACAAAGTCCAATGTAGAAACAAGCAGGGGTAGACTACCCTAAGGTAGAGTTGGAGGGACAGAGATTGGACCTAAGTCCAGAAAGAGGGTAAGTGCCAGAAAGGCAGAGCTCCAGGCCTAGGGAATCAATCCCTAGGCCTGATGGGTAGGACAGACTTAGGTGGACCAAAGTCCGAGAGAGGATTGGGCAAGTCTAAGTTGATATTCAAACTAAGGAACTACAGGAGTATCTACAGGGGTTATATACTGAACAATATCTGAGGGGATCAGTAAGCAAAGGAGCAAGGCTATGTACGAGCATGTGGAAACACATTAGTAAGTAAGATGGAACATAAGTAAATGAACTCGGAGATGAAGACTTATACAAGGATCAATAAGCAAGACGGAAGAAGAGGTAACTGAAAGCCAGAAAGCAGAGAATGCCTAAATGGGGATAGGCGCAGGATATTGGACAGAGGGTGGGAATAGGTCTGGAGCTAATATCTGGAGGTCCGGAGATCTGGGAATCCAGAAGACAAGGTGGATACAGGACCAGAATACAAGAAGGTGGATATAGTTCTGGAATCTGAGATGAGGTGAAGTCTGGATGTCTTGCTGGATGAAGTGCGCATAGGGTGGACAGGATAGGGTTGTACAGATCAGGCTAGCAGTGAGGATCTGATGGTCCAGAGCTCAGGGGTAAATCTGGAGTGTAGTCGATCCTGCTGAGGTGTGGAGCACAGTGGAAGGGGATCTTGGAATGAGCTGGATATGATGTGGGGTCCAGATGTAGGCTTGGAAGGCGTGGGAATATGATGGAACGTGGGTCTGGATTGTGGGATATGACACTGGAGTTCACATGCCATACTGGCATGACTGGATTTACGCATGTCCGTCCATCTCCCTTGCCAGTGAAATACTGCATATGTGCTTTAAATTTTTCGCTGATCATCCGCTCCAATGGACCAAGGAGGCTGTAGGAGCTCACGAGCTTGATAACCGCTTCATTGTCCAGCACAAGCGGGTTGGCACATGCCACTTCGCAAAAGGCATCACACATGTCAAGCAAATGATGGGTCACAAGTACAGAGAAATACAATGTACTATCGTTGCCTCAATCGCAGGTGCCACTTCACCCCAGTTTGTTCATGCAATCCATGCCATCGTGGAGTTCATCTACCTTGCGCAGAACTCAGTTCACTCACCTGAAACACTTCAGTCAATGGAGCAGGCTCTTTCAGACTTTCACGTTCACAAGGGCGCTATTATCAAGGCCAAAGCAAGGAAGGGGAAGAAAGGTGTCAAAGAGGTTTTTTTTATTCCCAAACTCGAGCTATTGCAAAGCTTTAAGGGTACTGTCCAGTGACTAGGCACTTTGATGCAATTCTCAGCTGATACGACAAAATGCTTGCTGATCACACATTGTAAGGATCTTTTCTCATGGACAGCTTAGCAAAGCAAAGATTTTATGGAACAGTGCGTGTGACTTCTTAACCACCAGGAATCTATGGAGATTTTTGACCTGTATGCGCTGTTGAGTTCTCGTGGGGTATCATTGGTCAATGCCATGCATGCTGAGGAGGAGGAGGTTGCAATTACTAATCCTGCACTCACGTGGGTATCCTGCATTCTCCCTGATGAAGTCAAGTCAGTTCGTGGTCCCCAACCAGTCTGTAACCACTTTCTCAAGGGTATCCTCTCTGGAGATGTGCAGACCGCTTTTCAGGTCAATATCACTCCAGACTACAAATCACTGTCACTGGCTGAAATATGCATAAAATACGCACTCCCTGACTTTGATTATTCCCTCGTTGACTTTGTTGCTTGGTCATCACTGTCTAGTGGTGAACATACTCGCTGGGACCCCAAATATGGGCATTACCAGGTGTGGAACAAGTTTCAGCTCCAGCTTCACTCAGCCTTTCAGCAACGCATCATCATGCCAAGCAGGGTGGTGCAAGCATACCCCCCAAGTGATGATTTCCCCCTCGGCAATTGCAACACCGTTCTCATTGATGCCATGGGCATCAATGGCAAAATGAGTATGTTTATTCTATGCCCCTATATTCTAGCCCTACTGATATCATATACAGCAAGTTACGTCGCACAAGTTCAAGTCATTTTTCAGCTGGTTGTTCAATGAGGTTCTAACCTGGAACTGCCATCATATCTCTCCAACCCACTTCTCTATGTCCAATTCTTCCACTTCATCTCCAGCCCTGATGAGCATCCTGAACTCGCTATGTGGACTGTGGAGCGTGCATACATGCAGGATCAAAACAGTAACCAGGTATAGGGAGGGGGCTGTTGTACGAGTGGTAGATGTAATGCATGCAGTTGAACTGATACCTGTTTATGGTGAGGCAGTGGCCAATGGCGTGTCCTCTGCAATTTGCTTAGAACACTATGAGCATTTCTTTTTGAATAACTTTGCGGACAAGGAGAGTTATCATGCATTCAGTACCGAGTTTGTATAGATAGTAGCTTGATCAGCATGTGGCAATTGTATTCACATCTACCATATTGCATATCCAAGCAATCACATCTTATCAACTGAAGATAACTGGGCTTGAGTTTTATCAACCAGATATGGTGAGTAATATTGGCATTCAACATCTCCACCAATCGCATGAGTTCGCTAGTGACGTCGTAAGCGTTCGTAAGCGTCCGTAACGCGCGTAACTTAAGCGTTCATTTCAGTGGTTTTGCAGATGCAAAACAGTGGTGTCGAGATCCCATTCAATGATGCAGTCCAACCCTCTCTTATACACATCAATTACGTTGTGGGGAGCACAGTATAGCACAAATGATGACTCAGGGCTGTCTATGTGAGTTTCATGAGTGGGTAGAGCTTGAATGGCGATGCTCGCGCTCACGGGTTGCAGGTGGAATCATAGTAAAGTCAAAACCCTCAGCGCGAGCGATTATTCCTCGCAAAAAAGTTTCAATTCGTTGAATATCCCTCAGCTTAGGAGTGGAAAAGCTTCTAAAGAAGCCTTTTCGTAGTGAAAAGGCTTCTTTGAGTGCCAAATCGATTTCTTCTTCATCCGAGTCAGGATCAATAGCTGACCCGTAAGCATTGTGGCCGTAGACAGCCGAGAACAAGGACAATCTGTACATCACTTTCTGGAATCGTGTCGACTCCGCCAAGGAGAGCTGGCTTGTCTTAAATGTTCGGTCTTTCATTCTAATGGAACAACTCAGACGAATCGGACTGTAAAGATGATTAAACAATACCTCCAGCTGAACAGGCTTTCGAGCCCTTGAACAGACATGGGAATGACCATAAGGCTTGTGATGTCCTGATTGGAGAGCACTGGGTTTTTCTGGATATCATCCTCGCCAAAGAGTTCACCAACGGGCTTGGAATATAGTTGCATATTTTGGCATCGGACAAAACGTAGTGCTTGTGGTAGGGCTGGTCCAATCAAGTTGTAAGCTACAGAGTGAACGACCGAGCGAGAATGTTGTTGAAAGACGCTGTAGATGGTCTTTGAGGTCAAGATTGTTGAAGCAAGGCATTGAAAGTCAGGCAAAAACCTCAGAACACACTCCACAAGATCAGCATTCGCGAAGGAACTATACATTAGGTGAACTGTGTTTCCCATTTGGCAATTCAGGGGGTTACGAGGTATTGCAAACTGGTAGGCCCTCCCTCGGTTCGTTCGAGCTACAGCTCACGTAGATGGTAGACGACAATGGAGACAGTGGCGAGCTTTCTATGGTATCCAGTGGACAAATGTGACTGGTTGAAAGCGGGTGCGAGGTGCCGGTAAGTGCTTTTCCTCGGAATTTGCCGAGGAAGGTACCACAAACTAGGACCCCGGAACAGGGTAGTCTACCAAGTCTGGCTCACTGTTCAGAACAGCAAATAGCGTCAACGAACTGGACCTTCAGCTTCAGTCTTAACGATCTAGTCAGAAACATCGTTAAACATGTCGTTCGGGGGAGGGTATGCTTTAATTTATGTTTTCAAACCTACGGCTCAAGTCATCTAGTACCAATATCTTTGGCACTAGTAACACCGGCACGTCCATCTTCGGGCAATCTAACGCGTCAAAGCCCACAACTTCGCTCTTTGGGAACACCCAGCCCTCCTCCGGAACGGGGACCACAACTACGGGCTTCGGTGGCTTCGGGATGCAACCCCAAATACAGACGCAGCAACCTGCTCAAGGAAGTTCTGTGTTTGGAGGAGGCACTTTCGGGCAGACACAGCAGCAGCAACCGTCTGGATCGACTTCGATATTTGGGCAGCCCGCGCAACAGCAGCAGCAACAACAACAACAACCTACAACGTCTCTCTTTGGGCAGCCTGCTCAACAGCAGCCGTTGGGTACATCTTTGTTTGTAAACCCTTCAACAACAAATACGACTGGCGGCGCATTTGGAAGCATTCAGCCACAACAGTCTACTAGTCTCTTTGGAACTACGCAACCACAGCAACAGACAAGTAATATGTTCGGAAACACCCAGCCACAGCAGCCGGGTGGACTGTTTGGGAGCACGACTACTCAGCAGGCAGCTCCTGCTGGCGGGCTGGGGGTGAGTACAGCAGGGACATCGATCTTCGGCCAACAAAGACAATCATCGTGAGTCCCCCTCGCATTGTTCTGGTTTAAATTGGTGTTGATGTATTGCAGGATGATGAGGTTAGTCCAAGGTATTCACATTTAGGGTGGCTTTAATGACGTTTGAATAGTACCACACCCATAAGCGGACCTGCACCTTTTTCAAAATCCACGAAGTTCAATGATCTTCCGGATGATATCAAGAAGACGTTCGAAGCCATTGAGTACGTTACTCGTAAGTGTTAGCATGTTCCAGGACTTACTTTGCATAGCTCGCACATTCAGGGACGTATACAGATAAGCAACGAGCTCAAACAGCGAAAAATGGGGGAAGAGGCGATCAAGGGCCAGGAGTTAATTCGCGAACTGCACAAAGTGCGCCTCATTCTATTGCATATATGCAGTGTATTTAGTTACCGACTTCCTCGATTCAGGAGCTGCTTGGTGTATCCTCCGTTATTCAATCGGACTCTCTTTTCGCCAAGGACCTGAAATCGAAGACTGAACAAGCGGTCCAAGACACGATTGTTGCAACCAATATTATCGAAGGCTTTAAGAACCCCCATCAGAGCGCAGCATATCTCAAGAATCATGCTTCGTTCCCTCTGGAGTACGTGTGGATCATCAATGTAAAGTATCTTGGAGTGTTAACACGCTGTTGACCAGATTCTTCACCCGAGTCACGCAAGAGATGCAGGAGCGTCTGCAGTGGTTCAAGAACACTATCGAAGTATGGTGCCGCATTTTTGGTTACACCGAACAGCATTCTGATACACGGAACAGCAAATTGAGCGGAAACTATCCGCATCAGCATCCCAATCTCAAAATACACCCCAAGGTCAGACTTTCCTTCGCTCCGCCTCATCTTCAACTTACATTCCCCTAGCAATTTCATCCACCCTCCAGACGCAACACGCCATATTCGTTTCGCTTGCGGCCAGGACTGCGGCTGTTGACGCCGAGGTTCAAAAGGTGAAGACATTGTACACACAACTGTGGCGCGCGAAAACGGGGAGTATGCGCGACCCTTTTAATGAACTTGACCACGGCAGTGGAGGAGAGTTTGGGATGGAGTCGTTACAGGTCAAGTGAGGTAACTCTGCAAATTCCTTGATCGATGTGATACCAACTCGGAGAAATATATTCTTGTATAAATGTTGCATATCCGATTCCTTCTGTGAACTATGAATATGTCCCACTCATATGCTGCTGCGATATTTCTGTGACGCCGAGCTCGCACTGAGCGCTCTGAGGCGTTGCACCGCCTTCGAGCGACCGCCTCGATTCGATGATGTCCTGACCACCATCGATATCAGAGATCTGCTCAGCCTGAACATTCTGTGTCTATTTAGATACCCATTCTGCCGATGGCCTACATACCCCAGCAGATCGACGTGGTCAGCGGCGAGCAGTACCGCTACGCGTTGACTAACTTCGTGCGTGACCGTTATCATCACCAGTGATCTCGATGTTGACCTAAGATCTCATTTATCTCATCTCCAGCGAATCGCGCACGAGAAAGTTGAGGAACAACGTCGGCAACTCGAAGAACAAGAGAAACAGGTGGCATTACTCCACGCGCGGATCGCCCTGCTAGAAGGGACTGCGGATGATGAGCAACAGGAGAGCAGGAATTATGGGGGCAGCTCAGTCGATGACTTCTCCATCAAAGTATGTCTCAGGATTTCAATGAGTGCTGGGACTACCCTCTAGTCTGCTATGTATATAGAATGCCGCGTCCCAGTTGGAACGCTCGATCAACCGCTGGGCAGCAGACATTGTGCGCGCACCGCCCTCCCCGCTGTCTGATATCTATGGAGCCGCCTTGGGCGACATCACAGGCTCTTATGATCCTGTGCCCTATGATGCCTCACCAATGCAGGTACAAAACATCCTCCGCCATGCGATGTCAGAAGTCATCGGCAGCGAGATCGTCAACAACCTTGTTGTGACCAACTCCCCCGAGGCAAACGTCCAACTCACGAGGATCCACGAGCACTTATTCGCTCGTGCGTGTCAATTCTTACGTTCCCTCACTTGACAAATGCTGACGTTCGTGTCATGTATCAGGCAACCCTGTTGTAGCATGCGTTTGGCGCCGACAAACATTCTCAGCAGCAGTGGAGACCTGCGACCCAGAAATGACAGCCGCTATTCTTACAGAGACCCTTCCAGCGCTCACCAAAGTGCTTGGGGGATCAACAAATAACACAGCCCCGATTCTAGCAGGCGCATACACCTTCTCTCGCATGCTGCACGGGTCCCCATCATCATCCACCGACGCGTTTTACCGCAGCTTCGTTCCCGAGCTCGGAAGCATCCTCTATCCGCGTCAGATAGAGCTCGTGCGCCGCTGTCTCAAGAGCGAGCGAGGCGAACAGGATCGTGTAGGTGCGACGATCTTCCCTGGGCTTGTGAAGGTCACGAGGGGCAGCGTGACAGCTACCGAGCAGAATCAGGAGACGGTACATACGGTCGTGCGGCGCGCACAGGTGATCTGTGAATGTGCGCTCGCATCATCGGGGAATGTACCAATGCAAGGCTAGTGTGAACCCCTGGATTTATACCAGCTTTCACTTGGATAAGATGGAAAGGATGATACCGCGAGGGTGGGATATATCATGCAGTGATCTATATATTACTAGCATTCAAATCTATACGACGAGCAGCGATGCGAGTGTTGCTTGTGATTGTATCACCTATAACAGCGTTAGCGTGACATATACAACGACCTGAGACGTCAATACCTCAAGAGCCTGCAGAACCTCCAGCCGTCTTCGTGCAGCTTCCAGCCAATCATGAAGCAGCTCTCTTGCAGTTCCTTTTACTTGATTCAACTCTCTTGCAGCGCTATCGAGATCCTTCTCATTCATGTAATATTCCGCTCTCGATAATACACTCAGCACGTCCGACCCAGGACGAGTCCATGCCGCTGGAACCTAAATAAAGAGAGAAAATGCGAATGCCAAGTGTGTGAGCACACCTGCATCCCGATCGGGGACCAAAGCAACGCTCGAGACGCGTGGCCGAACAGAGGTGCTAAACCATGATGCAAGGTCTGCAAACGGCTCAACGCCAATGTCAGGCACGTCGCTTTGTTCGAGGGAATCCAATGCTGCAGCGATGATTACGTCTTCCTTGGCGACTGCGATGTGTCGGAGCACACGGAGCTCTTCACGGAATGGCTTGCGTATAGACGCGTCGACAGCGCTCTGCATAGCACGTATGGCAGTCCACATGCTGTGCACGCGAATATTCTCATCAAGATAGGAAGAATTATCGAGTGCGAGACGTTCAAGTCGTTTGAGACTCGTCGCGAGCTCGTCAAGCTTGGCGAGACGACCACCGCGTTCTTGTTCGACGCGGACTTTGACCTCGCGAATCCATCGCCTTTGCATCTCTATGCCCTGTGCGATCACTTCCTCCTTCAACCTGTAAAGAGTGAGTAAGGTGATGTATGCCGAGATAGTGACGGTCACCTACCGCTCGTTGATAAGTTCTGTCTGAGTGCGCAATTCCTGCTCCAATTTCTCGCGGTAAACCTGCGCGAACCTACCACGCTCCTCATCGTAAAATTTCCTGAAGCCGTCTTGTTGCGAATCCAGTTTATCCTGTGCCTCGAGTTCGAGTTCGAGAAGCTTTGTGGTATACTCCCGCGCTTGTTCGTCGAGCTTCATCTCTAGCTGCAGCTTCTCATCCTCCTTGATCTTCTCTATACGTGCAGCGAGGCCAGTGAGGTCACCTTTGGCAACCTCAAGAACATCTTTGGCCTTTTCGGAAGCAGCAGGGTTGGAGGCAAGGAAAGAGGCGAGGTTGTCAATCGTGGATGCGAGCTGTGTAATCACGGGTTCAGATACGGCAACTTCAGACACGGCTGGAGCGACAAGAGGCAGGGGCACAGGAGTGGGCTCCGCATCGGCCTTCGGGGCAGGCTTTGGGGGTACGGGGCGCTCATAACCGGGTGGGGGCTCGAAGCCGATAGGAAGCGGTGCAGCATAAACAATGACATTATCAGGATTCTTGTCCGATACAATTATAAGGTCGGTGTCATCGCGTGGTGAGATAGTATCTGCAGAGGACCCGGGCTGAGCCGGTGTGGTTGTCGCCTCATGAAGAGAGTCAACGGGCTTCCCAGCAAGGGATGCCTCTGCTCTGCGGATCAACTCGTCCAACTCGTCAGCGAACTGTGCACCGTGTTGTCGTGCAATGAAAATTGCTTTCGCAGGTTGCTTCCGGGACTGTCTCTTCCTCCACCTTTTTTACGACAGTCTTGAGGGATGCAGCGGCAGACTTTACGCGTTCTTTGGACTCCTGGAGTGCTGACTTGGCCGTCTTTTCAATTGTTGCCTCTGTCGGCGCGTTACCCAGCTGCGGTTGTACGAAGTTGTAGACGGTCTTGTAGGCGTCTACGGTAGCTACCACAACCTGTTCAACGGTAATCTCATCCCACTTGTGTGCCTCGCCATACTCGACGAGTTCCTTCCCCAAAGGAAGGTTTTCGGTGAACAGCTCACGGTACTGTTGGTTTTCGAATGAAACGAATGCGCTGCCAATGTAGAACGTGCCAGTCGTTGCCACTGTATATAATAAAATCCTGCGAACGACTTTTGCTGGTTTGGAACCAGATGAAGCATTGGAGGTAGAGGTGGTAGAGGCTAGTCGCTGGTACAGTTAACTCCGTCATAAGCCACGTCCCAGACAGCAATAGTATAAATTTATTTGCTCACCTTGCGAGAAGTCCGTACAAGGCCTCGTCCAACTGTCGCTGGGACATGTCTAAGGACGGCTATGGCACTGATGCATTGCCGCCGTTGTGGTGCTCGATGAGCTCAAACCAAAGACCGGGCTGGCGAATTGCAAGACAGAAATTGGTCCGGAAATTTCCGTGCTGCCGTTGTACTTCCCATCCAACCAACCATAAACGCATGCCCACTTGGTAGCGCCCATTGCCCAAATAATCTCAAAATCACGAATGCGACGGTCCATCAGCAAGTACTGTACTTCGGAAACCCGTGGTGCGTCAAGCCCCAAGGGTTGCAATGGCTCGCCGGTCATCATGGCTCACAATTCACGACTCATTACAGGTTCGGAAGTATGCAACTCCATCATTGTCTACCAACGGCATCGGGGCTCCTGGCGAACAGGACGTTACTAACCAACTCCAAGAAATTCAACCAGTCGAATCGACGTTTTGGTGATCTTCTGAAGAAGCACCTGGCCAGGAGGGCGTACTAAGTAATAGTATATACCCTCGGAAGGAACAACTATCTTCCTTCTCCTAAGGTCTGATCAGGGGAGACTACTGATACGCGCGGTAACGATGGGGCCTGTCTCGAGGTATCCCTCGATCCCCGTGAGCTTGTCACGAATTTTAAAGATAATATTGGGGTAGGTTACTTCGTAGATGACTTTTCGTACTAGGTGTGTTGCTGCAAGTCCGATACATGCTTGTTTCTGATCCTATTCTAGATAGAAAATTCTGCAAATAGCAGCCGCTGTGATGACATGCACTGATGCAGTCTCTTAGACTGTATTTAACCCATGTCGAGGATGGAATTATCAATCACTGCGTGGCTTTCGTCATCGCTGAGTCGGCGGTGACATGTCAATGGATGACTTTCCATAGGATGATATCATATATCAGTGTCTTTTATCAAGCGTTGCAAAATGAGATGGAGATGGAAGCAATCGACGACAGAATCTGCGCTCATTGTTGCAGCTGCTGTGCTGGTGGGAACCAAGCTGACTCGACAGGAACACATCGACAGACGTCAACCACAACGACAATACCTTTGCCGTGCGCAGTTCCTTCCAAATCCATGGATGAGTATTCTGTAGCAAGCTTTATTTGCAAGAACGATCGAGCTTTCATTACGACCATGGGCTTTGACGTAGAAACATTCACCTTAATACTCATCTCCGACTTCGCGAAACAAACACCATTCCTCGTGTCGAACATCGATCTCTTGATGCCGGGTCAGGCTGCGAGATGTGCAATGGATATGCAACTGTCCGTAGAATCCTGGGGTATGGTTCCCACGTCCCAGTTCGGTCGCGACTGTATGCATTGCCAGCACCGTCGTAGTGGAATTCAGTCATGAGTATAGAACTTCGATGAAGTGCAGTATCAGAGAGAGAGGACCCAAATCAACGAATGCTCATCTTGTACTCCTTGGCCAGGAGTCCGACGGCTGTCGGCTGTCGTCATTCTGGAATTGCACGCCAATCTATTACAATGCAAAGGGCCTTGACATGGTTGCTGTCCGACGAGATGGTACAAAAACAGAAGGTAGGGTTGGAAAATGAAAATTTCTTGAGGGGACTTTCTCATTGGACGTGGCAGTTGTCACGTCGTACGCAAGCTGATGTTGAAACATCAGGAGGCACTGCTATCCCTTGGCAAGTGCTAGTGTCAGGCTCAGATATTCGGCTCATCACAAAGCGTCCAAACCAGTACCTATAGAAACAAGGTAAATATCCGTGAAGTGCCTGCAAGGTGCGGTCACTAGTCGGCGTTGGACGACAGGTAAGATTACTGTCAGCGGATATCATTGGCGTGAGTGGTCCTAAAAAGGCAAAGTATGAGTTTTACTTGGTTAGTCTATCTCGTCGTACACATCAGATTTCCAGCGGATGAAGCCGAGACAAGGTTTTTACGACATGAGTGCAATTCGAAGAACAAGCATTCAATATTCAATATTCACGGGGCCTGGTTTCTGTCCCGAACTAGTAGGTACTGCATCATATATTCATCAGACAATCACGGAAGGATGATGCTATCACTGGCTGTGCAAATTGATCATCCACCTCAGTTGACATTAGGCCGCTGTACGGTGGATTGGGCCTAGTATGTCTCACAAGTTTTGCGTTGGAATGAGGGGGTAGGTATGAGAGCACAAATCCGGCAGAGCATTCCGCAGGAAGGACGAGGTAGATTTAAAGGCGACCAGGTATTCCGAGGCGTGCTTGGAGTCGTGGCAAAGGGGTGGTGGAGGCGTGACCGCGTGGCAAAGAGGTGGTGGAGGCCCCGGGGGTCGGGTAGCTGCACAGGTGCTGCGGTAAGTCAAGGCAGGGCCGATCTAAAAAAATCATATTTCGGCGAGATAAAAGCGTTTGACGGTTGGTAGATAAATTCCGTACGAATACTGGCTTTCGGTGGCCCATCGTACGTCCACTGAAATTGCCACTCACTCTCACCCCTCCCTCCGTTATGACCGTAATTTCAGATGATCCCAGTCAATGGCCGCTGATCAATTCGTATAATTTTCACAGTTATTTTATAGGTTCGTGGAGAGTCGGTCGGTTGATGTCGGTGATGTCTTGAGCTAACGGTTTAATAGTTGCAGCCTCCTGCTGCGATTATGTATGATTGGGGTAAGCAAGACAGTAGTAAAGAATCATAACATTCTAACAATGTTCCTAGCACTCGCTTTCGGACAAGAGGTGGGTTGATGGAATCACCGGAGTAGCCATCTCATTAAGCATGGTGTGATAGGTCGAGCTAATTTGGGTGAGTGAAATATCTTATCAGCAAAAAAAGCATGATAATAAACTTGATTCGGAGCAGAAGCAACGCTGGTCTCTCATGACTTTTTTATATCTCAGTGTACGTACTTTATGTTATATATTGGCGTGTTATGTTGACTCAAAATACTATAGGTGCGCTATGTTGCACTGCCATACGTTGTGTAGGTTTACACGACTACCAAGTTCGCGCCATGCTAATAGGCTTCATCTGACAATCAGGATCTTCATGCTTAGTATGTTTCTTGACATACACCGTATTTGTTTCTTTGACCAGCGGCGCATAGTAACTCTTCCGACAATCTCGGTGGCAGATACAGTGAGCGCCCTGCCCTGATGCCTGTCATTCTTGTCTAATCAACTGCACTTTTACGCAGGGGTAAGTGATATTCTTGATAAATTGTTCAGCATAATGACTGCAATAGCTGTGAGTTCGTTTGTAGTATTTTGAGCCTCTGAGCCTCATCACTGACTGGGTTTTTAGGCAATAATCTGTACCTAGCACTAAATTGGCTTAATGTGGTCATCACTGCCTTGTTGGGAAGTGAGCTACTCAGAAGCTTCAGTAATCTTGCATTGGCTGACTGATCACGCAAGTCATCATGATCACTCGGTTACATGCCATGTATCAGCGATCCAGAAAGATGCTTATCTTTCTTGTTGCAATCTTCCTGGGTATCACGATCGCGTGCGTGGGGATTACTGCAACAGGAACAAGCCATACCATAGGGGGTAAGCTTGAATTATTGATTAAAGACATCAGTGCATCAGGCTTATTGAATGAATACCAGAGGAGTTCATTCTCTCCGGCAACTATCAATGCAATTATAACTATGAGGGAGATGCCCGAATTCTCAATTCCATGACTTGGATACTCTGCACTCTTTGGGAGGTCCTCTCACTATGTCTTGCAGTCTGGATTGCTGTGCAACATCTTTATGAACTGCCACGACCATTCAGGACAAGGACTATCGGCGACTGTTTGACGGTGGTAATAAAAACTCACGTAGTTTACTTTGCAAGGTGAGCTGTTTGAATGTAGGTATCGTAGTTTGCTGAACTGCACCTGCTAGTTTCGCTGTTAGTTCTTGCTTTGCCCTTGGTTTTTTGTCCCCAACGCTCATGGTATGCCGATCGATCTGTCACTGATATCTTCGTGCGACCGTTGTTGATGCATTTCTATAGGACTCAAATTCCGTAGGAACTGTGGCTTATCACGGTATTCTCGATGTTTTGTCAGTCGTGCAGATGTTTGTGCTAGGACCGCGCCTCATCCTCAGCGTTCGAGAATATAGCGCCAAGCTTGAAGCCGACTTCAATGTAGGAACCCGCACGACTTCGCTTGTTTTCCATCCGCACGCACACGCATCAACCGGCGGTAGTGTTTTCACGGTGTAGCGCGAAGACCTCTTCGAGATTAAATTGATACTAAGCAATGTCGGGCGCTCTTCAGGGAGTAGGAGAGTCTTGTTTTGTCGTTTGTGGTGATTGCGTGTTTTACGGATACGCCAATATCATATTGTACTACTACCAACGGAACTGGCTGGCCACCCGTACTATGTAACAGTTTTGAGACCTTAGATTTCGAATACCAATCGAACATGTACTTAGAGAAATATTGTTATAACTTTGCGTTTGCTGTCGTGAAGCGCTCTTAGTAGTAGTGACGAGAATGAAAGAAAATGTTTGCTTTATTGAAGCAGATAGTTTTTTGGGTGGAAGCCCCGAAGGGGCGACCCGGCCCCAATGGCGGCCCCAACCTGTGCGAGAGAGCCGAGGTGAGCTGCGAGGGCGGGTGGGCATCCTCGCAGCCTCAAACTCAGCAGGTCTAGGTACCAGCCACCCGGGCCCCTGGAAGAGGGATGTAGTATATAGTTAAGGCTGACTGCCTTTAGGTAGCAGTAGTAATGTAAGCTGCGAGGATAAGGGAGTGGTGGGTGGGGAAAAGAAAAGCAGAAGGCAAAAGGCAGGTTTGAGCCTGCTGGAGCGTGGCGCGAGCACTGCGTGGTGCGGAGACAAGAGAGGCCACGTGCTACACTGCCGCTGCCGCAAAGTCCTAATTCTAACCCTACACTCGTACCTCGCTTCGGGGTAGAATATCAATCCACGAACCGCGGAGGCTTTAGCCTTCTAATTTGGGACGAGTCATTTTGTGCCAAATCAATTTTGTTCAATCGAAAACGCGATCGTAACTGTACATGATACATCGGACACAGACTTCAAAGCCTCAAGCTTCAAGCTCAAGCTCTACAGATGATGGTCTATCCCGAATGAAATACGCTCACAAACAAGGACCACCGCACCACTTTGTCTGCTCACACTACCATTATCAACATTTACTGGCGAATTGAGGTTTCCAAGAAAACTACCCAGTCCAATCAATACTCCAAACCCCTTGTTTTTCAGGATGCGGGCCGGTGTATCAAGCTTAAGTAGTGGTGCTTTGGCCCGTATAAAAGGGCTTTGTGTTCTTGATCAACTTTAGCGATCTGATCACAAAGATTTTTTGGGAGGTCAGTGAAAGCCGTAAGCTGCTGACATCAATACATGGTGACTTGTTTCTGATTCGTTGACCTCCCTTAGAACCACAAACAAACAGCAAGCGCTGTGATGACAAGGGGAGGCTTGGGTCGTGATTCTTCGTGGACAAGGTTGGAACCATAGGCTTGAAACTATTGCACAGCTTTTGTGCCCGCCCCATGGTCTCCTGTAGTATTCCGGTGGAGATCTTGCAGTGTGCTCCTCACCTCTTCATGCCTCTGATACACTCATGACGTTCTATATCAAACCGGGACAGCAGAAGGTCAATGAAGGACGAAGATGGATGTCGTGCGGTTATGCAGTCATCTCTGTGTCTTCCTTTTCGGCCTCCCTATTCCGTTTTCAGCCAGAGGTGGTCTCGTATGTGGCGATATGTTTCACCGGCCTATCCTCATTGATACAAAGCTGATGCATCAACCGTAAGATGGATTTAGCGCAGTGCCTTTTGCATCATCAGAATCACATGTCATTACCTTATTTCGTTGCACTCGTGACCACAATGCGAAGGGGCGACACATGCTGAGGACTTTTGAGGAAGGCGCACATTTGAGGGATTTGTACATCGGCGCGTCTGCTTCGAGGCGTTGCAGGGGCAGTGGGAGATGTGAGTTATCTGTTCGGTATGTTTGGACCTATCTCAGTTTTCAAGTCTCATTTTAGGTTAAGCCGACAGCGTGTGGCCTTGTTACGAGACCTCATATGAGCTGTTGTGGTCACCAAGTCCTGGCCAGCGAGGCAGAGAGTCTGATACTCGTTGAGAATTGTTGAGACGGCAGGCTTTTCCGCCATCTTATCGCGCCTAATGTTAGACTGGTGATCATCATCATCTACTGATGGGACTTCTGAACTGATACAAGTATGGTGAGAACATCTCGAGAGTGTCATTGTCACCAACTACCCGAAATTATGAACACCTTTCCGAGCCTATTTTGCGGCGTTCAAAAATCCCACATGACACCACAGCCGAACACACATTGTATTGTCGAACGCATCCATTTTTTACTTTCTTTCATGTGTCAATCTTACTTCTGTCAATGAAGGCAGGGACAAATTACATGCTCATCATGCCTATTTCAGTGATAAAAGCGCTCGAGGATCCCATATCTACCACGCGTGCCTCCTTACGGCAGGTTCGCTACTCTCTCGCATCTATCCTCCGAACATGACCATAGTCTCAAGTGATCCCAGTTGGTGGCCGCTAATCGAATCAAATAATTTTTACAGTTATTTTGTAGGTTCGTAGAGATTCGCTGGAATGATGTCGGTGACGTTCTAATCTTGAATGTGATCTTAAAGTCGCCTCCAGTGCTGCAGTGATATACGATTGGGGTGACCAAGATAGTATTATTAAGAAAACCCGCTGAATTTCTCATGACATTTTCAGCACTTGCATTGGGACAAGAGGTAGGTTGATGCCATAGTCAGAGTAACCATCTCATCAATAATGGTTTCATACTAGTTTGAACTGGTTTGGGTGAGCAGAGTCCCATATTAGAAAACAACATCCAACCAAGTCCGGGGCAGGGGAAACGTTGGTCCCTTGCGACTCTTCTATATCTCTGTGTACGTACATTGTGTTATGAGCGCAGTTGGCCAGTTGTGCTTACTTCAAAACACCCTAGGTGCGCTACCTTGGAATGTCATACACCGTGTATGTTCTTTTTACGAGACTAAGGTTGACGCTGTGTTAATAAGACATCTCTCACAATCAGAATTTTCATGCTGCGTATGTCTCATATACACTATGTTTATTGCTTCTGACTGGCTGGATACAGTAAGTCTTCCGAGAGTCTCGGTGACAGATGTAGTGAGTACTCTGCACGAGAGCCTGTCATTCTTGTTCACACAACCACACTGTATAGGGGTGAGTAAGTTTGCTGACCTGCTGATTCAATATAATGATAGCGATAGCTGTGAGTTTGTTTCGAACGTTTGTCTTCCGAGGCTCATCACTAGCTGGGATTTTTCAGGCAACGTCATATACTCTGCACTAACTTGGATAACTGTGGTCGTAAATGCCATGCTGGGAGGTGAGCTACTGAGTTATGATACTTCAGATGATGTTAATTTGACCGAAACATCATGCAAGTCATCATTATCACTCGGTTACATGCAATGTATCAGCAATCCAGAAAGATACTTGCCTTTCTCGTCTCAATCCTCCTGGCTGTCACGATCACCTGCGGAGTGTTCGCCGTGATAGGAGACAGATATACTGTAGGAGGTAAGCTTGAATTATGGCTTGAAAGACTTGAGCGCATCAGGCTCATCAGACATACAGAGCAGCTCATCCTTTCCGGCACCTATCAGTGCACTTATGACTATGAGGGAGACGTCGGACTTTTAGACTCTTTGGCTTGGATACTCTACACTATATGGGAGTTCCTCGCACTGTGTCTTGCAGTCTGGATTTCTGTTAAACACTTCCGTGCACTGCGCCACCCATTGGCTGGACGGACAATGGGGGACTGTTTCTCAGTGTTGATAAAAGCTCACGTGGCTTACTTTGCTAGGTAAGCTCATCATTTCAAATGGAGTTATCTTTTAAGCTGAAGTTCCGAACGTGCAACGTGAAGCTTTGTGGCTGTTTCCTGCTTCCAGATCGGTTATCTCTCTCCAGGGATCCTGGTACGTCGATCTTTCACTTAGTGGCATCTGCTGGTCATCATTGTTTCGCTGTATCCATAGGACTCGTCTTCAGTAGGAGCTGATGTCTACGCTGGACTACTTGAATTTGCGTCAGTCTCGCAAATGTTTGTACTGGGTCCACGCCTCATTCTTAGCATTCGAGAATATGACGCTAAGCTCGTTGCCAACTCCGATGCAGGAATTGACATGCCTCCAATTGTTTTCCAGGAGGGCAGCGATGTGTCAATTTATGGCGATGTGTAGCACTGGAAAGGCTCCAAGCAAGCAATCAACATTTATCAGGTACTCTTCTGAGAAGGGCAAGAAACCGTTGTTCAAAGTTTAGCTGTAATACTTATTTGGTATTCCAATGTATATTTGACAAGAAAAGTAAGTGTATGTGATGCCCGAAGATATATACCTAGAAGGGCCTTGATTACCATGCCTGTTGTTTGTGCCCACTCTTTAATTAGATACGAGGGCGAGAAGATGACAACCACCAAAGTCTGGTTAGTGATCACGCATCCACAACGGTATATCCAACATCTACCCAGGCTCTCATGCGATCTCCATACCGAATAGTAAGAACAATAAGCCTATATGCTAGTATAAGCTCGGTGACTGCAAGTGTTCTACAACAGTACTCACCCATATCCAAGAATCGCAATCATGGTAGCTATGCTATTTGTCGCTACCAACCCTAGTATTTCAATCGATGGAAGTACGGCTGCAGTCACTGGTGCAAGAATGATCGCACGGAAAGCACTGCGAGATGGCTCAGTGCGAAGCCCAACCACCGGGGTTGAATGCTACTCACGTAACTGCAGCGATTACCTCTGCGCTACGTGATTGTAGCACATCGACATTGTACGAGCCGATCGGTGTGAGAACGAAATCCACCTGTATAATATGAGAGGTTTGAACGTGAAAAAAATCATACACGAGTTTACAACTTACTCCAATGCCATTCATAAAGAAACAAAGTAAATTCAATACCAAACCCAAGGGTCCAGCGATGTACGTGGTGATCAATCCAGAAAGACAAACGGATAAAGGGACAAGCGGTCCACCGACCAACACTGCACGTAGCCGATCTTCAGGGACCCAAATGCCTTTCCGCCGGGCCTTCCATTTTTCAATCATAGCGTCGGATAACCGCCCAGCAATTGGCGAAGCGACTCGTGTATGAAAGATTAAGAAGACGACTCAAAAAGTAGGATGTATGCATACATACTGAAGTTTCCGAGTCCACTGGGGAGGAAGCATGCACCGATCAGTGCCTCGTTAGATATGTGGTATCGAGCACCCTGGAATCGCAGGTCAACAGACCAGATAGTTTGAAATAGGATGGCAGACTCACGATCGTGTAGGCAATTGGGATCAATAAAACTAAGGCTTTGGTTAGACTGGAAGACGACGTCCATGTTCTCAACATGCCATATTCTGTAACCATTGCAGAGGCATTTGCTAGTGTCTGAGAACAAGACCTTAGGCAGTGCACAGTCAGAAGAAAAGTGAAGACAAACGACAGCCATGATATTTGGACTACGCAGCAGCCAAATACTGCTGAAAGGATTGATCCAAACGAAGTTGGACGGTGTCGTCGGCTCGCTAATACCTCCCGAATGCGAATGACTTGTCTCTGGCAAAAACAGATAGATAAAAACCATCTCAATGAAGCCCCATAGTCCAAGCGACCACTGTAGGCTGCGCCATGACCAGTAATGTGCTGCAGTGCCTCCCGTAATAGGTGACAATGCAACACCAAGAAGACAAGCCTTGGCAAGAATTGATTGGTTGCCGAAAGCTTATCGTACGGGCACATACGTACCCCAAAGAAAATACCCATAGGCTGTACCTCGTTGCTCGACCCTATAGATATCGCCAATAGCAGCTGCACCTACAGACACTCCGCCAGCGCATCCGAATGCCTGAAAAAACCTCCAGAACAGCAACCACCTGAGAGATGTTGATGCTGCAACACCAAAGCTTCCCATACATAGGATAGGCATACCCCACAAGTACATTGGGCGGCGCCCGTCTTTGGGGAAAAATGAAAATGAGATTGTTCGACTGAAGAAAGCATATCAAAAGCCTACAAACTGAGGAGTACGCTGCCCACACCAAACCCCCGATCGCATTCGCAAAGACCGACAAACTCACAGCCAAGCTGCGGACAGCCCGGCTCGGTATCACGAGCTAGCGCATAGTGCAGAATTTGGAAACATACCTCACAGTAGCACCCGTTGAATTAAGGTCATGAGCTATCTGAGGAATAGAAGGAACCAAGGTCCCAGTCACGAACACTGTAGAGACAAGATCGACTCAGTTGAAGAGTGTATTTTTTGACTTATACGCACTAGGAAGCAGCCCTGCAAAGGACACTACGAAGACAACGACGTTTTTCTGAGCCTTGCTGAATCGGTTGTACACACTGTCCAAGTCGTCAGGGGTATGCACTCTATCTCCCTCGAGCAAGGGGCTTTCCTCCGAAGGGCACATCACCGTAGACTCGAAAGAACAGTACCTTTACGTATTGATTACGAATCTGGGGTCGACGCTAATTCTGGCCATTTTCTAGGTGTAATCTAAATCCGTCACCGGTGAACCGGACCAATCCTTGTAACTTGATTATAGTAAAATATATCCTTTTATGGATATATTAATGTCGACGTCCAGGATGTGTCGCAGACTCTTATTTGGCGACAGTATGAGCGTCGTCTTGGCATTGAGGCGGCGTACGTCGTAGGCTAGTACTATACAGCTGTAAGGTTAGTCATATTTGCTCCACCTTGGGCCACTCCGTTTCTTATCTGTGCCATGTTACAGAATGGGACCTTGAAACGCTTGTCGATGATGCCTTAGACCTGTGCCATTAGGTCGATGGCCACATAATTTCATACGGAATACCTTGATTGATGCAAGTACGGCAAGAACACCTCGAAGTGGCGTTTCAAATTGTAAACAAGCCGCCGACATCCCGAAACACTAGTACTGTTCGAACTTTCTTGATGCTCTAACAGAAGTTCCGCATGCATGTACAAGTACTGGTTTGCAGATCAGAGTCCATTTTGATTCAATCGAGGGCTTCCGCTTCTTACTTTATTTCGCACCCAGGCTGCCGCGATACTTCAATCAATCAAGGGTATTGAGACAGGAACAAATATCCCATTATGCCGAATATTTTGGCGATACAAGCGCTGAGGGGTGTTATATCTAGCACGAACACTAGATCGCTATATGGCACACCCTCAACATCCACCGAATATGACCCTGGTCTCAGATGATCTCAATTGGTGGTTGGTAATTTGGATAGGTTCGTCGCATCAAGATGTCTCGATCTAACATTGACTTACGGGTTCGCAGTTGTCGCTGGCGTCGTGGTGGCACATGATTGGGGTGAGCAGGACAATGTTCGAAACCCGCTGATATGTTCATGATATTTTTAGTACTAGCATTCGGACAAGAGGTGGGTCGGTGCTATTGTCGGAGTAGCCAACTTGCTAAGAATGGTGGTATATTTCAGACGATGTTTATGTAGACAAACCCATTTCTTGTTGTATTATCCGGAACGTCTAGCAACAAACCCAGTCCTCGATGCCCAGACAGCTGATTCTGCGCGTTTGTAGAGTTCCGCTGTCTGAGCACATAGATGATGAAGAAGTGACCGTGAATCATGACTCGGAAGCCTGGCTGATAATTCATTGGTGCTCAAATGCGTTTTCGTCTGTCTGGGTCACGGAGAAGGAATAGGAATCAATCGCGCACGTGGTTCGACTGTATGCCTCCATCGCAAGTAAGCATGGCAAGGAGGCGAGGTGTACCGAGCGGGGAGTAGATAATCAGAGAATTGGAGCTAACTATTAATGAGAGACATCGACCACGATATTCTGAAATTGCATCCATACATGCTATTTGTTCCGCCCATGGGACTGCAAATTGTCCGTCGGGTTTGCAACCTTGCAATGTTCTGTTGAAGTCCATCCCGCTGAGCTGGACCGTCAGAGTAAAGTACCAAACGAGATATACTATATCCACTGGCATCTGGACCGGACAAATTGAAAGCGAGAGGCTGGAATGTAGAAGTAGCGTGTCTGACCTCAGACAGCTTCATGATGGCACAACGGTTCCGTAGCATAATGATGATCGGACTCTCCAGGTAGAGCGCCCTCAGGCTTGCCATTCAAGGGTATTTCGCCCAACCAGGGTATCGGGAGTCGGGAGTCGGGACCCTTTTGTTTGTCCAGCTCCACAAATAAACAGAAGCTCTAAGAGGAAATAGGTTCCCTGACTCCTCTCGGTGCCATGTAAAGATCATTTTTATTCTAGGCTAAACGATTCGCGATTGTGGCAGTCTGCGCCTATCATTCTATGTTGCGAGATGCTTCAAGCTGCCAGGACTTCATTCTGAATAATCAGTACTCTTTATACAGTTTTTCCAGGTCTTCAGCACACGGCCCACTTTGTAAACTCTATGGTCTAACAAGAAATTCCAAGAACCTAGATGCATTTGCACAAACGCATCCGAGATGGGCTGAGGCTTGTCTGATCTGGCCTAAAACTGGACTTGGGACTTGAACTCGTAACCAGTTTACCTACGCGCGCTTTTCGCCAGTCGAGCATCCGACGTGGTATACGCCAGGCTGGTCACGAGTCTACTCAGGACTACCAAAGGGTGGGGAAGCCCATGTAGTGAGTATGGATTCTGCTTATTTTGGGTATTCTCATCAACCTTGGTCAGGCACGAACCGCACGACATGCTGGTCGTGGAATATATTTGTTCCTTATCTTACTCATCTTACCACAGACAACATCGTCGTGAGCATTAACAATCGCAACTCGTAAACCGGCAATCGATTGTCTGTGTCCTAATGAATCACATAGAGGGTGATAATGAACTTCCGGGGTACACACCTCAAGCCGGTAGCAGCGTAGCTCCACTAGACGCCTTAACCCCCGGTTCTGAACACACCATATCGCTTGAAGACAGCAAGGGACACAAATGGCTTCTCCTTTCGGTGAAAAGTCGTGCTCCTTCCCCGGAGTCTTGGCCAGTATTTCGTGCTGGCGATCTCATCTCGGGGAGCGTGACTCTGGACATTTTGAAGTCAGAATCATCCAAGGCTATTATAGTAACAGTAGGTCACCATCTATTTGCGCAACTTCTCGATGCTTATGGGCGATACAGGTGACAGCTGCGACTACTTCAATTGGACAGGAAGGGCAAAGTTTTCTTGTTATCGAGAAGGAGTTGTGGACTCCAGCGATGGCCCTTCCTGATGGATCCATGGCGTCCAAACTCGAGAAAGGCCATTACACATGGCCTTTCGAAATAGCACTTCCAGACGAGACGGAAGTTTTGGACCGTAAAGAGAAGAAGAGATTCCCCCTTCCGCCTTCATTCACAGAGCGAGCCAGTCCCGCTTACATCAACTACAGGATTACTGTCATCATTAAGCGGGGCGCACTGAGAGTGAATCAAACGTGTGTTCCCTGCTCTCTCGGATGCTCTTCGGAACCATTCAATAATCCTTAGTTTAACCACGGATTTTGCATATGTCCCGAATACGAAACCGGAACTTCCATCTGCTATGTTACAGAAAGCATATAAAGAAAACATTCCATTCGTTGGTCCTGAAGGTGAGTTGTCGAGCGATGTAGTCTTCAATGCTTGTGTTTAATACTGGTAGGTGATCCGGAGGGGTGGTACATCCTTCCATCAGTCACTATTACAGGCACTCTTTTTGGTGCCAAGAGAGGGAATGTCGATTTTAACGTAGGTCGATCTCCAGTTTTGCGGTTCGCAAGGCTCTAAAACGATAAAACATCTGTAGCTAGCACTAGCCAAACCAGTAGGTCTATTCCTGACTCCGAGCATCAGGCCTCTCACTGTGCCCATAGCTCAGTTATGCTCGTGGTTCTGCAATGCCACTATGGCTAACTTTTACAGGCTCAGACGAGCAAGCTCTCGATTTACTCGCCAATCACCAAGCCATCCGTGTTTTCCTGAAGCGATCATTAGCTACAGGCTCGGACGCAACAAGTGATCATGCTGGGAAGCATACAGACAACTTCTTCGTTCAAACAATAGCACGTGCTGTTTTCTGGCCAGCTAGGGACGCCAGTACTACGGGGAAGCGGATTCTCCAAGGTGAAGTGAACTTAAAGAAGGCATTCAAACAGAGTGTTGTTTTCCCCCGATTTTCTGTGAGGGTCAGTAACTTTCTTTCCTGTCTTTCTGGAAACCCGTTCACCAGCGTGTTGTTTGCAACCTGTGATCGGGTCACAGTACCATCTAGAAGTTCATCCTTTCGAAGCAGCTGGCTTCGTACATGCACCGCATGTCTCCGGCCCACTACTGACACAACCAGTTAATGTGACATCTTTCCACGCCACTGGCATTGTAATGCGCTCCTTTGCACCACCCAACTATGCAGAGGAAGTTGAGAATTTGGACAACTCTGTTGGTTTGCTAGAGAATGGAAACCAGCGCTTCTACCATCACGGAGGGTACGGAATCTCCTGAGATGTGAAGGGGAGGTGGGAGTCGTTATTGAATCCCGCGTTGAGTATGTATGTATGTATCTCCTGGTATTTGAATGAGTGTTATACATAAAATGTGAAGTGAATGTATATCACTCTCCAAGGCCCATAAGGAGCAAGGTCTCGAATGTCTCATCACTCTTCTTGCCACACGTCCCCCTTGCGCCAACGCCTCCAAGTAGATCAACATTCTCCAACGGAATTGTCCAGTTAAGTGATTCTGGACGTCTACGTGCCACGAAGATGAATGCCAGATCGTCATCACCCCCTATATCAGATCCGAATCGCTCCCACTCAGAAGACGAGTTGTTCGCATCAATCTTTCGTGCAATGACAGGCTCAAACGAGAACCACAGGCCGAATGCTGACCAGAATGGAGTCTCTTTAGAAAGACTCCGGATTTTGTATGATATGATGACTCGTGGTTGTGATTCGAAGAGGGAGACAGAGGGTGGAGAGGTCAGATGGAGAAGGGTGCATAAAAGGGGCGCTAAAAGTTCCGGAAAATATACCTATATTTCTGTCAGTGATCGGTCTTCGAGCATGGAGAGCACCATAGTATTTACAAGATCGCTGCAGATGATGTGCGTGATACAGCCATGCTCATGTCCACTTGGATCATCAACGAGCTTAAGTTCTCGTACGATGTTGATGGCATGATCATAACTCCCCCACGAAAGAGGTCGTACTAAAGTAACCTGTGTGTTTCCTGAATCCCCCTTTGGTGTGACGAGAAGATTCTTCTCCAGAAGCGGGCAGACTTCGGGCAGATCAGTTGCAATGACCAGATCTCGCCCGGACAAAGCAGCTGCTTGAGCTATTTTCGCTGCAACGATGCCCGTGCCAGAACCGAGCTCGAGAAAAATTCGTTTGTGCCCAGATAGATGCTTATCGATCAAGGGCGGGTCAAACTCCCAAGTACAAGGATTGTCGATGTAGCTGGTCACTAGATATGCTGCTTCCCTACATGATATCACGCTCAGAGCGAGGGAACGGAAACATCAAAGCAATATCTAGTCACCAAACGCGACCTGCGATCCCATAAGTCTCGATCCCTTCCCGCTGTGCCTCAGCACCAAAGACAAGTTGTTGTTTATCCCCAAAATCGCATGTAGAGTAAGTTTCACGTGGAAGCAAAGGACCGATCGCGAGTTCTTCTGGGAAATTGACGTGGTTGTGCACCCCAGTCATGATCGCAGGTGCAAAATAGCATCCTTATTTGTCCGTATTAGCTTTGAAAGCTTCAGCCTTCCATTTTGGGGTCAAGTAGCGCCCTATTTTGGAATTCATATGCAATCGGCATTTTAGCCGGTACTGGGACCGGTAATTCCGAGCTCTTTTGTAGTCTCCACACAAGGTGGATATATCTCAGTTGCACATTTCTATTATGTCAACACAGTCCCAATCAGCGAAGCAGGCGCAGCAACTAACGCCTTTTGCATCTGCGTTGGCTGGTGCCCTTGGAGCTTGCTTCAGTAATGCGTGAGTACTGCTCGACTACCCATGCACCAGCTGTCCTGACTCATCAATAGTGTGGTGTATCCTCTTGATGTGTGCGTCGGCGATCGCATTTCATGAGATATGTTTCTAATCTTATCGTAGTGCTAAGACCAGGATACAGGTAACCTCATCGGCTGCACGAGGAAAACGCAAGGACGACCTAAGCATGCTATCGTTGCTGCTCGAAATATTCAAACAAGAGGGAATTAATGGGTGGTACAGAGGCTTTGCTGCAACGATGCTCAACACTTTCTCGATGCGTGTGTCTTCAATTACCTCTCTTACATTCCCCCATCGAGCTGAATACCCCAAGAATATGCCTACTTTTTCTTCTACTCATTCATACGCTCATCATACATCAAGCGCATGAGTTTGAAGCTGCCTCCTGGTTCAAAAACTCCTGCACTATCCACAGCTGCTGAACTCTCCCTCGGTGCAGCTGCAGGCGCGCTATCCCAGATTTTCACGATTCCCGTATCGGTTATCGCAACCAGACAACAAGTCGGGCGCTCCGTCCGAGCGTCCTCACAGTCTTCCAAAGATGAGAGACCAACGGATGAGTCTTTATTAGCTGTCGCTCGTGAGATTATTCGCGAGGATGGCATCACAGGGCTGTGGCTAGGCATTAAGCCCGGCATGGTCCTGACTGTGAACCCTGCCATCACGTACGGCGTTTACGAGCGTCTCAAGAGCTTGTTGTTGCTCGCAAGTTCTGCAAATGGTAAATTGACTCCAGGAACGTCGTTTTTGCTCGGGGCGTTTAGCAAGACGCTCGCTACTATTGTGAGCTTGATACATAGTTGGGTGGCTGGGTGACGTCTCCTGACATCGCTTCCTAGGTAACATATCCTTATATTATGGCCAAGGTTAGAATTCAGGCCCGTTCTACTGATAAGGATGCGTCAGAGAGTGAGGGTCTGCCTGGTGGTCAAATTGGAAATACAAAACCCAAAGCAAAGCAAGCCGGTGCCGTCAGCCTCCTCCTCAGAGTCCTGAGGAAAGAAGGATTTGTCGGGTGGTATCAGGTCGATATTACCAATCTAATACTCGCTATCTGACGCTGACCAAATTGAACAGGGGATGTCCGCGCAGATAATCAAAGCCGTACTTTCTCAGGCGTTGTTGTTTGTATCCAAGGAACAGTTCGAGCATTGGGCCCTGGCTATCATGGTCTTATTTGCAAAGTTCAGTTCGCGGTCATGACGACGCACGTTTGTTCTTGGAGAGTCAGGATCAGTTAGTCGTTTGCCTTCTGGGAGGTGTATACCCTTTGTATTGTGTATCATCCAGGAACCTTGACGAATAGACGGATCATGTACCCATCCAGATGAGGCGTGTCTGGCCCCAGCTTATTTACTTTTTATGTAGTTGTCAGGTATCGAGGTAACGAGTCATGGTGATGTATGATCGAGTCAAAACATGTCGGATCGCGATCGTGGAACGGGTAACACAGCCCAAAAAATGATATCTCTGTTTCTGGAAACGAAAATTCGTGCTAAGGAGTGTGTATGATCATGAGAAGTAAATAATGGATGAGTGATGGAATACAACTTGGTCGTGTGGGGTATGTGGGTCGAAGGGAACACGTGAAAATAACTAAGTATTGGTACAACAGCTCATACTAAAAGTCCAATGATCTTCCGGCATATTAGACAGACGAAGTGAACGAATGAATGAAGACCCCTCGTAAAAATTCAATAAATTCATGTGATTGCTCCCGTACAGATCTGAATCGTTTCAGGTCGTCCCAGATCGTCAGATCATTTGTGAGAGCGTGATGCGAATCTCGCATCTTGGCATCAGGGTTGCATCACGCACTGCAGTCGAGCATTTCCCAGTCATCACTGAAGTTCACTGAGGAGAGGTTAGAAAAGGTGGCACCAAGCGCTTAGACTACTCACCCTCCTGTGTTGACACAAGCATCTCGAGGTCCCGAGTAGCGGTTAAAATAGACACAGCCATACGAGGACCCATACGAAGAATCTTCGCGCCTTCAGGGGAGCACCGCATACGTGTTCTGATTGCGATGCGGTACAAGTCCGGCTCGGGTTTCGAACGAGGGAAAGAAGCGCGGGGCGGAAGGAGTTTCTGGGTCGGTGATAAGGGGGAAGAGGTCCGCAGCCCTGCTGTTTGGTTGTGTGGCGGGCGAGATTTTGGTGATTGAAGAGTGAGTTTAGCGAGCTGCTTGGTGGAGGGTGGAGCAATGGTAAATTCGGGACGGCTGCGGCTGAGGGCTGCTTTACGCCGTTCACGCTGCTCCTTGTAGTGGTATAGAGTACGATTGTAGGGAACGACAGGGGGTTGGGTCTTTGCGTAAATCGAATATGAAAAGGGGCCAGACTGTAACGAGACATCCTCGTCACCGTCATAGTCCGACAAGGAGAGAAAAGAAGCAGTGCGACGAAGAGACATGCGTGAAGACTGCGATGGATAAGGCTGAGAGAAGGACGAAGTGCGTTTGCGAGTGTTGGCTGTGGAGGAAGTCGTAATGACTTTAAGGGTAGGCATAAGTAAGGGAAGGAAAGTTATGGATCCGGTGGCACAGGACAAAGGGATTCATATGAGATTTGTGGATTGTGGCCGAGACAAAAGCAGTGCCGAGCAAGAATACAGTGATGACTAGGTTCAGATATGATCAGAATGATGACGGAGCCAGATCAAGATCCATAACGTGTAATTTCTACATATGGACTTACCTGAAAATTAAATAATACCCGCTATCTTCCATAATTTGTTCACTCCATTAGCCTAAAGTCAATATGAAACAATAATGTCGCAGACTCAAGTGCAAGCCAGCATTCTCCCATATCCATTGCGCAATGCTAGAACGAGTCGAGACTCGGAATCTAGAACACGATATATTTCGTCATGGCTAGAACAAAGGTCCCAAGATAGTGATGTTGTAATTGATGCGCACAGACTGCCATCGCCCTCGTCAAGACGAACATTGTTCTGGTTGTGGCGTATGTCAACCAAAGTATCATACGACTGTCTGGTGAAGCAAGGAGATATATTCGGAATGATGAAAGCGTCGATGAGCCGAAGAGGTGGTTATCGACTAGCAGTAGGAAGAGAACTTCGTTCGACTCAGTCAAGTCTGAACGTTAACTTTGAAGTGACGCGAGAAACAAAAATGAGAATTCGAATTAATTCTAGAAGCAGCTTCCCGGATCCGGCTCTGATCGCCGGAAGTTAACGCCAGTTCTTGAGCTTGAACCCGTACCTCATCGAGCAAATATTCCGTACAGCTTTCGTACAGGGAAGCCATATTTCTAAGCTGTGGGGTAGAATTCAGAATGTATATCTTGCCAAGAGAACATGAGAAGTTATTCTTACACCAGGTATTCCCCAGTCTTGACTGATGGAACATTCTTATCTATTTCACTTATCAGGCCGGTTTTCTAGCTCAAAAGCGCCTCGCTAGAGGTCTACAGCTCAATATCAACGAAGCCATCGCTTTGATCGCCTCTCAATTGCAGGAGTCTATACGTGATGGACAGCATTCTGTGGCTGAGTTGATGCAGCACGGGAAAACCTTATTGGGGAGAACGCATGTCTTACCGGGCGTTCCTGCCCGGCTACACGAGATACAGGTAGAAGGAACGTTCCCAGATGGGTGAGTTGTATGTCCGTCCGTCATCACCTCAACTGACGCCCACTTGAAGCGTATTCCTAGTGACTGTCCATGATCCCATCTGCACGGATCATGGTAACCTAGATGCAGCACTCTATGGATCGTTCCTCCCTTTACCTTCACAAGACAAATTCCCAGCTGTGGAGACTACAATTATCTCCCGTGGAAGTCTTCCAGGAGCTATCATCGCCAAAAAAGAGAGGATTACTATCAATAAAGGACGTGAACGCATTAAGTTGAAGGTAACCAACTACGGCGACCGTCCTATCCAGGTTCGTGGCTTCCCTAATTTGTCATCCGATCCCTCATTTCCTCGAAAGGTTGGGTCTCATTACCATTTCACCGAAACCAATGGCGCGTTAGAATTTGATCGCATTAAAGCTAACGGGATGCGTCTTGATATTCCCGCTGGCACTGCTGTTCGCTTCGAGCCCGGCGACTCCAAGACCGTCACACTATGTGCTATTGGGGGCAAGAAAGTCATAACTGGTGGCAACTTGATTGTCACTTCCATGAAGGATGATCTGAAGAAGGGCGCCTATATTGAGCAAGGGTTACTATTAAATGCTTTCAGACACTGTCCAGATCCTGGTGCGCTCGAGGTGCGCGAGGACACCACTATTGGCCGCGAGGAGTACATCTCCATGTATGGGCCCACGGTCGGTGATCGTGTTAGGCTTGGTGATACTAGCTTATGGGTTGAGATTGAGAGCGATGCGGTTTGTTACATTAGTATGATCATGTTTTTTGTGCGGGCTCATATTTAGCACAGGCCTGTTATGGCGATGAAGTTAAATTCGGCGGAGGTCGGTGATAATTTTTTCGTGCATTCCCCGATTTTCATCACTAGCTGCAGGCAAGTCTATCCGAGAGGGCATGGGCCAGAAAACCAGTTACAGGTACCTGGAGGGCCCTTGCCTAGACCTCGTCATCACCAATGCAGTCATCATTGACTGGACCGGGATATACAAGGTAATTCGTACTCTCCACCAACTTTCATGTACTGCACACCCTCGCAGGCAGACATCGGAGTAAAGGAAGGCAAGATCGTCGGCATAGGCAAAGCCGGAAACCCCGACGTCATGAGCAATGTTACCGCTAATATGCACATCAACTCCTCAACTGAGGTCATTGCTGGCGAGAAGCTCATCGTGACTGCGGGCACTATCGATGCACATGTACATTATATTTGTCCTCAACAAGTCACCGAAGCGCTCGCAGCAGGTACGACGACGATGATTGGGGGCGGGACGGGTCCGAGCGCTGGGACGAATGCAACGACGTGCACACCTAGCCCATTCTACTTGAAGACGATGCTTGCGGCAACAGATGGGCTCCCGATGAACTTCTTGTTTACCGGGAAGGGGAATGACACTGGAAGACATGCATTGGAGGATATCGTTCGTGCAGGTGCAGGGGGCTTGAAATTACACGAGGACTGGGGTTCTACTCCAGCTGTGATTTCGAACGCCTTGGATGTTGGTGATGAGTTTGATGTTCAGGTCAACATCCATACGGATACTCTCAATGAGAGCGGATTTGTGGAGAGTAAGAAGTGTGCCATTTATTGGTCTTTCGGATGCTGATGGAACGCAGGTACGATCAAGGCATTTGGCGGTCGCACTATACATACATATCACACGGAAGGTGCAGGTGTGCTTTTGTTTCTTTTAGCTCCCTATTATACCGTCTCATTGTGAAACTAGGTGGTGGTCACGCCCCAGATATCATCGTCGTTTGCGGTTTGGAAAATGTTCTTCCCTCATCTACCAACCCTACACGGCCTTACGCTAAGAATACCCTAGACGAACACCTTGACGTGAGCCATCTACACACGTTGATTATCTCTACCTTTCTAAACACATAGTAGATGCTGATGGTCTGTCACCACCTTGACAAATCGATTCCCGAGGACATAGCATTCGCAGAGTCTCGCATCCGAGCAGAGACGGTAGCAGCAGAAGACGTTCTGCACGATACCGGTGCGATATCCATGATCAGCTCTGATTCTCAGGCTATGGGGCGTGTTGGAGAAGTCACCACCAGGACATGGCGTACTGCGAGCAAGCTCAAGGACTTCAAAGGTCCACTCACTGAGCTAAATGATACAAACGAGAGAGATAATGGACGCGTCAAGAGATATATAGCAAAGTATACGATCAATCCGTTAGTTCTTTTTTTGTCATCTCGAGCAGTTGCGGACTGACAGTTATTTAGGGCGATCACGCACGGTATTAGTCACCTCGTCGGCTCAGTAGAGGTAGGAAAGCTCGCCGACCTTGTCCTTTGGAAGCCCGAAAACTTTGGTGCTAAACCTGAAATGGTGTTAAAATCAGGAGTAATTGCTTGGGCTCAGGTAGAATTCACAGAGCCTTTCAGATAATACTGCTGATGTCTTTACTAGATGGGCGATGCAAACGGTTCAATTCCGACCGTACAGCCGACCTATGGTAGACCAATGTGGGGATCCTTCCCCCCTGCAGCCGCGCTCAACTCGGTCGCGTTTGTCTCCCGAATCTCGATCCAGACTGGTACTATCGCTTCATATGGACTTGCCAAGCGAGCAGAGGCTGTTATTAACTGTAGGAATGTAACCAAGAGAGATATGAAGTGGAACGATGCGCTGCCGAAGATGTCTGTTGATCCAGAAAACTATGAGGTGAGGGCGGATGGCGTATTGGCTGATATAGAACCTGCGAGTAGATTACCACTTGGGAAGGAGTACAACTTTTTCTGACGGCGGAAAAGAAATGAAAGAAGAACGAAAATCATGTATAATATTATTGTTGTACGAATGCAAAATTAAGTTTGGTCACAAATGAACTGAGTGGTTTCACATGAATGTATGTCATCACCTCATCGCCTACGAATTCAGAATCATTACGGCAGCCTCAGTCACGTATTAAGAACAGATGCTACATACCCGACGAGGCTAAGATTGGTGGAACTCCCACCCAATACATAAACACTGACGAGAAAGAACAGCCTTTGCCAAAAGTAGCCTAATTGCCCAGCTGACTTGAGATCAATGTACCAACGTTGATGAGGGCTTCGCTGATGGCTTCAAGGTTTTCTGGGTGCGAAGCGTCGGGTATGGATACGGGTATAGGGTGTGCCAGTAGAAAGTGGTATATCAATGTCATAGGTCGACACCGTCGAGTTTGAAGGGTACGTAACAGTAGCAGTAGCAGTGGTGCTGGTTGTAGAAGGGGTGCTAGTGGCAGTTTCAGAAACAGTGCTGGTCGCGGTTGTAGAAGGGGTGCTGGTCGCGGTCTCAGATGTGGTACTGGTTTCAGCCGTAGATGTGGTGGAGGGCGTGTTAGCGGGGTGGTGCTGGTGTGTTGGTGTAGGCGTAGGTGTAGACCAATCAGGGGTTGACGTAGGCGTCCATGCGGAGCTCGTGGATGGTGCTGGCTCGCCGGCGCCATCATCGAACCACCACGATCCGTAAAGGACGCCTTCAGCTTCAGAAGCGAAGTAACTGAAAAGACCCGCAGAGAAATCAAGCCCGCCGTATGGGCACCCCATACACTAGAGAAAAGTGCGTCAATAAGAGAGATAATAACGCGTCGTCAGGCTCACTTCGTCCATAATGGTGGCCTGGGCGGTTTTTCCCCCATAAGAGATGGTGATGGACTTGAAGCACTGCGGACCAGGGAAACCTCCGCCATATTGGGCGACGTTCAGGGCGACAATCTTGTTATCAAATGAGTATCGGAAACGCTATGGCAAGTAATTATTGGGGCTGGCACATACGAAATCGCCAGGAGAGCTGTACTGCCCACAAGCACCCCTTGGATTTAAATCAGCTACATAACTCAACGAGTGATTCTTCGGTTCAAGTTCACTCACAAGCCAACGTCATAAAAAGTGAAACGTGCGTTGTCGAAAGCGCGTTTGTGGATGCCGACGTCGCCTCGCGCCCGCTGAGCTAGTTCTTGATGGTGCCCGCGTTTGTTATGGCCATGAGTACCGCCAATAGTGAAAGGAAGGATCGCAGAAAGGAGGAAGATCAAGAACAAGGCTAGCATTGGGAATTATATACTGAATGTCAGATGAGGTTCGGGTGGCTGAAATTGTTGTTTTGTGGGGTATAGCTAAAGAGCGTACGGATGAAGGAGTGACCGGCGTTACTAGGGTATGAAGTCGTAGAAGTGATACAGCGACGAGCAAAAAAAAAACAGGGAGGGGTCGAAGCAAGTCAAAGGAAAAGTCAACCAAGCGAATAATCAAAGAAGTTGATATGACTTTGGTCATCGCGTACGTACCTTACATATGTAGCACCTTTTACTACTAGTATAAACCACGAGAGGAACTGAGTACATACGATACTGAACCCGACTTACTTGGACGCAGGGCCATTATAATGACCTGGGGTAGAAAACCGTTGGTGCGGTTCACAGGGAATTGATAGGGGCTTGTCTGACAGGACGGAATCCGGGCACGGAAGCAATTCGCCCGTGACTCAGTACTCACTTCCAGTTGGTGCCAGTGTGCGCTCGCACTTACTAGTACAGGACTCCATGCTTAGACACACTAAGCAGCTGTAGAACATAACAATATTTGCAATGAGACATATGCTACGTACGAGCAAATATTCGAGCGCTGGTGAGGCTCTTCGACCGAGTGGTAGTCGTAAAGACCGTACACTTCGTAGAGCAATTAATAGCAAACGGGCGAGGATGTTCGCCACGTGCACAGATCTCCCTTGCCCATCTCCAATCCCAATATTCCAGTATCATGGACATGTGCGTGTCTTGGGCTCAGGTTCCTGCAGCTCTGTCAAAAGACCGCAGACGACTCTGGATATCGGGCCACGCGTACGGAGGGTCACCGTTCATCAACATGAACTTGCGATAGATCGCGTCGATGCAAGGGAGCATAGAAAAGATGATACGAGTGACAGCTTCGACATCCATTACCTGAGCGGACTGCACATCCAATGCTTGTAGGGATGTATGTCGAAACGACACCATTGTAGGGTCGATATCGATATCCACAGCGTTTATCAATAAACTGAGCTGGTGCAAGTGAGGGGATTGACGGAGCGCTGCGAATAATCCGTGGAATGTAATGGAACCTTGAGTCTGATAAGGATCTTCTAAGACCAGAGAATATAGCGGAACTCCATCGCGCAAGACAGGTGGGTTCTGCCATTGGCGAGGAGAACCTCTCGTATTAAAACTATAATGTCATTGAGAAAGAGTATGTAGATGTATATGGTACTGGTGCCGATCAGAGAAGTGGTAGGAGTTTCGCTTGTAGATGTAGTCCTGGTTTCGGATGTAGATAGAATGGAGGTAGTAGTGTTTGTGTCAGCAGCGTAGCGACGGTGTGCGTAAGTAGGCGAGGATCAATCAACCCGAGGAACCGACGTGGGCGTCCATCTGGTGTAAGTTTGCTGGCGCCGTCATTAAACGTCAAACCACCACGATCCATGAAGGACGCCATCATCTTCAGAAGCGAAGTAATTGAAAAGACCTGTAGAGAAGTCAAGCCCACCGTATGGGCACCCCATACACTGGAGAAGAACGCGTCAATAAAAAAGAAAACAGAGTGTCGTCGGGCTCACTTTATCCATAATGGTGGCTTGGGCGGATTTGTCTCCATACCAAATAGTAATGGACTTGAAGCACTGTGGACCCGGGTAACCTGCGCCATATTGGGCAACGTTCAAGGCGACAATCTTGTCATCAACTTATGAGTATCGGAAACGCTATATCAAGTAATGATCATGGCTGGCACATACGAAATCGCCAGGAGAGCTGTACTGCCCACAAGCACCCCTTGGATCCAAATTAGCTACATAGCTTGATGAGGGATTCTTCGGTTCAAGTTCACTCACAAACCAACGTCATAAAAGGTGAAGCGTGCGTTGTCAAAAGTGCGTTTGTGGATGCCCACGTCGCCTCGCGCCCGCTGGGCTAGTTCTTGATGGCGTCCACGTTTGTCATGGACATGGGTGGCGCTAACGGTCAAAGGAAGGACAACAGAAACGAGGAGGAAGATCAAGAACACTAGCATTGAGGGAGAGTATGGACCGAAAGTCAGATGGGGAGGTTTCGAAACTCGGGTAGCTGAAATTTTTGGGGGGTATAGCTAAGGAGCGTATGAACAAAGGAGTGACTGGCGGTACAGATGGAGCAGGGCTAACAGCCTAAGCCCAGAGCAAGGCAGATGTTGGTAGATGCTAGTCACGGTTACGAACATGGTGAAACCTAGTCTATGTGCTGACTAAACTGTGCAAGGACCCCTGGTCCACAGGGCATGATGAAGTCGCAAAACAACAACGAGAAGGAAGAAACAAAAAGTTCAAAGTGAGTCAACTTGAAGGATTGAAAGTGAACCGAGCTTCGAATAACCAAAGACGTTGAAATGGCTTTGATCATCAGGTACGTGCCTTCCATAGCACTTCTTACAAACGACGAGAAGACAGAACACGACTGAAAGCTTAGCGAACTCATCATGATAGCCTGGGACAGAAAATGGCGGGGTTCATTTGATGTCAGGAATGGATAGGGGATTGTCCAAGCGTGTGAGTTGAAACGGTAGAATGATATACAAATAGAAAATTCGTGTACGAGAAGTGCTAGTAATGATACAAACATCCGTACTTGATAGTAGATACTAATCAAGCTTCAGCAGACGGATTCCCCCGTCCCAAGCTTCGCATCTTCTTCGGCCAAAAGCAGACCTTCATCCGGTATCTCCGGGTAGTCACCAAAGTCATCACCAAAGTCATCCAAGTCTCGCAAGCGAGGGCTGCCTGGGGAGGGCTCAGCGGCAGTAGCAGCTGTCACTTCATTCCAATGACTTTTCTCGTCTTCATCAATTTTGTAGTGGGGCGAGCTTAACGGCTTGTGCACGTTGGAGGCTGTCCTCAACTTGCTAGGCAGCACGGCGCATGCGTCGATAATCCTTGACCAACAATCGTTTACATAACGTGTCGCGTTGGCATTCCTGACAGTGCGTACACTCCGATGCTACTGCTCGCGGCTGGCGGCGTTCGCAGATACTGTGTGACAAAGAAAAAGTGTACATGAGAACTATATGGTACGTGCGTACGCAAAAATTCCCTCACGTTCTGAGCCGCGGCTCTGGTCCTCTTTTAAATTTTGATCGATTGTCGGGTATATCTTGAATAGATGGAAAGAAGTACCGATAGGTTGCATTGGTAGTTAGGGAGGAGCTGGGCCGTGGGTTTCGGAGAGGGTTGAGAGGAGAAAAAATATTTGAAGCATGCTTATTGTAATGGACTTGTCGTAAAAGACGATAGAATTCATCACTAGTGATTGGTAGATCAGACGGTATTCCTCCAATACGCCACAAGTAAGCGGATCTCCCGGGAGGTAGGTACCATGCCATGTACCAATGGAATCTAGATGGAAATGGTGTCTTTGAGTACTATTACCTGCATCACTTGATGAAGACAGTTGTAATTTTGCAAGAGGCAACGACTTGGATCTTCGCCGTGTCATCGACACTACCCTGCTTTGTTCGCCACCTGTGGGTCGCTCGTATTTGGAAGGCTTGTCGGCACACAGTGCTAGACTGCCTGACGTCAGTGACCAAGAGCGGCCTCAGTTATATCGGGCACGGATCCCCTGCGTCTTGTAAGTCCAGGTGGCACAGAACTATCAAATATTGAATCACGATTGTCCACGAGGCCATAAACCGTCCGCACAGGTTCATCAGATGAGGATTCGGCCTTCCGCGGGTCCCGGGAAGGACGACTGTCATATGGCATAGAAGAGTAGATGATCTTATAGGACTGCGTCACCTTGTCCACATTCCACTCGTGAGACGACGCCCTACGCTCTGACGCAGACTGGCTCCTTGATAGTGGTGGCCATCCTGATGCAAATCCGGCCGCTGAGGCACGAACCGATTCCTGTACATTGGAGCTATACCTTGCACCACGGGTGAGTGACGGGCGTTCTTTGCGACTACTCCCAACTGTACTATCAGCATCACCACTCTGAACAGCAGGCAGCCGTAAACATATGGTTTCATCCTCAGTTTCTTTTTTGGGGATGCTATGATTTGCATCACACGATCGCAGTTCAGGGGCAGTGGCAAGAGAGTGTAACGATGTTTCTGACCATCTTGGATCATTGTGGGGCCTGTTATTAATCTCTGAAGATGACAAGGGATCTGCGTTCACAGTATGTTCCAGCGCAATAGCATTAGGGCTGTGGGAAGCGCTAAACTTACCAAGTGATGCTCGTTTCGTGGCTTCGCCGTCGTTATAGACATGGCGACGTTTAAAATAACCAAGAGAACTTGGTGTATGATCTGCCTCGTCGGTGAAAGCAAAAGATCGTTTAGGTGACGGAGGTGGCGAAGACGGATTATGATTTTCTGGTTCGTTGCGAGCGACTTTTTGAGGTGGAGAATGCGGTAGAGAAGTCATTTAGAATAGGGTGTGGAAAAAAGGTTGATCAACTGAAATGATGTGTCAGTGATGCGATGTAGTTGTAAATGAGTACTTAAGTACTTGAGCAGTGAGTAGTGACTGTGTCAGTCAGTCCAGCGGAGGTATAAAAGCTCGGAGCTCAGTGACACCGCTTTCCTCTTGTCCACACTGTTGCCACTGCGGATATAATGCGATCATATCCGAAAACACCGTGCATGGTTTGCACACCAAGTAATTGAATCAATCGATTAGCGCTTAGCTCTAGGACTACCAGTCAAGCAGTGGCCTTCTCTGGATATAAGCGAGTTACTTATCAACGGTGCTCAACCTCTTCAATTCCGGATTATGGTCGGTAATTACTGTAGCGGAGCTAAAGAATTAACAAGGACCGACTTATCTCACCTGGAACAAAGCAGACTGGCTATGTTCACAATGCTTGGAGAAGTTCATACGCGACCATCTCCATATCTGGTACTTGGGCCAGAAGGTTAAGCGTAAGCTTCTGCCCTTGATCACTTTCACGGCTGTCCACTCACCTAATCTCGTCAGGAGGAGACGTTATTCCAGACAACTGCTGGTACGGATATAACTGTCGTACCCAAACACACAAGCTGACACATTCGCAGAAACTGAACGTGAGTTTTTGCGAACTGCCCTAGTGACAAGAACTGATTTTCTTTTGGCTGTAGCATTGGTGCTAACCTACCAAGGAAGATGCCCCTCCGACGAATGTCTAAGGGTTACGGATTCTTTTATGGCTCTCGGATTGTGATATGTTCAGTGTTTTCTATTGCGTAGGCCGCGTATCAAAATTTGGTCGCGATTACGCGCACTGGGCCACCTCGTGTCTGGCTCAGTGGCTGGCACTAGCTTTGTTTATATTCAAGGTTACCATTCAGAATGACATGTGATTCGACATCACTGGTTCGGGGCACATCACAAAAGGCTCCTGAACATGATGCGCCAGTGATGTTGAGTATCCGGGTTCTCGGAATCCAAGATTTCAACGGTAATTATCTGCCTCCTCATCCCCATGTCCCTTCTGACTTCCTTTTTATTGAGGTTGCATTCGTGAAGCTGCGCCCTTCGAATTTGCCCAAATGATTCTCCATGGATTATACGTTCCGATAGACTACTTGCAAAGTGGGAGATTTTGTGCTCAATGCAAACAACTCAGTGAGCTCATGGGTTGCAGGAAAGGGTGTTACACGCAGTATCTACTCTTACCAACCGAGAAGATCTATCTAAAAATCATCGGTCTAGTATGGTCTAGGATACTAAAGAGAAGAAGGACCTCTAGGATCAGGTTGCATCTCCAACGAAGCTGGCGCAAATACAAGAGGAAGGGACACATTCCCGGTGGAAGTCTCGTGATGAGCTGTGTTGTAGAGCTCGCGGTGCAGGCGTGTCGCTAGTATTCCGTGTATCATGAACTGTAAACTACGAGACAGTCAGTCGATATGTCCAGTCCAAGAAACAGCTCCTTACCCTGATATCGCCTCTGAGTACGATGCCTGTGATTGGATCTTGAGTTGGACGTTGGATTCATATGATTATGAACACGCACGGGAAGAGTAAGCACGACGACCACGGCCATGGTGGAAAATACTGATCCACCACAAATGTTAGTGCCAATTTGTGAAGAATGATGTCCCGACCCACAAAGCCCACAGGCAAAGTAAAGCAAGTTATGTCTGACCAGGGCCCGTACAAGGGGTATGTCGTTTCTATGTTCTCTATAAAGATTCCACGAGTGGTATAACATGAAACTGAGGATTTCTATAAAATATTTAATACTACAACATAAAAATGCCGTGAAACCCACCTATTTCTACGATGACGAGCAAAATGTAGGCTACAATGACAATGCGACTCTGCTTGCTGTCATAGCAACTTGCAACTTTTGGAATAGGTGACTGCATGACCATACCACATCGCTGTGAACCACCAAATCAAAGAGCAGGAGGAGACTCACCCGGGGAGGAAGAGTTGTACAATGTAAGTGTCACCGCCACTGGGACCAGGAAGAGCTATACATTCGGCTGTTGACAAAACATCTTACATACAAAAGACTGACTTACTACAATGTTGCAACCTACTATTAGCCGTCTGAGACCCGTCACCGCCAAAACCCTCTGTATAAAGAGTGCTGCAGGATGGTGCAATCAGGGTCAGCCACTGAAATGATGAATAGCAAAGGATACTAACATTCTGCACAAAACAGTACGATTCCTCCAACATCTGATAGGGGCGTCAGTTCCGGAAGGATTTGTTTCACAAGGGGATCAAACTCACATGTATTGAACGCAAACAAAGTTGTGCAGGACTGAGATTTATCGAGCTTCAGCGTTAAGAATGGCGTGCAAGGACAAATATACCTTAAGGGAAAGTCCAGGCTGTAAAATTCCTGAGAACAGGTGAGATTCCACTTGCTTCAAGTAGCATGTTTTTGGACATACGAAACATATCGGTGACGACCAATGCAAATGGTAAGTATCGGGAGGTAAGATAGGTCAGTTTGGGTATCCGCCATGGAGCGTCCAGTATGAACGCGGCCTATGTATGTCACTTGTCAGGCTCTGGGCGCTGTCATGACGTTGGCTGGATGAAACTTACATCTTTATCGAGGGTGAGAGCAAAGTCGTAAACCTAATAGCGAAATAATCAACTTCCTTGGTCGGTTGATAGGTCGCCAACTGAGTTTACACCTACCCATAGACATGCTATAGCGACTAAGATGAAAGTTCAGCACAAACGCTGCTGCATAACAATCGTTGGTAGCACGCACTGAAAGCATACTATATAGTAAACAGTCAGTTTGTTGAATGTCATACTACCGATTCTAATCATCACTTACGTTGGCGTGCTGTAGTGTGATGCCAATATTGATATCAGCTTGGTCAAACAACGGGACCATGATATTGGACGACTGACTGGGTCCATTGCAGATATGCATTATATGGCCCAGTCTAAGAAGTCGTGTGCCGGTATCAGTGGTCTAATATGATCCGTTACTCTAAGCTCAGTACTGCTTGGGTGAAAGGTTCTATATTTATGCAGCAACCTCTCTAAGATGCAAGGTGCTGGTTAATCTCCGCTGTGGACTTGAAACGCAATGCTGTACCCACAGAAGGATCAGACGGCGCCTTATCAGGGCCGGAGTCTGTGGAGGCTATTAGTGGACCGGCAAGTTCTTGCTGGTCATTATGCTGATTGCGGTGCATTTACATGGTCGTGTATTGCTTTATATTCCAATGTGACGAAATCCTTTCCTATATATTACGATATACAACGATATATGACAATATATTCTTCTCACCGGTTCTCTGATAGCCCCGGGCATGTTTGCAATCCGTCAAATGCCAAGCCATTATGAACACGCAACATCCTTCCTTCACACAGCGAGGTGGGGTGGGACAAGTTACCGAAATCTTGATTGGTCGCCTGCGAATGTTCTGTCGGAACATCAGCTGAAACGTAGTAATGATATGCTAGCAGAGTCTGCAGATTACCTTGTCCCGAAATCTTACACAGCTTCAATTTGCACCAATACCTACTACTTCCGTGAAGTAGAGAAACCCAGACCATTTACTGTGGAATCGGCAAAATATGTTTGCGCCTCATGCGAGACTTATGACAGGCTGATTGTTCGATAATTGCAGGGGCAGGTCGAGGATAATAATTGCCCCCAGGCGTACCAATAAGGGACAAATCTTCAAAGTGAAAAAGTCAGGGATACACAAGAGGTGTTTTGACGATGTCCGTGTTGGGACATAGTATGATGTCTTACCTCATGATCATAAGCTACTGACATAAAAGGGGTGCTGCAAGTTCAGACGCCTTCCTATTAACATTACGACGCACGATAGTTTCTTCCGGTGAGAATGCGAGTGTTCTGGAAATGGTGAAGTTGTATGGGATGAACATTAACTGCGGAAACGAGTTTTAACTCAATAGAGTTGAAGTAGAAGTAGTAATGATAAACATCACATGTTAACCTGATGATAGCCAGTGTGGCTGAATTACATAGTGATGTGGGACCTGGATATTCGAGGTGGTTCTGCTTTATGGTCCAAAGTGTGTTCGCTAGAATTGCTGCTTTTGGTAATTGGACTTCACTTCGTATTTGTTTGTGTTGACCAGTGTATACCTATGTCTACCAAGCAATTTGTGAGCCCGAAGTCACATCACGCATGGTGAACGCTATCATAAAATTCAACTTTTTGTTCCGAAACGTTCGCCCCTCTACCCTACTAGTACTTATCCTAGGACTGGATGGCCTTCCATCTTCTTCAACACAACGCCTATTTTCAAGTCCCACAGACGAAGTGCCCTACCGTTCGAGCTGGTGATGATCGATCATCCGTCATTTATCGGGGAAACTACGACTGCCCTTACGCATCCTTTATGGCCTTTGAATTCTCGCAGTGATCCAATGATTGGAACGAGCTTCGACATTTTACTGTAGGTTGGTGGCGTTGGGTACCATCGAGGCGGACTTTGGAAGGATTGTAAGTGTCTTGGTCTAAGTTGCAGAGGTGTGTGTATTGTGTGTTTCATGCTGCTTTACTGCGTCAACATGCCTCGTTTCCATCAACGCCCAAGACACGAGGCTGTTCGCCTCAGTGCATCCATGCATCCGGCCCTCGCCTCTACAGCTTTCAGAATATATCCGGTTGCATCCAATCGTGCATTTGGTGCATCCCGGCCCTCCAATCTGACTATCTAACATGACTGCATGAATAGCCTTGTCTTTTTGGGTCGAGTAGCTGCTCTAGCATATCACCATGTTACGAGGACTCTGGCAAGAGTGTCACCTGAACGTCTCTCTCTTGCCTGTTATTTGGCCAGTATGACAATGTCTCTGTGGGCTTGCGGTGCTTCTAGGGATTCGAGCTCCCTATGGTGCACCATCCTAGGTAATTGATCTTTTCCCTCCTTCGCCTCCTTCCACCACTCAATTTTTGCTAACCAAGGCTTTCAGCACCATCCCAGTGGTGTAATAGTGAATCCAGACGAAAGCAGACATCAGATAGATGTAGCCTTGTCGTCTGGAGCCTACTTCTGGGCTTAACAGATACATCAACAGAAGGGAGAAACACAAATCATGGAAAGTACGTATTTGCACTCGACGGCTACCCAGCAGTTCGACTCAGCGGTGTGACCATACGCGCTGCTCAATGGCTGGTACTAGCTTTATTTGTATTCAAGGTTACCGTTCAAAATGACATGCAAAGCCACTTGTATGTTTCCTCATCTCCATTTCGCTTGACTTCCTTTTTATTTGAGGTTGCATTCATGAAGCTGTGTTCTTTGAATTTATCTTCATGGATTGTACGTTCTGATTGACTACTTGCAAAGTTGGAGGTCTTTTGTTCAATGCAAACAACTCAGCGAGCTCATGTGTTGCGGGCAAGAGTATCACTCGCAGTATCTACTCTTACCAACCGAGGAGATACGAGTTCTCTATCTAAAAATCATCGATCTAATATTCTCTAGGATAAAGAGAAGAAGGACCTCTTCAATCAGTTAGGTTGCGTCTCTAACGAAGCTTATACAAAAACAAGAGGAAGGGACACATTCCCGGTGGAAGTCTCTTCAGTGTGGTGAGCTGTGTTGTACAGCTCGCGGTGCATCTGCGTCGCTAATGTTCCGTGTATCGCGACCTGTAAGCTACGAGACAGTCAGTCAATATGGTCAGTTCAAGAAACAGCCCTTACAACGTTGTTACATCTCCGTACGATATCTGCGATCAGATCTTGAATTAGACGTTGGATTCGTGATATTATGAACACGCACGGGAAGACCACTGTTTCCATCAACCTGATCAAAGGCGTTGGAATCCAGCATCAATGTGAAGGGGCCCAGATATTTGGTAGCTACCTTGTAAGAGGCTTCAGATGCGCAGTGAGTTGGTCGCCAATGAATATTGAATGTCAATGTTGAGCGCTTGAACAGTGAAACATTTATATTATAACAATGAATCTGCGACCTGCATCTAGTGTGAAGCACCGAAGACCTTGGTTGCGTGAGACCAAATTCGTACCGCGATAAAACAACTTGAGTGCTCCAACAAGGTGGTGTGTAACAAATGGTTGAAACGTTGACGCTTGTTGCCAACGAGCATCCATCATCTGTTACACACCACCAGCAGTTGACAGACATGGAGAACTTGATGGATATGCAAAGTGGCGGAGTTCATGCTAGTTATATATACCATTGCACATGCTCATATCATCCGAGCCTCCCCCACTGATTCTGTCACGTCTACATCTAAGTAACTTGGTCGGCCATAATAAATGACATCATCACCTTGTTTGCGAAGGTTAGAGTTCGAGTCGGCTGCAACATGCCATATGCGCTACATGATCTTGACTTGATGCTGGCGCTGATGACATGGGTTGCTGCAAATACCGTGGGTGCCGCAAAGTCAAATTCAAGGCAGTGACGGGCGGACCAATCGTGTGGCGCGGCCGGGGCAATACATAGGTCCGAATGTTATCATATCAAGTGATCACCCGAATCAGTGAATGATAAGATGTCAGGGGTAACTATTTAGTAAAGTTGACACGAAGACAAGCATGATATAATATCAATAGCGATACACAGAATTGGTTAGTCGGATACATAAAGTGATCAATGGGAACGAAAGACTAATTAGAATTGTCAGATGAGTTAAACATAATGCCAGGGATATAAAATGAGGGGGTCATGTCGTGATGCTAGCGTAGAATAGCCATAAGAGAACCGTGTGATGAGTTGAACAAAGTGAATAGTGATATAGAATGAAGGTGAGACGGTGAACCGGAGCTACAACAGCTCAGTTTTCAACGCCGAGGAAAGATTGCAGCTCATCGACAGGTTGCATACTGGCCCTGGGGGGCGAGTTTGATGTCCCGTCAGGAATTGGCGACAAGAAAGTAAGGACGGCTTCGCCGCGGGAGGATCTCAAGTCGGAATCGAAAGTGAGATAAATACCTCCATCATTCACGTCAATCCCTAGTGCCTGCGAAGCCTCATCGAGCTCATCAACAGGAGCATCGGTGGAATGTGTAGGCGCGGAAGTAGAAGCTGTGGCCTCGCATGGAGCGAAACGCACCGAACGAGAGATCTTTTTTGCACCAACGTTGGCAGCTAAGTTCAGGTTGGGCATTGATCCTGCTTTGACTAGGTCCAGGAATTTCTGGGAGCGGGTGGGCCTTGGTGTTTTCGGCTCTTTCTCTTCCAACTTCTGAGCATCTACTGGCTGTTCCCTGTGCACAACGTAGATCGATCAATTAATTGAATACTTGGTCGAGGTTGTGCATACCTGGTGAATGGTCCCCATCGTTTCTGAGGTGCAGCGTTGTCGTTTGCACGCGAGGTGCTTAGAGCAAAAACCTCTGCTTCGGACATTGGCGGGGGGAACGAACGCCGGCAACCATCAGGTGCTGGCTTGCGCTGAAAGCGAACTTGCCGCTGGAGGGGAAGAGTGAGTCAACATCGTCCATCTAATAGCACATATGTCACACACCGCTGCGGTGGCATCATGCCAGGAGCTAATCAGTGCAAGCTCTGCGGATGATGGAAACTTTTCGAGCACGAGTGTTGGGTGGGGGGGTCCCATGTTAACCTGGCCAGTGGACGGAGGTGCCAAGGGCGTTGATCTTGCGCCAGTAGGTGTGCTCAATTCTCTGGGCAGCGAAGGAAGTTCCTTGTCTACGTTGAGAGGCATGACAACAAAATACAGATGAGGGTAGTGTAGACGAGAGCAAAACTGAGATAGTATAAATACCAAAGCAATTCCAAAGCGTTTGAAGTGGTGTGGACTTGAGGACGGAAGGTGCCCTTTGTGGTGTTGTGGACGGAATACAGTGGACAAAGAGGAACTGTGTGGATGGAGCATATGCACACAATGCCCTGAACGGCAGGCTCACCTTGACCAAGGTTTGAGCCTGCCAGTGGCAAGGTAGACTGGAGAGCGTACTGTGGCTTGCTACGGAAGCATAAAAGCCTTGGATCTCAGGATGAAAATCTATAAGCTTCACCGCCTATTTTTGGAATTCACCTTCGTATAGTCGAGTCGAGTCGAGCGCTCGCAGTCATCGAGCGCGCCGCAGTCACGTGCAGGAAAAGCAACGGTGACTTAATTAAATTTAGATCAATTATGCTGATATGCATCATGTGCACTGTCAAACATATCTCCGGGAGCCGGAAGCAATAATAAAACTTTGACAAGGTGAGCAAAGTCTGTAAATATTATAGACGATATCCGACCCAACACGCTCGTGGGACTCACGATGAGTAGACAGCAGTTTGGCTCAGCGATCTCTCTATGGTCTAGGGCAGTCGCTGACATGGACCCCCATGCACAGCCGTGCAGGTCAGAAGTATGTTATATGAGTCGGTGTGACTCGGAGTTATGACAAAGACTGGTGGTGATAACAGTCAGCCCTATGTATAAATTGTGTTGCTTATGTACTACGTAGGACTTGAGTAGTTCCTTGGTTCAACTCCCTCTTGCGAACCATCATGTCCCAACAACAGGTGGACGAGGAGACGCCATTGCTGCAGCCCGTACAGCAGAAGAAGGCTAGGACACCATTACCTTGGCGTCAATTCTCTATCATACTGTTTCTTCAGCTCGCAGAACCGCTTACTTCACAAGTTATCGCCCCCTTTGCACCCCAAGTATGATTTTTTTCCACATAGTCGAGTTACTTGGCAGCTTCTGATACTCGTCGTGACTCGCTTATAGCTGATAAGAGACATTGGCGTCACGGATGGCGACGAAACTCGTGTAGGATACTATGTCGGATTAATGGTGAGTCTGACTTAATCAATGGGTATATTCTTATCTTCGAATACATGTAGCACTCCCTATTCTTTGCCACACAAGCCCTTACTGTTCTCCATTGGAGTCGTATATCGGACCACATCGGACGGAAACCTGTCATTTTGACAGGCTTGTTCGGTTTGTCTATTTCTATGTACTGTTTCGGCCTATCTAGAACCTTTGTGGGGCTCGTACTAAGGTTTGACCGTTCTATTTCCCGTGAGTTCTGATTCCTAACACGTAACACTCAGCCGTGCTCTAAATGGTGCTTTGAACGGCAACATCGGCGTGATTAAAAGTATGATGGTGGAGATCACCGACTCGACTAATTTGGCACAGGCATATGCGTATATGCCGATAGCTTGGTCAAGCGGTGGGGCCCTTGGGTACGTACCTGTGTGATATTTCACATCGCTTTTGGAAATCAGACTCCCTTTGCAGACCCTTGATAGGTGGGTCGTTATCCCGACCAGCTGATCGATTTCCGAATATCTTCGGGCATTCGCAATTTATGAAGACCTATCCCTATTTCCTTGCATGCGCTGTGCCTGCTACCTTTTCTATACTAGCTTGGGTTGTCACGTTTCTTTTCTTGCAGGAGGTGTGTTATTTTGAGCTAGCGTGCATGCTTGACAAGTGACAGAGGTTGATGACGTGATTGACAGACTGTATCTACTAGGGTGACTCCCTGGCGCTTGCTAAAGGGGCAAAGTCGCGAACATTCCACCCCTGTCAAGGGCCCTGTGACTCCCACAGGATCAACTGATTTCCTCAGCACAGAAGATACCCCTCAGCGTGCAAAGGCTGATGACTCCAAGCCGCTACCGCTTCGTTCGCTCTTGATACCCAGAGTGATCATAGCTGCTGGAAATTATGCTGCTTTGTCATTCCTTGACATCGCATTTCGTGCCGTCCAACCTGTGTTCTTCGCCACACCACTAGAGCTTGGTGGGCTGGGATTAGATCCCCCACGCATCGGCAATATTCTAGCTATCTATGGTGTGATCAACGGCTTGTTCCAGATCTTTTTCTTCGCCGACCTCCATGATCGTTTCGGCTCAAAGATGATCTATTCTGTGTCAATGGCTGCTGCAATTCCGATGATTATCACTCTTCCCATCATCAATGCTGTGGCCAGAGTGCAGGGGTTAAGCCTCATGGTATGGGCAATCGTTGGCCTGCAACTTGCTCTCTCAATGATATTAAATTTGGCGTATTGTCAGTTTCCGCATCATATCAGGATTCCTTGCGTTGACTATGATCTCTTCAGCCTGCGTATTTATTTATATCGCCGCAGCCTCGCCGAACCAGGCATCTCTTGGTGCAACGAATGGGATCGCTCAGTTGGGTGTTTCGATCGCACGAACGATCGGCCCTGCATCCGCCACGTCCACGTTCTCGTTTTCTATTAAAAACCCCCACCACGCATGGATAGTCTACTATTATCTGATTGCCCTTGTCTGTATAGGCATTTGCATGTCGCTCTTACTTCCTCGACGGTTGTGGAAGAATCACCATTAACGAATCATACGCCCCGCGTATGGTTTCCCTGAGGTCGCTGCTAGAGGTCTGACAGGGGGAATCATTTACATGAATTAGACATTGTCATCAAGTTTCATGTTTCAGTAGTTTTGACCTATCAGTTTTGAGACAAAGTCCACGCTTTTGTTATCTTAATGGCATTTTCGTCTATCCACCGGTTATTGTCAATTCGGCGGTCCACACCAGTCCACACCCTTCGGCAAACGTGATGATCTGTCACAACATGTCACGTATCCCTATGGAGAGCGTGACATCCTGTCCACCAAAGTACACTGCCACGCGCCACATAGTGGCACATACTTAAGCCAACGGTACAGCCGTTCGGGCCCCCCCATCATTTGCCGAGCGCACGTCTTCCTTTCATCCTGGTTTCCGCTAGCTTGTGTTATCCTCAGGACGGGGTCTGACTGTCATCATGTCGTTCGCTGCTCTGATGGCGCTTAGCGCCTCGCAAACTAAGGAATCTCAAAGCGCCGTCCAAATCGCACTACTACAGCGCCAGCGCAACGAGGAGCTCCAACGGAAAAAGCGGGAGGAAATCGATAGAAAGGAGCGAGAAGAAGCAACGAAGCTCCGACAGAAGAGATTTGAGGACGAGAAGAAGCAACGAGAGTTGCAGCTCAAGAGAGAAACAGAAATGAGGCGCTTGGAGGAAGAGCAGGCGAGGCGAGAGGAGGAGCAACGCAATGCGTTGCTTTATGGTCCCAAGAAGGCCAAGTCGGGGCCTAAGTGGCCGTCGTCTAGTGGAATTTCGAAGGAGCAGGTCCCCAAGCGCAGGTTACCGTCAGATGAGGAGAATGGCTCCTGTTCCGGATCTCCAGCAATGGCTCTCACTCGCGAAGAGAAACGGCAGCGCAGGATCGAATCTGAAATGCGCAGGGGTTATGCCTTCAAGCGGGCTGCCACATCCTCCGGCTACAGTAAAGCTGGCAAGCGACTTCCGGGAGGGGCTATCGACGCCACGTCAGCACCAACCTCAGACGGTTGTAACAGCTCACAGTCCGTCAAGGCTCGCCTTTCTGCACTCCCGAATACTTTAACCAAGCTTAATGTCCACAAGCGAGACACGCGGACCATAGACGAGATTTTGCAGGACAGAGCCAAGGCGAAAACTGCCACATTGGACGGTGACGATGCCAAAGAGTTTAATGACTGGTTTGGCAAGGGGAAGAAGGACACAGGAAGAATCAGTGCCCAGGTATCTACGGCTGCACCATCTAGAGCGTCTTCCGGCTCCAGCTCCCCAAGCCCCTCAGGGTCCAGTAAGTGTTTTGATAGCAGAATCCTTTCTCGTTATTTCATCTTCAACTTTATAGGATCAGTCAACTCCGGCACGTCCAAGACCTCGACTGCTCCGAAGTCTGCTATCTTGTCATTTTCAAAGACCGCGCAACCCAAAGGCGCAGATAGTCCTCAATCATTAAAGACTGAGGTGAAACCCAAGTCGACTTCAAACTTCATTCCTTCGATGAAGTCGCAGGCTTATAAGCCTTCATCAGTAGCACGCTCTGCCGGGCCCGTTAAAAAACGACCTCGGTCCCCGTCCTCCTCGTTATCCCCCCCTCCTCCGAAGAGGCGCCCTGCCTCAGCTGACGTGGAATCTTACAGCAATGAAATTTGGAAACTATTTGGCAAGGACCGCTCTAAATATGTCGAGCAGGATGTGTATAGTGATGATGAGGACATGGAAGTTGGTGCCGGCGTTCTTGAGAGGGAGGAGCTCAGAAGGTCAGTGATTTCGCCTCCATCCAGAATCACACTGTTGACAAAGAGACCTTCAGTGCGCGTCTTGCCCGAAAAGAGGATGAAGCAGCCCTTGAGCAGGAAAAGCGCCACGAGGAAGAAAAAACGCCGCAAGAAGAAGGAAAGGGAAATGAAGGAGAGGCGGGGATAAGGCAAGGAGTTTTTTTGACATTGGCATGCTATATTTCACGGACATTTCATACCCTCATGGATAGTGGAACCTATCCTGATGTCTTTCTTGGTGCTTTAGATAGGATATACTCATACCACACACATCACCATCACTCATGTTCTATCAGCCAGCGCAATTTTGTCTATATGTTACACCATGTATTTGCAGTCACTCGAGTTGTGCTCATGCTTCTTTGTGCAATGCAATATTCCCTTGCTTGCCACCAACCAACGCGCGACGGAGAGAATGAATGATGCACGTATCAATATTACAATGATAGGTTATTGTACATCAGCGATGTCAACAGTGACAAGGGGAAAGTAAATATCAACAAGTTAAAACGCTGAGCGCATGATATGAAGGAGTGGAGGATAGAAATAAATAAATAGATAGATACGTCGATCCACGGGTGTTGCGAATTACGGATGGCTTGATGCATTATCAATTGTCGTCCGCTCGGAATCGCTTCCTGTCTGAACCGCCACCAAACTGACCACCTTGCTGGCCATGCATGAACGCTGGGTTGAAGTGACCTTGCATGCCGAAGCCGCCGCGTCCTCCAACCATTCCCATACCTATAGCGTACATCAAGTGCAAGTAAGAACAACAATCCACATGCATGAGACCGTTAGAAGCCCATACCCATTCCTCCCATGCCACCACGCCCGCCTACCATCATACCACCTCCTCTGGGTCCCTGGGGAACCATGCTGCCGCGTCCGCCGAAGCCACCCATACCCATGCCCATTCCCATGTTCCCCATTCCCATCATGTTCATGCCGCCTATGCCCATGCCCATGTTACCCATCATTGCGGGCATGCCACCGCGCATCATGTTGTTCGTCATACCACCACCCCCGCGACCTTGTGCACCCATCATGCCTCCCCCAATCTGGTTGGAAGCATTACCGCGGAAGTTCCCTGTCGAGCCGCGGCCCATGCTTGTCCCTGATGTGGATATAGAGTTTCCTTGCTGAGTGTTTCGGGTGTCTCGAGGCGGTGGTTCTGAAGCCATATGGATTAGACAAAGCTGCAGTCAAAAGCACCAGGTGATCACCAGACCTTTTGGGAGTGTGCGGAATGGATTGCCTTGTGACGAACTTGTCAGAGTTGCTGTAGCACGTCTATTTTGAAAGTCGCTGAGTGCAAGGTCAGCCTTGCATTCGCATCGAAGCATCAAGCCTGACATACTTATTATCGAACCATGTTTTGATCGCGTTGGCGTTTTCGAAACTACTGAACTCCACGTAGGCGATGCTGATGTGACTGAGCAACACCTCAATTTGGCCAGGAAGTTGCTCACCCTTTACTCTTGCCGTTCACCTTGTGCTCAGAAAAGGTAATGTCACGGTGATCGATTGACACGCCGAGATTAAGAGCAACTTGACGCAGGTCCTCATCCGTTGTCCACTGTAGGAGAGAGAAACACGAAGACAGGCTTAGAAAGATGTACACAGGATTCTAAACGACAGGACAAACGGACCCATTGCAAATCGCCAATATACAGTGCATCATAGCCCATCATCGACGGATCTGTCCCGCCTCCCATATGACTACCGTTTTGCATAACGGCATTGTAGTTACCGTTCATGCCATGCGAGCCACCTTCAGTCCTAACCTGCCCTTGTTGGATTGGCTGGACGTGAGGAGCTGGAGGCGAATGTTGAACGGGTGACAATTTTGCTTCTGCCTCTTCCTCCTCCTCATCGCTTCGAGGCCGTTTCTCACCTGTCGAGGGTTCGACTACAGTCGTTATAGCCTCCACTGGTTCTTCCCTTGCATCGAATTCCTGTCCATCAATACCCTTTAAGCGCGCATACAGTCAGTCCAACTAGCTGCTCAACCAAGTAGACGCATATTATGTGCCCACCTGGTTGGCTCTGCCGACAGCATAAGCTTCGTATTCGCCGTAGATATCATAATCTTCCTCAGGCATTTTTTCGCTGACTCAAGCAGAAGAACAGAAAGTCTTTTGCACTAGAAAAAAGTAAAATAACAGGATTTGAGTACCAACGGACATGAGAGTAACACAAATGATAACAAGGCAAAACTTCCACACGGCGCATCATGAAGCCGCCTGCCCGCGCTACCCACGTCAGCTATACAAACAAGTGGAGGAGCTCTTACATGATAAGTAAGGATACAGTGACAATGATTACGCGCCCAACAGATAGGCGAAATACAAGACGTAGAGCAAAGCACAATAAGAACAGAGAAAAAACCAGTGGAACGCAAGGAGAGCGTACAAGTTGCGCGACAACGACGTGGAAGAGTAAAAGCAAGAGAATGTTCGGGGACTTCACCAAATCCGTCATGTTCTATAGCAGTAACATTTGTTTGGTTCTATTTGCTGTACGTGGCGCAGTCGGCACCTAACCTTCTCGTCGTGCCGCTGACTTGAAGATTGATGACGATCATTTCACAGAACATGTGGATTTAAGCTAGTCTAGAATCTTACGGTTACTGGCTCGGCGGGAATCAATCGCCACATCAGCCAGCCCATTTGTCCTGCAATGTCCTATGCACCACTTCCTCTTGCTGAGCCAACCACAGCCCAAATGCTGGCGTTTTCAGCCACCTTTCATAAAATTCTCTCCGCTTAGTCGCGGACTTAAACGGCAGAGGGGAGCCATTCGCCTTCAGCGAAGAGAAAAAGTCAGCAGTGCTAAAGGACTTTAGGCGTCGACAACCCGAAACAGTGGCACGTTCCGTCGGAGAGGGTATCAGAGTATTGAGGTATCTGTTCAAAGGAACTAACACGGTGTTGGTGCGCGAACTCAAGTGTCTTCTTAGATCCAAAGATGCTTGTATCCCTGAGAATGATGAGTAAGTTACAGCACTAGTCATAATTTGGGACACGGACTGTGTTGGACGCTTGCATGACAAGCTTGCTCGATAGCCGCTAACAATTGGCGGTCTTTGGAAATGTATCGGCGATGAGTTCTTGTACACCATCCAGGTGGCGGCCCAGCTATAATGGTCGCATTCCCCTGGCGGCGCGGACTGCAGTAAATTTGAGTGATGAGAATTGAGAACCCAAGCAACCTCAGACACACCTTGCTTTCAGCCCTACACTCAAGACGTGAGGCCAATGGGCGCATGACTTCTGGAAGAATGGATTGGTCACACCCAAGATAAGGCCAGATTTAGGTGGGAGTTTATTGACCAGAAGGGCGTGATCCTTGTCATGAATGGTAAAGTAAGGACGAAAATCGTTCGCAAGAGGTATCTGAGAATGGAACGTCAGTCATCGATTCAACAGGTGGAAAGTAGACAGCACACAGGACGTAACAAATCCCTGAGCCACCAAACTGCTTGACTCGTGGCTGCGGGAGAAGATCCGAATACCAAGATCGGCTCACAAAGGATCAGGCACTCCCATATTGACCATAAATGCGACAAGGAGGCCTCGAATATGGATATTGGAGGCGGGTCAAGTGGAGCTATAGAAGATAATAGCTGATACGGCTCAGTCAGTCGCCGAATCTGGAGCAAGGGAGACTTGGTTACATGCAAAGTGGGGTCAAATTTCTCATGAAAAGATGCAGTCTCTGTCAATTGCTGAATGTCTGCATTCATGGGCAACTCGACATGGAGAACTGAACCTAGAAATCCTAGCTCAGTAGTCAAACCCGGCGATGGGCTGCACCTTTCTTTGGCAGATAAGATTTAATTGATTGAAACGCGAAATAAGCCCGAGCGGCACACGTACCAGTTGGCAATGTTATGGCATGCCGTTTCCAACATAGGCACACCATGGGTTAGGAACAAGGGCCCAAGTTTCATAATTAGGATGGTAAACAGTGCAGGGTACTGTAGGTGCGAGAGAAGAACGAGAGAAGTCTGTTCAATGTTAGCAATATGGTTCGACACGTGAATATTGATTTACCTGCTGGTATCCTCGCTTCGAGGTGTTGTCTCTTCTCTGGGAAAAATGTGAATATCCATAAAGGTATCCATCGATGCTATCTGGTCTGTTGATACCGTGGTCTAGAACGATGTGTTTGTGCGATACGCCGAGATCTTGTATGCGAAAAGAATGTACTTCTGATCCTGCTCAAATTGCAGGGAATCTGGGAAGGATGAGAAAGCACTTGAAAATGGATTTCAACACCCAATCAGACTGATGGAGAAGAAAAATTCTTACATGTTCTCTTTCTCTGCGGGGGCCAAATACAAGGGTGGATGTACCCCGCAAACGACAGGACCGACATCCAGATCAAAATTGACTGTGGTGCAAGGTATGACGTGGAAGATAGTTCAAGTATGTTACGTGGCACTGACCTATAGCGAAAGCCAAGACCCATTGGGACATTCGCAACGCCCTATCTCGTTCGAACTCAAAGCCAGCGAGCTCTGAACTTAGATGTAACGCTGTATCAGATTTTGCCAGATGAGGAAGAGTCCTAGAGCGTGTCACGGTCTTCTGCCCAACCAGGCGAAGTCCAAGATGTGTGTCCTGAACGTTGGACAGTGAGGGCGACTTGAGTGGACTCGAAGAGTCTTGAAACGATTCGATACCATCATGATGGATCGGAACCTGTGATTCGGTTGGGGAAGGCTGCCGAGATGGCAGCCTTGAGGCGATAGTTTCAGTCGATCCTGTGCAGGACCCTGATCGAGAAGGATAAAGCAAACCGATATCTTGCTCTTCCATCTCTCTTGTTGCCTCCATCGTGGTCTAAAGCGTCGAAGATGCTGGACGACGCACGCGTCGATGTCAAGATCGTTGTAGCTAACAATAACGTGTCCAGTCCAAACACGACGATTTACACGTGTTTCGAGTTCAAAGTAGGATTTTGGGAAAATACCTCCTTTTCCTTGACTCATCTGCTCATTGTTTCTCTTCCAACCGCCTCGAGGCCGCCGAACTGTGACCTTCGTCTTCTTGAACACGAGCTTGGGAGAAATTCCAATTTTATTGTTCACGAGGACTAAATCCGAGTCGGTCGGACATTGTACGATTCCCGCAGCCAGGCGAATCATAGTGCGTGATTGTCATCTCGCCATCGCCAACTCGCACCATCTGTCCATAATTCTGTTTCAAACAGCACGGCGTATCTTTATAAACACTGTCACATCTTCGTTACTTGCACTACATCCTTCAGCAACCATATGATAGACATATCTTTACAAACGGCTTCGGCGTCTACTGTGCCGTTGGGTCAACGTAGACCTATGCCTGTTTTCGCAAATGCTTTCGACGTAACACAAATCCCAGTCAAAGCATACGAGCAATACGATGGTGAGTACATATCTGCTTGACCGGGGGTCATCATAGTCCTAAATAAATTTATGCAGTCGGTGCGTGTGCCTTCGTGCCAGTAGCAACTACTCTGTTCGAATAAATCTTCTCCAGTAATGACACCTGATGTGGAAAATGTTCGATGGAGACATCGGATAGTGGAAAGACTCCAAAACCACGAAGCACCCAGGGTCTTTCGTCTGTGTTTGTTCGACGGAAAGAGCATCCTATACTCTGCCGCGCCGCTGGATCTCCCCGATGGCACTTCGGGAAACGTATGCTCTTGGTTGTGGTCCAGTATTCTCAGCCTGATATCGGTTACAGTACACAATTGTCGTTCCTGGCAAGGGTCGAGTTACAATTAAGGTAGCTCGCGTCGCGGGCGAGACAGTGACATTCGAGTACGCATTTCCAGTTCTAGTTCAAGCATATCTCATAACATGTGTGCTACAGCGACCTCAAAAAATTTCTCACCGGAAAAATCAGCGATCAGACGCCAAAGGTCTCCGTTGCACTCAATCTCCTGCAATTCATTATTCGCCAGGCCCCGAATCTGTAAGCCATACATCACGCGATCAACAGTATCACTGAACCTCCTTCAGTAAGTACCCGAACAATGGAAGAGCGTATTTTACCAGTGGCGGCTCAAAAGATCTTCGCGGTGGTCTTCAGCTGTTTCGTGGATTCTTTCAGTACGTCATGTTACAGACCCTATCAATCGTCCCTCACACTAGTGCGTAGGAGTGTCAGACCAGCAATCGGCCGAGTTCTCGTGAATGTTGATATCAGCGCAGCCGCAATGTACGTCGTGTATATCGCTTCTATTACTTCTCATCGTGTTCCCCATTAGGTACAAACCGGGGCCATTTATGGACATTGCTCTAGAAGTTTTGAATATTCGAGGGAATGCACGAGCCCTCAGCTACAAAAAGCATAGCAAAGAATGGAATATTCTCAGTCAATTTTTCCGGAATGTCCTTGTTGACATAAAGTTACCAAAGAAAACTGTGACGAAGAAAATTGTTGGTCTCGTTGAAGCAGCTGGACGTTTTCCGTTCACTCAAGAGCAAGAAGACGGCTCATCCCTTCCCACAACAGTGGCAGTACGTTCTGCATCAATTGCTTTCATCGTCTTATCCTGCATATGATTGACATTTACGCAGGATTACTACTACAAAACATACAACATACGCCTATCATTTCCTGACATCATTGGCATTGAATTGAGCCGTGGGTCTGGAAAAAACACCGTCATCCCGGCTGAACTTTGCACTGTGGCCGCAGGCCAGCGATACACCCGTAAACTACCGCAGAACATGACGAGCATGATGGTTGATTTTTCCAAATTCAGGCCAGAGAAACGGTTGGAAATGATTGTTGGCCAGAAAGGCGACCGAGTCCAGCCTCCTGTAAGTCCTTAGCCGAAGTTAAGATTTATTAAATATTTTCGCCCAGACGCTTGAGTATGCCACCTCACCTTATATTCAAGACGCGGGAATGGAAATTTCGGAGAAGCCGATCACATTACAAGGTCAACTTCTCAAACCACCTACCATTTTCTACGGCAAAAAACAGCCGGCAGTGAGTAGCTTTTCTTACATGTTGCTCAATTTAGCGAGATTCTGCCATAGGATGTAAACAACGGAGCATGGAACATAACGAGGCAACATCTACATTCCCCCGAGACCATCAGGGCGTGGGCAGTTGTAGATTACAGTCTAAGGCTCGATCAAAACGTTATCAAAGCGTTTATGGACACACTTGAACAGTGTTGCACTGCACGAGGTATGTTGATCGCGCTGTTGAAAATCTAGTATTCACTATCATATTCTAGGAATGAGTACGATTTTCTTTAGGTCTGTGAGAGTGCTATTCACGATTTATTGTAGGTGTGAGAGCCAAACCGTCATACAAACGAGGTAGTGGTGTCGGCTCGGTAGACCGGGTACGCGCGCTTTTTTTTGTTGAAGTTTTTGTTTGTACTAAAGGTAATTTCGAAGGATATTAGGGAGGCATGTTCGCTGGCATTGGTTTCAGCCGGAGCCCCTCCTGGTTACAACAAGCCACCTGAGATCGTGCTAGTCATCCTGCCTCAATCTGCCGCTGACATCCGCCAAGATGTCAAGAGAGCGGGGGATGTCACCCTTGGCGTAGGTGTTGTCATTGATCACAATTCTCTGGGCTGACGTGACCTCACGACTAGGTATCTACTCAGTGTGTGGTGGGTTCAGCTTGATATCCTGACCGTTAGTTATTTTCCAACACGTATTTCACAGCGGGAAGACAACATTGCGAAGTTTTCAGGGAGACAACTTGACCAATATTGCAATAACATCGCAATCAAGTGCGTGATATCTCAAAACATGGTTTTTGTGAAGCTTGTGTAGACTTGTCTACCTACAGAATCAACGCTCGATTAACAGGAGTGAATTCCATCCCATCATCGCCTGCATATGACTGGTTCACCAAAGAAGATTTCATTTTTTTGGGTCTGTGATGCCATCAATGATCCGACATTTGCACTGACACCGACGTTCATTTTCAGGGGCTGATGTTGGTCATCCTGGACCTGGTGTTCAGAACAAGCCCTCGGTTGCCAGTGTCGTCTTTTCGTATGACCGGCACGGCGTCAAGTACAGTGCGACATCGAGGGTGCAGCAGCCGCGACAAGAGAGAATAGGAGAACTCGGTCCTATGGTTTATGTACGCGTTGCCTTCTGGTTTTCGGGACAGTCAAATTATCATTTACAGGACGCCATTACACGATATGGCAAGGTCAACGGGAAAGCCCCGAGAAAACTCATGTTCTTCAGAGACGGTCTCTCTGAAGGTGAATATGCAGGTGTCGGTGAACTAGAGTTCCAAGACATTAAAGGTTCGTCGAAGACAATAAGATTTTGCAGAATGATGATAAATTTATTTATCTAGAGGCTGTGAGAAGGGTTTGGGCTGAAGTTAAATTAAAGGACCCTCCGCCTCTAATCACTTACCTTATCGTGGGAAAGAGGTAATCTTCCACTCCAGTCGGGCAAGCGATGACCGCTGACTTTCCTTGCAGACATCACGTTCGCTTCTTCCCGACAAACTCGTACGTACTTCTTCCTGCGCTTTCGTTCCTTATTGAGTAGTTCTCATAGTCAAGATGGAGATCGAAAGAGCGGCAATGTGCAAGCTGGATTTGTCGCTAGCGAAGGTATTGCCAATCCAATTGCCAAGGACTTTTACCTCCTGTCCCATGGTGGGATACTTGGAAGTTGGTGTACAGTATGTGCAGCGATATTCAGATTAACTTATGTCTGGTCATTTCTAGCAAGCCGACCTGCCCACTACATAGTATTAAAGGACGAGATTTTCAATTTTGATATTAGACCGTAAGTTTCAACCGAAGAACGCACAAGTACAGGTACCGACTAAATTTTGTGCACTCCTAAGTATACAAGAGGTGGCGTATACTCTCTGCCATGCGTATGTGAGCGCAACTCGATCTGTCTCCATACCCGCCCCTGTGTACTGTACGTACTTTTGCATCTTTTATTAAGTGAATTATTTGACGATTCTCTCGAAGATGCGGATGTACGACTATTTCCGTCGACGCTTTGGGGCTGTAACTGATTCCATCTCTCACATTTTACAGAAGGTCTGCGCTCGCGCCGAGTATCATTTTGATGCGAGTTTACGGTACATGGACAGCGATGGTGCAACTGTAGCGAGTTCGAGTACTTGTGAAAAGCATTCATTTAACCTGAGCCAGTGGCGATCGGGCTACTCACAAACGCACTCATCTATGCTGGCCAGGATGTTTTTCGCATGATATTGTACCTTTAAACTTTTAGTGCTTTGTCAGTACTAGCGTCGTGTCCATTAGTCCCATTGTATGTACCTACACGTGTTTTTTCTGGGTGTTCTATTCAGGTAATCAGCGCGGTATCGCCCCATGATCCATCTGCTGACATCCAGAAAGCACCTAGCTAAGGCTAGCTGGTGGACCCCTTGTGGCGCGCGAAGACGCCGATGATAGTCAGGATCCTCTGATAACGGGAGAAGCGCGTGTAGATGAAGATAATTGCGAGGTCAGAAGAAAGTTCACATCACAAACATTTGATCTGGGCATGTTGTTCACGCACCGCATTCGAGCACGGGAGAGCTGGATAGCTTCGCGTATCGCCAGGTGACTAAGGAATGAAGTCACAGAAGAAGTATACCAACGTGCACAGTGACCCGATATCGTAACGACTTGTCACGACGACAGGCTCAACTCCCAAGCGGTCGCTGATTGGAAGTGCCACTGGAGTGAGACCTCCACGAAGTAGAACATTGGACTCTGGTCGCAGAGTTCCCGAATTCCTTCAAGATACGAACATCAACGATAAATGCAATACATCCCGCAGTTGATTTAACCAGTGATCAGTGTTCAAGTACTCGAGACGAGGAACGGTGAAAATAGATTAGCCTACCTGCAACGATCGCCACAGAACCGATTTACTGACTAATCTCTTGGATTCGAGAAGGTGTGGAAATTGAAGATTGTGAACAAGGGAGAAATCGCGCGTGCCGCTGGTGGCCTTCACTAGCTAGGCTTGCTAGGCGGACAAGTTGGGTCGTCGGCAATTGCCAAGAATACATCATGACGTGACTAAAGATCACGTGCACATTACGCGACGCGTTTGATTCAGACTCTGGCCTTACCAAGTTACTTACCCGGCCAACCACATATTCAAACGTTGACGATGACAGGCGCTAACTACATGGGAGGGAAAAGGTTAGTGAACACTAAAATTTATCATGGCTGCTTAGATTTCGTATATGTAGGAATGCTGCTCGAGCGCGGACCAAAGACAGTACAGGTCGCGTTCAGAAGCGACATTTTGGTCAACAGAGGTTGGCAGCTGCGTTATGCAACACAAAGGAAGAAAGGGGAAGGCCTGAAAGGATGTCCTTGAAATCTGTTTTACATCAAATCAATCTTGCTCATGCACAACGAGACGCGAAAATCAAAGGCAGTCACCCCTCCATAGCGCATAGTACAAACACATCGCGCGATCCATCATTCGCCCACGGCACCTCATTTAGCACCTCAAAGCGCCGCGAACAACCTTCAAAGATACTTCAAACGCTTGATTTTTCTAATCGTATGTGATACATCCCCTGATATATGTCGACCTGTCTTAAATACTATGCGCTGATCGTGTCAGCGGTGGCCTATCGTGATGCAATTGACCGCATATTATCAATCCCTCTTTCAGAAATGATTGGCATTCCCCTGCAAGGAAAGTCACCCCACGCCGAAGATGGAGGCCCTGGCATTGATCCCGACGAAGATCTTCCCCTGCCCATCGATGCTGACAGCGAGTCGGACGTTCAGGTAAAATCAAAGGGAACGGTGAGCATCCAATGTAGGACGCTGACTATATCCTAGCTTGAAGGAACGTCTTGTGACAGTTTCTTTCACACCAGTCGATCTTCAGGAAGCGCCAGCCATTTGTTCCCAATGGATAACAATGATAATAGACAAATTTACAACAATCATCTGAGCCGACGAATGTCGCAGCCTTCTTCGCCGGACCATTCAAGTATGGTCACTAGTCATGAGAGTCCGCTACGGAGCACCGAGGCAGATGGTCTCCACGGAAGCTGGGTGGACGATTCAGGTTATGCCGACATGGATACTACTGAGCCCAGAAACCTTCCTGGAACCATACTCACCCACGATCTTTTAGACCCGCAGCGGTATCCCTCACCCCCGTTAAACAGCTTTCCGTTTTCTTTTGGTTCTCATTCTCAAGGAACAGAGGAGTACATTCTTGACATGGACACATCACCACCCTCATCGCAGGGCTCCTTTTCACAGTTGCGTGGTGGATGGAGTTCCAATCACGAGCATTTCTTACGACAGTCGTCGTCCTCCTCGACTTCTCCGATTGTTTCCCCTGCACCCGTCGTTACGCACGATTATCCTGAGTCCTTCGGATGGGATAGCTCCATCAAGTGCGACAGTCCTATATCACAGTCTCTTTGCCACATGAGTGATGTTAAGCAAACTTCTGCTTCATCCTTCCAAACACAATGCGCTCTTATTACTCCTCAGAAGGCTCAGAAGATGCTATACACTGCCAAAACTTCAGAAGCGGTTGTGAAATCCTTCGATGATATATCTATTACAAGACATCGTCGACCTTTTCAGCCCCCATATTCTGCCACTCGAACAGAACCTGTAGAATCACATTCTTTCAATTCATCGCACAGATTTTCTTCTTTCGGCGGCTCAGATACACATGACCCAGGATTGCCTTTGGACATTCTCAACGACCCGGACCCATGGGCGACCATCGGAAAAATTCTAAACCTTGAAGTCGTAAAGGTGCGCAACAATGATGACATCACCTTTACTCGCGGTCGGGAGGGTGTCGGCTATGTCAGGCATCGTTTGGACGAAACAGCGCATATATGGAATCTACCACGTAATTCTACGATAAGCCTGCGATCGATCAAGTCAGAAAGCGACTATCAACCCAAGGCGACGATGAACGACGAAGTAGAAGAGCGCTTGGGGGAAACCACCGACCATTGTCGCCATCATTCTCAACATTCTGAAGGTTCACAGTCGGAGGAAAGACCTTCGTCTGATCACTCCAATCTCGCCAAAGACATGAAACTCACAGCTCAGAACGAGCCACTTTGTACGTTGACCGTGGCAGAGCCGGAGATGCAAACAGAATCACCTTGCATCCCTACCGCACTCTCACATCGAGTCTCACCCCAGGATGTACAATGCGGTAGAATAGATGACGATGATATGTATGGGGGGCCATGTTTATTTGGGGACTCTGACGAAGAAGATGAATAGTTTTCGATAGAACATTTTGCACCAGTCTCGTAGTATGATACAGTTGCGGACAGCCAAAATCAGCAATTTTGGACGACACCAAAGCGTGATTCCATTGAAATATTACAAAAATATAGAGCCGTTCTAGCGCTAAAAATGGTAAGTGTTGAGGTAATTACCCCTGGAATATCCCTCAAATGCTCCCGAACTTCTATCGGCTGAGCTGCAAACGGGCGAAATCATACCCAATAAAGTCTACATAGCTAAACTATAATGATTTTTGTCAGTGACCTGTCATCTTGGTGATATAGGCCCCCAAAATGGTGCCTCAGATACCCAAAAGGGGTACACAATGTCTTTCAAATTGTCCAAAAATTTGGTGGGCCAAAAACCTCGTGGGAAAAACTTTGGACCACTGTGTTTAGACGTATTTTCACTCCCTGAGTTCAGATCTGGCCCAGGTTTGGCACCAAAAATTCACGCTGGACGGCCACCAAAAATATTAGTGGTATTCAAAGTAGAATTTGGGAGGCTCTGAAAACGTGGGTAAGTTTGACAAATTTCTTTCAGAATCTACGGGACGTTCGGCAGACCCAAGCGGGGTCTGAAATCCAATCTCTATGCTACGCATGCAGGATGCCTGCCCAATAGTGTTCCGTGGAAATCCACCTGGTTATCCACTGATGTAGATATCCACCCAGTTATCCACGTAGATAACTCGGTGGATAACCCAAGGCCAAAATTCATAGGTGGATAACGTGGATAACTGAAAATCGCGTGGGTGTATGGGGTTGTATTAAATATGCATTAAATACACTTAAAAAGTTTAAATACCAGGTCTACAAGCTTGTTTCTGCTTGAAGTGAGCTCGAACTAGGATTTAAGCTTGCTTATTTTGGCGGAACTTCATGCGACGTCAAGTCAATGTTTGTTTGGTGACTGGTCGAACATCGACTCGAAAAATGACTGAAAAATTGTGAACTTCAAGTTTTCTCCCTCATCACATGCAGCCGCATCTCAAGGATTGATTAGTTGAGCTTCAACTCTGTCTCGAGGCACTGCCAACAGAGATTCCCATTCCAAAGGAGTCCAAGTACAATTTCTCCAACTTCGGCCCGGATGCTGATTGGACTACAGCGACTCAGAGTTGGATGTCACTGACCCCGAGGATATATCTGAAGATGGCTCAAAAAAAGCGGATTCTTTTGACGGCAAGGCTTTTGATGCTGCCAGTATCATCAATCTTGACTCCACGACGCTAGCTGATGTGCTTGCTGACAAAGATTTGGCACCCGCAGCACCGAAGAACACTGTCACTCTTCTGCTGGCAAGCACTTTGGTGTAAGAGAAGGCCTTGACCAAAGCAGACTGGGACATGACATAGAGTGTAGGATAGATCTAGACTTGTAAATCAAGCTAAATTTTGCAGCACCCGGGATCGCCGGGCTGGTTTTACCGGCAGTGGATATCCACCATACTCACCCGTGGATAACTGACCCTCATTTAGGCCTGGTGGATATCCACAGTGGATAACCCCTCAGAGGGTTATCCACGGAACACTACTGCCCAACGTCCGCAAGTGCATCTAACCCTAACCTTAATGTGGGGACTTGGAGAGTTTGAAGCGTTTGAAGCGGCTAAGTGTTTCGAACGGAGTTTAAATTAAGTTTTTCAAGCGGATTTTCTGAACATCTTTCAGAACGATTCTGAAGGGTTTCATGATCATAATGTTTCAGAATCGTTTCAGAATGTTGAAAATTTTACTTTGAATACCACTAATAAATTGTTGTGTTTGGTTGTCCGCAACTGTAGGAGAACCACAATTACGAGTCACCTGACTTAATGCGTCTTGTATTTCGAAATCATTCCTGTGCTAAACCTAAAGTTTCCGTCACTGGCCCCCCCGAGTCTGACTGGTCTATATACTGTCGAGTCATGCAAGATCTTGATCATCAGATGATACCTGCGATGGGAATGTATACTGAATATAACGCTGAAGGCCACCGGGCAATATATGGTGTGTTTCGTGTTCATTATCTGTAGTGCGCAAAGCTCAAACCTCGTTCGCTAATACAGATCATGTCTCGTCGATTCTAGAGAATGAACCCGCATCTGCAGATGCACAGGTACCACCTGCGCTTGTCTTCTATATGACGCGGAACATCCTGCGCCCCACTTTTATTCTGGGGCAGATTCCAGATTTACTTAACTGCCTAGCCATGGTCGACACTTTCCGGAGATATGCAGTCGAGGTATCTTCTGTTGCGTTGTCGTGGCAGGAGTACTATGCGAAGGAACTTAGTTCTGATCCAGACATGACACTGCTCACGGAAAGAGAGCTAAAGAAAGTCCAAGATTATGTTACGAACGACGAACGTGACAGGCTGCATTATATCTTGGTCACTAAGAATCTGTGTCTATTGGTGCGTTTCTTAGGTTTCAAGCTCGACCTCGTTTTAGCTTCATTTCAGATAGCATGTCTACTACCTTATGACGGCACCGGAGTCGTGTATGCTTGCAGAACACCTGAACGACTATTTTCCAGGATGCTTCCCAGGCTACGACATACCATCTAAGCTATTGTTTCAACACGGACTTTCCGACAGTGAGAAACAGGTTATGGAAGAGACATATCAAGAATGCAAGGAGTGGATATTGGACGTCACCCAATGGGAAGAGGAGCGCGAACAAGAACAAGAACAGTTGCTTGTGACGTAAGTCTTTCTATGGTCTCCCTGAAAGAGGCTAACAGTCTTTAGCTTAACTGCAGAACAGGCCGATGCCGCATTCCAGCAGGCCTTTCGAGAGAAATTTCCTCCGCCACTTTCTCAGGAAGAGCTAATTTCAGATTTGGATGACTACTTGGGCATCGTGGAGAGAATGATTCGCAGGTTGGAAGATTATTTTCCTTCAGCCAAGGTTCTGGAGAGATTAAAGCGAGCGACCTGAGCGACATCATGCTCTGTTTTTCTTCGTAGAACGTCGTGAGTTTTAGATCATGCTAATATATGCACCCCTTAGTCACCGATTCTCTTATTCGACAGGCGACAGGTGTACCCCATATCGATGTCGAGTGCAAGGCAACGCGCGGCCAGTGTAGATCCATAGCTCAGTACTAGTGCTAAGCTGCTGGCAGTAAAATATATCCACCTATGCAACCCCACGACACTTCCTTATTATCATCCCCGCCGCTCCCTACCATACCCCAATCATAATCTCATACCTTGCCCTACACCACCAACACCTAACTCCCCTCCCTTACGCTCGTCGCCAAGAACTCTCGCCTCCACGGACCAGACCACATGAGAACATCGAGGCAAGCTGCCAACCCCAAGCCTCACACTCGTCTCTCTCCACAGAATTCTTGTACTTCCGCACCCGTGGTCGAGCTTGCGCATAGCCTAAATACTCCACCCATCGCACATATAAATACAGTCATCTCATCTTCGTAGGGGGGCACGTCTAAAACGGCCGGCAGGAACGGCGGACTGATGGGGCATGTCTCACATCAGGGCATTCGTGACAGATGCGACAGGGACACAGGGGTCCCTTAGACTAGAAAGTACTATCCTACATAGAGTCTCTCAACAAATATATATATCCAAGTAATCGACGATACCGTTGTAAAAGCGGTTTGCAAGTGAGCTTGAATAAGTTCGCTTTGAACAAGTGTCGCGTTAACGCCAAGTTACATAACTCACAAAGCAAACACGACGTTTATGGTAATCTGAGTGTGATTCGATCCCCTCCACTTCATTCATGACCTGCCAGTAATTAATCATTCCGACTCATGGCGCCGTTCAACCTGCCGAATACAGTTCTCAGCGGCTTCAAAGAAAGACCAGAGGCTTTACTTGCACAGGGCAAGTTCTCCGAACATGTTGCAGGCGTAGCATGCTCAATTATCGTATCTTAAGGTGACAGGTTGTACGTTGGAACAGCAACAGGCAGTCTCTTCATCTACGAGTACAACGAACTTTCTGGTATGCTACTGTTGGATGCTATCAGCGCTGATATACTCATTTCAATACCAAGATAATGTATCAACTTTGGTGGACACTAAGAAGGGTCTGTCTCGTAGATCTATTGACCAGCTGGGCTATATCAAGGATATCAATTCTCTGGTTTCCCTCTCCGGTACGACTAATAGCATAAGCATCTTTGTCGAGTGTCGTGGATTAAGCGTGTCCATACTCAGAAACTATACCAACTCTGTATCCTCTCCCAAGCTTTACCCCTCCAACACCACTTACAAGAGCCAAGGGTGCATTAACATTCGCTATTCACTCCTCCGTGTCCAACCTCGACCCAAGTGATGCCAATAGTGGAGCCAACACTGTCGGCAGGGCAGCCCCGATTCATACGATGATGACGCAGCTTATAGTCGGGTGCCGAAGGAAGGTAGTGATATACACGTGGAAGGATGGTGAAGCACAGGAAATCAAGGTACGAATTTGCTACACTTGTAAGGCCCATCTAAACCAGCAAGTAGGAATCTATTCTTCCTCACTCGCCGCGTGTTGCGGTGTTTCTTGATAGCGATAATGTTTGCTTTGCGTACTCACCTACTGAGTATGCTATGTTCTCCATTAGTAAGCTCACAACACTTGACGTTACCACACCTATACCCGCGAATACTTCCATGGGCGCGTTTTCTGGGCTTACTGGGTACATGACCCTTGGTCTGGGAGCCAGAGCCAAACCTGGGTTGGTGCGGCTGAGTGATACCGAGGCACTTATTGTCAAAGACAGTATGGTACAAGTTTTATATTCGATACGATGGATAACTGAAGCTTCCGGCAGACCAGGGGTTTGTCATCGGCACTGATGGGAGGCAGACCAAGCCAGCGACGATTGATTGGCCAAGTCCACCCGATGAAGTTGGTCAGCATTTCAGTCTTCCCAGTCCTCCCCAGTTCTCTGATTGTCTCGTCTAGCCTTTGTCAACCCATATATCTTCTCAATACTTCCTCCTGGTACCGTCCCGGCACCGGAGAATGGAGGTGCTTCCCTTCCATCTGGGAGCGCTCCAGCTGCCCCTCAGTCATCCCTCATCCCCTCTCCAGTCGTGCAAGTCATATCGTCACTGACAATGCAATCCGTCCAAACTCTTCCCTTCCCACCCATACCATCAACGTCTTCTGCCGCCACTTGCACGATTAGACTCTTGACATCTTCTCCTGCCGCCAAAGCACCTCTCTTCCTTGTGGCTACTCCGAGTGACCGCACAGTAGCAACTTCCGAGGGCAGCTCGATATGGCAAATTCAGATGAAGTCATGGGGAGACCAGATCGATGAACTTGTCCAGCGCTGCCTCTATTCCGACGCACTGTCATTGCTTGATACTTTAGACAAAGCTCTTTTACCAGACAAGGTTCGTTTTCAATTACACAATCGAGTGACAGGCATAACGCCATCTACCTTCTGAAGGACCAACGACGAACCCTGATTCGTGCCCTTCATGCCGTGTCCCAGTTCCGATTAGGAAAGTTTGATGATGCAATAAATGCTTTCATCGAGCTTGATCTCAACCCCGCCAAGGTCGTCGCTCTCTATCCTGAGCGCATTGCTGGACGTCTTTCTGTTCCTCCGGATGATTGGATACCACTGTTCGGGGGACCTGCAAACCAGCAGTCACTCACGCCAAAGAACGATGATGCCATGTCAACAAAGTCCCAAAATGATAGCAATGAAAGCAAAGAGAAACTTTTGGAGCAGTCAGCGTCCCCTGCGATGCCAGTCAGGGCTTCTGTTCGTCGGGGAGCTGCCTTTGTGGCACTTTTATCCTCGAAAGACAAAGACGATGATTCCGTGTCTATTAGCGGGAAGAAGAAGGTAAAGCAAGTAGGTCAGTCAGATATTTTGTCTTCGTTGGCTCGTCGCGTCAACGAATTGTCCAGATGACTTCAGCCGGTCGGTGAACGCTCTATGGCAATATCTTACCGATCGTCGTCCGAAAGTTGCAGGCGCACTCGCAACAGTACACATTACACCAGCTCAGTCTCACCAGTGGCCTTTCCTCTCTGAGACGTCGACCGAAGAATTATTTGCACTGCCGAACATCCCTTTACCTCTGTTGACTCCAGAGCAGCTTGTGCGGTTCGCACAGATTGTAGACACAGCGCTCTTCAAGTCTTATCTCGTGACTCAGCCGGCCCTCCTCGGTGCACTTTGTCGATTGGCCAATTGGTGTGAAGTATCAGAGGTTGAGGAGGAGCTCCAGGCACGAGAGGTGCGTCCAACGTGCGCACGTACTCAAACATAGCATTTACTGACGTTCTCAGAAACTTACGGAGCTTATATATCTTTATAATGGAAAGAAGATGCATGCCAAGGCTCTCAATCTCCTCCAACAGTGAGCATCTATGTCTTTTACCTGATTGCGCTTGCAGACTGACGGCCTTGCACAGGTTAAGTGAGAAGGAAACGGACATGAGAGACAAGCTTGATCCGTCCATATCATACCTGCGAAAACTTGGTCCTGAGTACATCAACCAAGTATTTGAGTCCTCCCGCTGGATCTTTGAAGCAGACCGTCATATGGCTTTCGAGGTGATCCTTGTATACGTTTTTTGTCCAGTTCCTTGCTGACAATTATCTGTCTCATTCAAGATATTTACATCTGACGACGTTGAACTCCCTCGAACTCAGGTAACGGATTACCTTGAGAAGATTGACCCTACTATATCTACTCGTTACATCGAGTATCTGATCGATGAGAAAGGCGAAGAGAGTCCTGCATTCCATGATCGGCTGACAGAGCTCTATCTGAACATGACTTTAAGTGCTCGCAAACGAGGAGACGAAGGTTTGTCGTTATTTTTGCTGGCCGATAACTTTCTGACCAGCTCCCGCTAGCAAAAGAGTTGGAGGTTTACTCAAAGCTCCTTCGTTTCATTGACACCACTGTTCACTACCACCCCGATCGCTTGTATGGTTTACTATCAGAGAGTCAGTTACAGAATAACACTCACCGTGAAAGTTGATGCTTACATTCCGTAGATCTTTACGAAGCGCGAGCTGTGTTGCTGGGCCGTATGGGAAGGCACGAACATGCTCTGGAGCTCTACGTTTACAAGCTCAAGAATTATGCCAAGGCCGAAGAGTATGTCTTTTTTCGCAGCTACAATCCCAATCTCTCGTTGACTACGTCGTAGATACTGCAAGCGAATATATAATCCAAACGAAGTGACCAGAAGCATCTTCTTGACTCTTCTCAGCCTCTACCTCCGCCCCACTGACAAAGCAGCGCCGAATTTGTTGCAGCCCGCCTTAGACTTGATCAGTCGACATAGTCCTCGCTTAGACTCTGTTGAAACTCTTCAACTTCTTCCTCCTCTCGTCACCGCTCGCGACGTGCGCCCATTCCTTCAAGAAGCTTTACGAGCACAGATTTTCGACAGTCACGTCATCCGCGATATCCACAAAGCGCGAAATGAACAAGTTGCTAGGAAGCTGATGCTGCTAGAGTCCAGGCGTGTCAAAGTCACAGACAGTAGAATGTATGTCCAATGTTCTTTCCACGTGGATATTTCTCTGATGACTTGTGCAAAGCTGTCCCCAATGCCATAAGCGTCTGGGTAGCAGCGTCATCGCAGTTCATGCACCCAGGCGAGTCCGACATTCGCCCCTAACAATATTTTCTAATGTTCTCATTTTTCAGGGGAGAGGTGACTCATTATCAGTGCCGCGATGCTTTTGCTCGGAGGCTTGTTGATCCCGTGAGGAGATAATGGCTATCATGCTACACAGCATTTTTGGTGCGGCTGCCTTTGTTGTTACTGAGGGCTTAGTATGTATCGGTGGGCCCACCACCCGTAGTCAACTGCGTGTATCTATCTCCTCGTGTATCTTTGTGATTTACCCCTTCTTCTTGTCTTGTCTGTCCTTCAAGTGTTCGATGCACAGAGCTGGCTAAGCAATCAGGCGAAACCTGGAAAGTCCAGAAGTTGCATCCCATCAGCATTTCTCAAAAAAGCTCCAACTACAAGTACGATCTCCCAAGTTCCAATCGTCCATGTTATTTAAAGGGAAAGGGATGATGGATGGCCGCCACTTACTCATATGCTCATTGAAACATCCCCATTGCCACCCAATAATCCACCCACTGTGCCGCGTCTGCTGAAGACAGCGACTTCAGCTCCTTCATTGTTGGACTGACACGCTCGGCTACAGCAGTGGCGAATGAAGCCACGCCACCCGCTTCGGAATCCATCTCTCCAGACGCCCTGATTGCAATGTCTGATCGAGCCATCAAACGCATGAAGTTGAGAAGCTTGGTAGCAGGCTGCAATTGAAGACTAGGTGGGAAAACGTTCTGGCCAGCTATCGAGATATACGTACGATGCGTTTCATGGTTTCTTCGCTCAAGTCCTTGGCACTCGATTCGAGCTTCTCGAGCCACTCCGAGAACGACACAAGAAGTAGCGGGTAACTTGTTACTTTACGCTCAACCAGGGCGTCCGCCACGGGCTGTATCAACGTCCTCCAAGCGACCGGTCTCGGATGTACCAGATTCACCGCGATGGGAGGTTCTTCATCCGCGAAAGCGACATCAAGAATAGCATTTGATATGGCATGGGGAGGGATCCAAGACACAAACTAAACCGCGCGTGTCACGAACAGATACCCTTGATAGTAATGGACTTACTCCTTTAGCCTCCGGAAGCGCGCCTAGGCTTACACTTGATTCGACGATGATCGGTAGCCAGTTTGTCGTGGACCAAGCTCCTCGCGGGGGTCCTCCTGATATTTGTCCAATTCTGAATGAAGATGCCGGTAACTTGCTGTTGACGAGAACCTTATTGGGAACAGTATTCGTAGAATCCATGCTCCCCAAAGTAGCTTGTGACTTACCCTTTCCGAAACATATTTGCTCGCGCCATAGCCAGGACCTGCTGCGACGCCTGCGTCGTATTGTACTTCTTCAGGGAACGGTCCTTTTGCTTTATCCCAACCTTGAGCAGATGAGATGGAAGATGTGAACATGAAACGCGGCTTTGGATGACGCGGAGAAGACAGTGCCAAGTCTATAAGATTCCGCATTCCGCGCACATGAGGGTCGAATGACGAGAGCGCCAGGTTAAAGTCGAGTCGCCAAGCGTTGTGAATGATGACAGTGACAGATGTGCAGATCTACGCTATCTTTAGTTGATTCGGTGACACTGGAAATGAAGCAAACCTTTTGATACAATTCCTTATCCAGACCTAGGCGATCATCGGATGTATCAGTTTCTACATATACTAGTTTGTCTGACTGAAGCAGAGTGAAATCTAAACCGCGATCTCTGAATGAATCTTCCTGTCGTTGTTGCATGGATGCCCCCTTTGACGGGCGATTGAAGGCATATACCACAGACACGTCCTCGCGCTGGAGTAGATCTGCAAGCAGATATGAACCAAGACCACCTGTAGACCCGGTCAGGGCAACCACATGATCGCGTTGGCTGCATCCATTAACTAGAGTGGTGTTGGCCTCTGTGACAGAGTTCCCTAATCCGACCGAATACCTCTCGATCATGTTCTCGATATCAGCCTTGGCGTCGACGGTACTCGTACCATTCTGTTGCAATACTGCAATAATGACGCTTCTCGCGAGCCGGCGAATCGAAGGACTTGAAAATATGATGTTCTGGTCAATCCGCGATGCTGATGCCTGAACGTCGCGATCTGAAGACGAGCTGAGAGAGCCGATAATACGGTTTTTGAGGAATGTCGCAGAGAGACTAGATGTACGAAATAAGCAGATCACTAGCCTTGGCTGGTTTTCGACCCACCTGTCAAAGCCTTGAGCAAAAAGGTCTGTATCAGGATCAACTGCCTTGTCGGCGTTCACAGCAGCAGCGTGGACCTTGAGCCATCCCTCGACGTCTTCCGCAGTCCAGCTTGTAGGTAAAGGTACATCGATACCTGCCCTAGCGCTGCCCTCCACCTTCTCATATCTGTCGTCCGCGAAGTTTAGTTGACAGAGTGACAGATGGGTACTATGCTCACAGGGCATTGATCTCCTCCTCATACAGCTTGACGGTTGCTTTCTTGGTGACGGTCCCTTTTCCGGCTCGAAGCATGGGCTTCTCTCTGCGTGTCACAAGAATCATCTCTTTGAAGATCCTGCTGAAGGCAGGAGCCTCGTTGTTCGCTTCCTCTATTTCTGGCCTTCAAGAACATTTTTGGACTCAACAGCAGCATACGATCTTGTATGGGACTTACCACACTCGGTTCCTAAACTCAGCAAGGTGTTTGTCGTCATCAACGTCAATTTCACACCCTACTCGTGGCTCTATGAGGATCCCAACTTGATTGCGTCCACGACCGAAGATGACAGTGCCGTTTACGTAGGGGTTGGCGCAGATGATGCTTTCCATGGGAGCCGGTACTGTCTTCTCCCCAGACGAAAGTACCAAAACGTCGTCGATCCTTCCTACGCTGCGAGAAAAATGTCAGAGAAAATAAATAACACGAATTTCAGTCGGACTCGTACATCTTCCACAAACCCTCTATCGTCGGGTGCTTGATAAATGCATCCGAAGTAGCATAACCCTTGACATCCGGAAGATTCTCTACTGACACTTGATGTGTCGGGTTTGTCTGCGATAAAGCGTTCAACGCTGAGAGGGTGTCTAAAGATCAGCTCGGAGACGCACCAAAACTTGACATTCATATGTGCCATCGTCCTGTGGAGCCCACCTGATCTTGGAACTTGGTCCAAATCGCACCCACTCCCAAAGCTTTTGGTCGACCGAATTTCGGATAAAATAAGTGTTCATACCAAATTCTGTAGCACCGTAAGCACAAGAAAGCTTTACTCCTGCGTTCACCAGGGTATTTCCCATCTTGGGCGCGAGAGGACCGCCAGCATAGGCCTGCATTGGTATCAACGTGAGTGATTCCTTGTCACAGCATCAATAAAAAACTTACAACGTATTCAAGCGTCTTCAAAACATTGACAGCACTCGGCGAAAACGCCATTGTGCCAGAAAGGCAGGCACGACTACCAAAGCGTTCGACTTCGTCTTGAGTATAGAGTCCAAGATGTTTTGCGAGTTGGGTACTACAGGGGTCGCCAAGGGATCGAGGAAAGATGTAGGCGGGTAAATAGACACACTGCTCAGGGTGGTGATGGGGACGAGCAGCTGAAGATATATACCAAGGGTATGGAATGATGGCAAGGACGCAGTACCGATGCGGATAGGATTGGGAACGTCGATGTGGCCGAGAACACATGCTAACGCCATTCCATCTTAGCATTGTTCATTGCAGATCATTTTACTGACTTACGCGTCATGCACCAGTGTATGGCAGTCAGGTTACTTATTGTAATAGGTTTAGGGAAACCAGTGCTGCCAGAGGAGTGCAAGTAGCATAATACATCGTTCTCAGACGATGGCGAACCTGGGGAAGAGTACGGGACAATGGCCTCGTTTGGGGTACCACTGACAAGCCCAGGGTACAGGTGTTTCAGCGCCGGAATCTCGTCGATCTGCAGCTGACTCATTTCAGTGGCATGAGATACAAAACCCGCTTTGACGCCATCAATCAGGGAAGCAAGAGAGTCCTGAGTGGTGATTAGACGACGACAACTTGTTTTCTGCATCATGCTCGTGACTGCTGCTGCCGAATTACGAGGGGACATTGGAAATGGCTTGAAATAGCAGTGATTAGAAGCCCGCTCAATCAGAAATTCTATGTACACACAACTAGCCCAGCGAAGATGATACCCATGAATACTGTCTGGTAAAGAAGGGTGTCGGAGATCCCGATAAGGGCGACCACTTCTTTGTCCGCGCCTGCGCCGCCTTGCCTAATGGCCTGGGCGGCTCGATGACAAGCTCGACGGAAGTCTGAGTGTGAGATAGAGACCAGGTCATTGCTGTCAGGCTTGTCGTAGACAAAGAAAGTGACGTCCGAGTTATATTGCGCATTGAATTCCACCAATTCAGGAAGGGACAGAGATCCATCGAGGGGAGGGTAATTGACATAACTTCGATGATTTGAAGCGACCATGATGAATGATCGTACACACTTAGACTGACTATTGGTACGAAGTATCGTGCATGAATAAGTAGTCATTTTCAAGCGGCATCTCGAAGAGAACCCCGCGATATTACGTTTCATCATTGCGACCAAATCTGATAAGTACCTGAGTACCTCCGAACTGAGAAAAGATGTTTGCTTACTGATACTGAATACCAAGTCGTTGCTACCATAGGTAAGGAAGCCCCGCCCTGCTCCGCCTGGGCTGGAGCAACAGAAAAAACCAGTGGAAAACGGTAAGTATCGTGGGTGGGTTATAAAGTATGCAATAAACGGCGTTATGCCTTCATTGTTGTACTGAAGATAATATCATGGGATGTCAGATGACAGTAAAGATCGTTGTGAAGGATTAGTGATTAATGATGGCCGTCGGTATACTCGTGAGAGGTATGACAAATCAAGAGTCAGAGGTGAGTCCAGCGTGTTTATCGTTGCATGAGGATCAGTGCTCGAAGTTGTATTAGGGACGACAGAAGGTGCGGTAGAGGTGAAGGTGGTAGTATGCGATTGCGAAAATGACTGGGCTTGAGCCAAGCTACTGGATTGCTGCATGACCGTGCTATTGGGAGGGCGTGAACTGCATGCAGTAGCGTTTTTCGGGATCCATTTTTCTCTTGCTGAAGTATCCCTCTACGTGATATGAGATGGAGTTGGACAATCAAAAAATTGACATACATGTTTCCCCTTCAAGGCATACAGAACATCGACTATTGATGTGCGACACTCGTGCAGGTTGAACTCTTCACACTTGGTCTGACAGATAGAAGGTTTCGAGCCCAGTGGAAAAGGCAGGCCGGGATGGCGTATCGTGGACATCGGATCATGCCGAAAACTGAAAGTGAGGTGAGGACAATACAGCACGAGACATTTACGACGTACATGAGGACAATGCGGTGGGTCGAAAAACACCTCGAGGTAACCGATGGGAGTTCTTGAGTGGCTGGGCCAGAGGTCGTGTAGCGTTGGCCTAGAAAATATTTCAATGCAATGAGATTTGTTTATGAAATTTACATCGAATTGCTGACCTTGTTGCCCTGGGCGAGCGCGTTCAGGCATCACAATGAGAATAAAATACCATTAGATATGCCTATCGACTCACATTGACATCCAACAGAAGGTCGTTAAGGTTGACTATTGCAGACGCGTACGCGTTACAGCCTCAGCAGGTGATGGCTAGCAACTTTCCATCTGCCGAAAAGGACAAGCAGGCCACTATTGCGACGTGGTGGAGGGGAGAATTGACTCGGATGGGCTGGCCGCTGTCGAAGTTCCACGTTCCATACTTGTCTTCCGGTGTGCTTGCGAGGACGCCACCACTCGGAGATATTGCAAAGGCATGGACATTAGTAGTACTTGTGTCCTTCCTGTTTCCAAGGTTGTAAGTACTACGTGTTTCAAGTCAAATTCGAAGTCCTAAGGCCTAATTGAGTGAACCGACTAACTCGGAGATAAGGGTTTTTTTTCATCCGGCCCATGGGTCCAAGCAAGGCAAAATACCATCCCAGACTCGGATTTTGACTGGGGGTTCGACGCTCGTTATAAGGAGACGAAAAGTCGTATCCAGCAGTCACAAACATGGTTATGTCTGGCGGGCGAGCACACAACTGTGACCTTTCTCCTTTGAATCCACGTTCCACTGGCTTGCAGTCCCATCGTGACATCTGCTCACCACTCGCCAGCCATCTCTAGTACTCCAGCAGACAAACTACACTATTTCGGTTCTATTTAGTGATGACTTTGCATGTGCAAAGACATCGCAAAATAGACCCTGATGTCCAACCGCACCTTCCTAACTACCACCAACCACTTTCTCCCCGTCTGGAGACTGCTATGGTCGACGCTCCACTTCTACCGTGCCTGCAGTCACATCTCATATCTGTTTCCCACTCTTCAAATTCCATGCCCCCAGCAAGCCGTGACTTGAACGAGTGAGCATCCACTGGTAGAGGCATGTTGGACATCATTGACCAAATCGGTGTGTCCTTCAATTTTCTGGAGGTGCTTTATCGTTATCGTTGATGTGACTCGTCTCCTGACTTTCCGCTACTTACTGGGCGCATCAGCGTCTCAGATTTCATCTAACGAAGGCCAAAATTGACTCTCATGATGATATGAGGCTTAGGTCGATTCAGAGTTGACTCAGTTGAGTACACTGGAAAATCCGTATTACGTGTGTCATCCTTGTGATACCTCGCAGCTTGTATTATAGGCTGTGCAGCTGGAGCGCCCCAGTCGTTGAAGATGTATATTCTGTGGACCGCACACCATCCGAATTCGTCCCGCCATGACCTTGTAAATGATATATTACCGGTGTCTGGTAACCTGTTATCACTCGGACCTTTCTTGGTTCCTTCGAACGACTTCGAACCCTGAGCAAAAAAAGTCCGGACACCCTCATGTTATTCACAATGAAAAGACCCCCAAACTCTGCTCAACATCTTCACTTCAAGTTAATGTTGCAGCCATCACCAAGCAGTATATAATTCTCAACCGAGTATCTGCCGGCAGCTTCCGTCTTTTCTTCGTTAACGTCTCTCCATTACTTGACGTGGCAGCTAAACTTTGGTTGGACGTTGTATTATTTGTATCCTAGCGTGTAGCACATCAATGAATACAGTAATATGATGGATAGTCTTACACAAGGGCACACATTGCACAACTGTGAGTGGCCAATGTCCGTAATTCAATAAAGCGTGCTTCGAGTCCCTGGAGCAGGACAAGAGCAACGAAAGTTACAGAAGCACGGAGTTTGGTGCGATGAAGTGTATATGCAATATAATGGGGGAGTTTTACTTGAAAGTCAGAAAAAGGGGGGATTCTGGACAAGCAAAAAGATGGGTAACTGAGCACATCACCACGACTACTTGAGGCCGTAAAGTAGGTCAGAGTGTCTTGTAAGTTGAGTAGACTGAGGTTTGGGTGGCGCCTAGGCTATCATCCTCCAGAGTGCACCATCGAGAGTACTGAACTACAAGACGGGAACACGGGCGAAGTGAGTGAGTCGTCAAATTCGCTAGTCACGAGTGCAGGTTAAAAGGTATTTACAAATGTGCAGGATGGCACGGGCGTGAATGATGTGGTGATTCGGGGAGCCGGTTGCTGCGGTGCATCACAATGCGTGGCGTAATGTCGCAGTACGTCCGTTGCAGTGCAAGTTGTGCCACTGAATTTTGAGTGACATAGTGGCGCTGTGACAGAACTAAACCGTTGTTAAGATTGAATGGTGCGTGTAAACATGCATACCTTGACGAGTGATACTTCTCGATGCACGGTAGGTATGAGTGGAATCACGATAACGAGTGTTAATGCCCAGTAACGCGCGAATATCAATGCTCCCACCGCTCAGTCGTCAAAAGCTCATTCCTCTCGTGATGCCACCTAGAAGTGTCAAATTCATGCTGTCACGGTTGATTTTACTCATTGCCGTTCATAGTCACATAGTGCCCGGATATGCACGCCATATATAGGACGGCATAGGACTGGCAGCGCGAATTGATTAGTTTGAGATCACCCAGCATGATTGGTATTGGGTTGCTAGGCCCGGGAGTCATGCGAAAGGTGTCGACGGATGTTTGCGGCGAGCGCGTCGCGGGCCCACTTCCTAACCTGCTCGGAGAGTTGAATATTGTACATATATTATCAAGTCTGCATTTGTCACAAAGTGTTAATAAAGGGAGCTAATACACTAAAAATGCAAGAAGTCAACATGTTGAAGATGTGACGAGGAGAATATCGAACCAACAAAGCTGAAGTTAAGGGAAGGAAAGCATGTGGGGGACTGAGGATATGTTGAGGTCGTTATATACTGCTTGGTGATGGCTACGACATAAAGCTGAAGTGGCAGAGTCTGGGGTCTTTTCGTGGTGGATGACTCGTTCGAAGGAACCGAGAAAGATCCGAATGATAACGGGTTACCATGGACTCTAGCTAGTACTTATATAGACTGGTTGGAGATGAAACGGCACTGGTTGGGTCTCGTACAACATCATGGAGCCCGGGCTTCTTGTGTACTCGTGCGCACATATACTTACGGGCACGTCTGATGCCGTCTGGGGATGCTGTCATACTCACTAGACCAAACTTAATCAGTGCCTGGCTGTACAGCTTGGCCTGCGTAATGGATAAATACGGTGCAGTGCATTCCTCGTCAGCTACACTATAAGGACCTTATTGTCTTTTATAACCGAGGCAGATGCGGCCTTTTAGGAGGCGTTAGGTGGCGAAACGGATATTAAGCCAATCAAGGTTAGCTTGTATGCATTGCAGAGCTGGGTGGGAGAGAGAGGTGAGTGATCTGTGCTGAGTTTGGAATAGTCCACTTTTTCATTCTGGCGTCATGCCAATAGAATGTCTCAAGAGACCTCAAAGTTTCGGACGAGCTGTAACTTACGCTTCCCGCGCACGGACTAAGAACACTTAAGATACGGTCTCCAAATTACGAACAATGTTCGGGTGGTCAAACACTCCGTGCGCATGACACTGCTTGCCAGATTCCCGGGCGGTCGATCGATCGACTCTAGAGTGACTCCCCCTTGCTACTGTGACTTGATTTCGGACCACTATACCTGCTTTGGTCGAAAAGGAAGAACAAATATCCACCCGATTCGAGGTCAGTGCATACCATACCACACATGTGTCAGCGACAGGGGAAAGGCGCTAGACGGCAGTATTTTGTTGCAGTATATATTCGCCGAGTTTACCACTCACTCTGACACACCTATCTCCCCAATGTCATCACTCTTAGATGATCCTAGTTGGTGGGCGCAAATCGATTCGTATCGTGTGTATAGTTATTTTATAGGTTCGTGGACAGCTGATCGGACAGTGTCAGTGTTACTCGATCTAACCCGTCTGCGGTTTCGTAGCTGCCTCTGCTGTTGTGGTTTCATACGACTGGGGTGAGCAATATAACATTGAAGAACCAGAAAGAACCACTGAACGATATTTCCAGCACTAACATTTGGACAAGAGGTAGGTTGGCGCAATTATCGAACGGCTATCTCACTGGGAATGGTTTTATACTAGATTGAACTGGTCTGGGTGAGCGGCGTCTCAATCACAAAAGCGACAGGACAACATGATTAATTCGGGGTAGAGGCGACGCTGGTCCTTCACGACTGCTCTTTTTCTCATTGTACGTAGGTCTGCCTTGTTATAAGCGCAGTTGTCAGGTTGTGCTTAATTCAAAGTCTTCTAGGTGCGCTACATTGGAATGTTATATGCTGTGTATGTTTCCTTAACAGCTTGGTGGTATGCTACTGATCGTTCCTTCACAATCAGTGTCTTTGTGTATTGTATGTCTGACATCTACTACATTTATTTCTTCTAACCCGGGGCATCCAGCAATTGTCCCATCAGACTCTGTGACCAATGCAGTGAGCATTCTACGATGCCTGTCATTCTCGCACACTAACTGCTCCCCGTAGGGGTGAGTGAGATTCTCGACTAGCTTGTTGATTTAATGTAATAGGTGCCACAGCTGTGAGTTTAATTGCATTGTGCAGTTCTTCGAGGTTCATGATTTTTTTTCAGGTGAAATTATCAACTCCGTATCATTGTGCCTAGCTTTTGTCGTCAACTGCATGCTGGGTGGTGAGCTACTCATCTGCAATACCTCAGTGATATCGAGTTAACTGACACATCATGCAAGCCATCATGATCACTCGGTTATTTGCCATGTATCAGCAATCGAGAAAGGTGCTTATCCTTCTCGTTGCGATCTTTCTCGCTATCATTATTGCCTGTGGAGTGATTACTGCGATACAAGCTCGCCATATATCAGGTGGTAAGGTCATTTATGGACGAAAGATTAAAGTGAATCAAGCTCATGGGACGAATATCAGAGGACCTTATGATCCCTGGCAGCTACTGTCAGCCTCAGTGTCTCATTGGGGGAAACGTACCTCTGACGACCGAGTATTGGTTGCTCAGCACCGCGTGGGAGGCCCTCACGCTGTGCCTTGCACTCTGGAGCGCTGCAAAACACTTTCATGAACTGCGACAACCGTGGACGAGATGGACCATCGGGGACTGTTTTACAGTGTTAATAAAATCGCATGTGCTTTACTTTGCAAGGTTAGCTCATATTTTGAATGGGGTTGTCCTTTGGCGCTGAAGTTATGCTAGCTTTCTTGCCGTGTCTTGCTTCCAACTTGGCTATCTGTCTCCGGCAATTGTGGTACGCCGACCTGTCACCGTTCCGCATGCGACTACTGTTCATCATGTTCATAGAACTCGACTACTGTTGGCACTCAGATTTATGGCGGTGTTCTCCAAATTTTCTCGCTTGTGCAGATGTTTGTGCTGGGACCACGCCTTATCCTCGATGTTCGAAAATATCATGCTAAGCTTGTAGCTGATTCCGATGCAGGGACCACCGTGGCTACAATTGTCTTCCTTGAGCGCGCCCAACTGTCAACTGGCAGTGATGTTTAGCATTCCCAATGCTGAAAGTATTTAATAATTATCGGGTAGTACTCTACAGGGAGTACGGGAGTATTGGGACTGATATGGTGTTTTAAGGAGAGGTAGGTCCGTGCACATGCATGTTGCATCAGCCCATACTCACATCTCCGCGGTGCAGAATCAACCAGAACGTCTCCGGTGATGGAGCATGCCCGCATAATCCAGTGCTGATCGCTAAGCGGGTAACGATGTGCACACCCTCTCACTGCCACCTTTAATTAGAGGCCAGAACCAGCACACTGGTGAAGGACAGCCCTGATGGATCGCGAGTTCATATCCGATTTGTCGGGTAGTCGACAGTGGATCCCTACCCCACATTGATGGCGTTGGGCGAGTTGCGAGATTCATGGTGTGAGCATTGTGGTGTGTAGCTGTATCCAGTAATAATAGTAATACAGGTGGCGTAGTAATGCAACAAGGGACAAATAGATTTATCGTGGAGAGCAAAGACTCTGTGTACCGGGACGATCGAGGAGCATCGAGAGCGTGCTCATGACGTGACGCTTGTTGCTCTCGTTGTACGTCCTGATCTAAGTACTACGACAGCGGCAAGAAAAAGCAACTCGTGAAACGCGATCGTTGATGCACTGTCGTCTCATGTCGACTCGGGCCAGCCTGAGCAGGTGCAGAATACGGAAAAGTTGAGATTACTCAAGCGATACTGAAGCCAACCGTGTGACACAGCTTCCTTTGTTATGTAAGACTGCTGACTAGGAGACATGTTGAAACTTGGTATACTACTGGGGAGGTCAATGACTCGTCCCAAGTTTCTTGATTCCTGTAAGTGCCTAGAGCTAGAAAAGGATTTCTGTTTGATGCGCGCGATTATAACAGCTCCACTTGGTTGGCGATTCGACACCTACAGAGGTTTGTCAGCACGATTACCCATGCTGCAACCGGGCTGTTCCACCGTCTACTTATGACTTGAAATTTTGTTGGGAGTACTTCTACGCGTCCGTCGGATCAAGTACTCAAGCAGCAGGCTTTATTGTCGATGTCATTTTGTGCAGCTTACCACGGCTAGGACTGAGCCGGTACCAGTGGCCAGTTGTGAAAATGCTGCGTGCAAATTGCCACGATAAGTATGGCTCTGAGCTAACACTGCCGCTGGTTTGCCATCATTTACCGTGACTTCGGAAGTTTCAAACTCCCTATGTATGACGTACGTTCACAACAATATCGATGAAGGAGGGCACGGTGCTACCTCCATATAAGAGCTGGGAGCTTCGGTACCAGACTAAGCTTTTTCAGTCACTGTCGACGACACGCTTTGTGTATAATTAAATTTGGAACTTGTCGTGGAACTCTGATCATCTATTGTAGTAGCCTAGCCCGAGTTGAGACCGATGAGCGCTGAGCGCTGAGCACTTGATATGAAAGCATCTATGAGCGAGCCGAGATACTCTCCGGCAGCTCCGGCAGTACTAGTGCTATACAGGTGTCATTCAAGTCCTTAGTCTCCGGGGCCTCTTCAACGTAGTGTTGTTGTCGAGGTGAGTCCAAATCGAGTTAAACTCGGCTTCGAAAATGACCAAATTCGTTTCAACTCGAACCTGCCGAGCTGAATCGAGTTGATGTAGTTCACTTCCATACATCGTAATCCCCCGTGATTGGAACCATCCGCACGCTCGGTATCACAGCGGGAGCTCACCAATTCAACAGCGATTGCTTCTCGGTCTTTGTCTGCTGGATAAGGGCGCATGAACAACCTCAATGTAACCGTTCGGCTCTCAGCATCCACTACTAGTACCAGCACTATTCCTCCAACTACCACCATCATCGTCTCTGAACCAATGGTGCACTCACCGGCACCGGAAACCACAGAGGAACGCATCCGCAAGGAACTCGAACAGGACAGGAAAAATGCTGAGTGCGAGTTTTCTCGTTATGAAGATGCAGGTCTACTACTCAAAACGGCTGAGCGCACAACAGGTATAGTTCGTTTCTGGGAGGTATGCCATACAATTCCTTCATTAATTAGAAATTGTTATGTAGCAAAAAGAATACACATTCCCGCCTCTATTTCGTGTCGCTATGGATGTCTTACCTGCTCAAGCTTCATCTGTGCCTTCCGAGCGTATATTTTCATCCAGCAAAGAGACCTGCACTCTACGGCGCAGTAACCTGTCTCTGACCACACTCGAAGCACTACAAGTTCTGAAGTTCGTCTACAAGCAAGAATGCCTCGATTTTACAGCGGACCTGGTGGCTAACAGGCAAGACTACACAATATGTGGACCCGTAATCCCAAGAGCAGTTGACGAGCTGATGGTCACTGGGAATCTTCGAGAGCTCGATCAGTTGCTCGCGAATGCAAGGGAAATTAATTGTAATTAGTTCTGTCTGCTTTTTGTGTAGCTACTTGCAAATAGTCGTCGTTGGTGGTACAAGCGTCACTGGCTTCTCATTGGCTGGACTGTCGGTCCGTATCACTCCCGAACTCGTTACAACTCGTAAGTGCCGAGTTGTGTCGAGTAGCTGCAATTTCCCACTTCGATTCGATTCGATTCGCCTCGGCGGCAACACTACTTCAGCGGTCACAAGCCACCGTTCTTCAGCCGTCGTGCCTAGGCCTCACCGGCGTGGCACGGTTTGATGGAGTGCCAGGTGACCTAGGTGACCGCAAGGCAAATTGACGCCTTACGCTTATCTTCATGTAATGACAATGTGTATTTATAATGCAAGACCGTCGGAGTCTTCAGCAAGCCGCCACCATCTGACCCAGTCTTTGCTGTGTCCCCGCCTCATTCCGTATGACCTCCAAACGGTCAGAAGAATCTGTGAAGGAAAAGGTCGAAGAGGTCGAAGCAGCCAACCTTCAACCTTTGAACCTTCAGCTCGATGCTGGTGATGAGTATACCAACTTTCGTCAAAAATGGTGGCAGTTGTGGTAAGTGGAGCTATCTTCCAAACAACGTACTCCTTCTGATGATCGAGCCGCGAGCAGGTTACCCAAGGACCCACCACCTCCAGCTCCCCCGTCTCTGGAGGATGCAGCGGTGCGCATTGAACCACCTACGCTAATTTTCTGAACGACCCTTCTAATAACATGGCATTCTACAGCTGACGCCTTTTGCCAATGCTTCCATTTTCTCTCAGCTCACCTTCTCCTGGATCACCGATATAATGGTCAGTCATTGAACTTTGATCCTAACGCATACTGTTATAGCGCATACATCAGGTTCTCGGATATCAGCGCACCTTACAAGCATCTGATCTATACAAAATGGACCCATCCCGAGAGTCGGCTGCCCTTGCCGGTAAACTTGAAGCAGCATGGCAGCGGCGTGTTAAGGTAGCAGCCGAGTGGAATGCACGACTTGAGAGTGGAGAAATCAGCCCATCTCTCTTAAAGCGTGCCAGCTGGGCCATGCGTGCAATTTCAAAGAATGATCAGAAACAAGGCGTGACTTGGTCTGAGCGATATGCAGCATTCCAGAATCATTGGCGGGAGTCCGACGGGCGGAAAGAGGCCAGCCTTGCTTGGGCTTTGAATGACGTCTTTCGTAACATGTTCTGGATTGGAGGTGTATTCAAGGTATGGGTTTGCCTCATAAATTGTCGCTGCCATAATGATTGTACAACACCACTCAGGTCTTTGGTGATACAGCACAGCTCATGGGTCCTATCGTCCTTCGGGTGAATAATATCTTGTGTTTGGTTGCAATAACCTCTGATGTTTGTTCTCCCCCGCAGCAAATCATTGTCTTTGCGGAGGAGCGCTCCGCCGCGACCAATGCAGGAACACCTGTCCCTAATGTCGGTCGTGGTGTTGCCATGGCTTTTGGGCTTTTTGGGCTTACCGTGACGGCCAGCGTGTGCACCCACCAGGTGTGTAAAACTTTATAAATCACACTCGGCTCAACTAATATTTTCAAGTTTTTTTGGCGTTCAATGGCAACTGGCGTACTAGCTAGAGCCGCACTGATAACATGTATTTACGAGCGTGGAGTGAACCTCACGGGCAAAGCCCGTGTCAAGCTCAACAACGCCACGCTTGTTAACCATATTTCTACTGACGTGAGCAGGGTTGACGCGTGTGCGCAGTGGTTTGTGAGTTGCAAACTTGAGCATTACACTCATGCTGTCGACTAACTTGTAGTGTGTCCCTCCTCACTAGCATGCAGGTCAGTATATAGGATCTCCGACATTCAGAATTAGAGATGACTTACTGTCCTCAAGCCTGGACCGCGCCTATTCAGGTCATAGTTTGTTTAATCATTCTTATAACTGAGGTTTGTTGTACGCTATGAAGAGTTTGGTTTATTCTGACTGCACTTGAAAACTAGCTCGGGCCGTCTGCACTCGCTGGTTTCTCGCTATTTGTCCTCATGATTCCAATGCAACAGCGGCTAATGGCACTGCAGCATCGTCTTCGCTTAGTGTCAATGAAATGGACTGATCAACGAGCCAAAGTTCTGCTAGAAGTACTCGGTATGTAACCTTGGGGCAGCTGGGACGCGCAAGGATGCTGAAGATGCGCACAGGGGCTATGCGGGTTGTCAAGTATTTCTCATATGAGGTCCCTTTCCTTCAAAGTAAGCATGATGTCAAGGAATATCAACAACGTACTCACGAACATCGTTCAGGAATCTTTGATCTTCGAAAGAGAGAAATGAGTGGTATCCGATGGATTCTTCATCTAACTTCAGCGAAGTAAGCCTAGGTGTGTATAACATGGCGACGCCTACTAATTTTCTACACAGCATGGCGCTCGCGACTTCGATGCCAGTCCTCGCTGCCACATTAGCTTTCGTCACGTACACCCTTACAGCACACGACTTCAATGTTGCTGTCATATTCAGTTCGCTGAGTTTGTTCCAGGTGAAATCGTTTCCCCCAGCGTCCATGAACATGCACCTGACCGATAGATAAATAGCTTCTCCGCCAACCAATGATGTTCATGCCTCGTGCTCTATCAGCTATCCCCGATGCATCCAGCGCGATTCAGCGGCTGGCGCACGTGTTCCGTGCAGAGCTTATTTCCGAAGATACACTCGTGATTGACAAGGACCAAGAACTCGCGCTCCTGACCAAGGATGCGACATTTGAGTGGGAGTCAAGTGGGAAAGATTCTGGTGAGGCTTTCGGCTCGAAGGGTGCACGCGGCGGCGGTCCACCGAGAGGCAAGGACAGGAGCATGAAAGAAGACACGGCGAAGGAAAAACCCGCTCCTGGAAAGGATGTACCTCTTTTTCAGGTAAAGAATGTGACCATGGCCATTCCACGAGGTCAGCTCGTCGCCGTAGTTGGGCCTGTCGGAAGCGGCAAGGTAATCTTGTCGAGTGAAATTCTTGAAGCGACTGCTGACCCACGAACAGTCCAGTTTATTGCAAGGACTAATAGGAGAGATGAGGAAGGTTTCCGGGCATGTCTCGTTTGGCGGTCGCGTTGGCTATTGTCCGCAGACCGCGTGGATTCAGAATGCTACGTTGGTCAGTGGCATGGTGTCGCCCTCAGGGGAAAATACATCTAACATTTTACCCTAGCGTGATAATATCACTTTTGGCCAACCATTCGAGGAAGACAGATATTGGCGCATTATTGAGACCGCTTGTCTACTTCCAGACCTCCAACTACTCCCAGATGGTGATCTGACTGAAGTATGTGGATGAATTTAACTTGATAACACTGCTTATGCTCTATTTCAGATCGGAGAAAAGGGAATTAATCTCAGCGGTGGCCAAAAGCAGAGAGTGAGTTCGTGGATTGCCTCCGCTAACAGTCGATTTTTATCTTCCACCCAGGTCAACATTGCTCGTGCTCTGTACCTTGACCCTGAAATTGTCATATTTGATGACCCGCTCTCGGCAGGTGAGCTATGCGGTTTATATTATGTCTATTAAACTGAAGAATGCCTTCAGTGGATGCTCATGTCGGAAAGTCCTTATTCCAAGATGCCATCGTGGGTGCCCTGCGAAATCGTGGCATTACTGTCATTCTGGTCACGCATGCAATTCACTTCCTCTCTCAAGTAGATTATATCTACACCCTGAACAATGGCGTCATCACAGAGAGCGGAACTTACGAGGAACTGATCTCTCGCGGTGGCGATTTTGCGCGTTTGGACCTAGAGTTCGGTGGTCATGCATCGGAAGGTAAAGATGAAGACCAAGCAGAGGAAGTCACTCCGCAGACAAGCATTTCCATTGAGGAAGTAAAGTTAAAGTCAGAAAGAGTCAGGGTAAAGGCCACCGGCAGTGGCAAACTTGAAGGTCGCTTGATCGTCAAGGAGAAGCGGTCGACGGGCTCTGTATCCCGCGGAGGTGCGATCAAATTCATTTGAAGTGCTTCCCTGGATTGAAACAGTTTCAAAGTGTACTGGACCTACTTGGTTGCGGGACGCGGTTCAATAACAGGTCCCCTGATTATTCTCGTCATGCTTGGGATGCAGGGAAGTCTGATCTTGAACTCGTACACACTAGTTTGGTGGGAGGCCAAGTCAGTGTTTTTTTATTGACTCTTTGATTCCTTTTCTAACATCCTGGCGCAGCAAATTCGCCCGACCAAACTCATTCTATCAGACGCTGTACGGCTGCCTAGGGATTGGTCAAGCGATATTCACATTCTTTGTGTAAGTTGGTTACTATCGCAGATGGCGGCACGCTCACTCAACATAACTTGCTGTAGTGGTGCTGGAATCGATTTCATTTCCTATTATGTTTCTCAAAGCTTGCACCACAAGTCCGTACGCAACATCTTTCATGCATCCATGTCCTTTTTCGACACTACAGTGAGTGGCCGTATACGAAAGCGCTAGAACCGATGCTTATTGTATTCCTGTAGCCTATGGGCCGAATCCTGAGCATTTTTGGCAAGGATATCGACAGTCAGTAACTCACTGGTTTGTGCTATGCTATGCTTGCTGAAACCTTCTACTCAGGTATTGACAATCAACTACCACGTGAGTCGTCTGTCACGTCATGATGAAATGTTACTTATCCATAGTCAAGAATCAATGAGATTGCGTACGTTAACTGCACGCTTCATCTACGGAAACTGACTGGAAATCTAGTTGCCCTTACGCTGTCCAGCGTGACTGGCTCTATCATCATCGTTTCTATCCTTGAACCGTACTTCAGTCAGTATATAGACATCATCTGCGAGGATATGGCTCATGCTTGTTTAGTTATTGCTGTGTTCTTCATCGCTGTCGGTTACGGCTACTTTGCTGCCTTTTATCGAGCTAGTGCTCGTGAAGTCAAGCGCCTGGGTTTGTTGTTGTATTTCTGACCTGGAAAGCCTCTGTTGAAATTGGTCATCAGATTCTATGCTTCGCTCTTTTCTTTATGCCCACTTTTCGGAGACCTTGACGGGACTTCCCACAATCCGAAGCTACGGAGAAATGAAGCGGTTTATTGCCACCAATAGATACTACGTTGATCTGGAGGATAGAGCTCTATTCCTCGTAGTTACGAACCAGAGGCAAGTAGCCTTATACATATCTTCGCGGTTGTTGGTTCATCACCTTCCCTCAGATGGCTTGCAATAAGGTTGGACTTCATGGGAGGCATACTAGTCTTCCTTGTAGGTGTCCATTTAATGACGGATACCTCATACTCACCCAATCCTATGGTCTCAATAGGTTGCTATTCTCGCAGTTGTCAACGTCTCCGGGATAAACGCCGCCCAGATAGGGTTGGTACTGACGTATACCAGTGGGTCTCCCGGTGCCGCCACCAAAGTACACACGATTAACCTTTTTATATCACAGCCTCGCTGTCACAAATGTGTAGTCTGGTAACCAGACAAACAGCAGACGTTGAGGTGAGGCTTTCCTTACTATCTCACATTACAGGATATTGAATCGTTGTTTGGCTCAGAATTACATGAATGCAGTGGAGCGATGTGAGCCGCCAATTTCATGGTACCCCAACTTTCGCTTATGTCTCGCAGTGGTACAGTATGTCGCAGGTGATACGATACCTCAAGAGGCTCCGCATGAGATTGAAGCACGAAAGCCCCCGGCGCAATGGCCTGAACATGGTACGGTCGAGTTCAACGACGTTGAAATGGCATATAGGCCGGGCCTTCCCAATGTATTGAGGGGCATCTCGATCAAGATTAAGGGAGGCGAAAAGATAGGTGTTGTTGGAAGGTCAGCTGGTTTGTTGGATCTACAGATGTATGCTAATGGGGTGTCCCCTCAGGACTGGTGCTGGCAAATCTTCGTTGATGCTCGCACTGTTCCGAATTGTTGAGGTGTCTGGTGGTTCAATAACTATTGATGGGTGCGTTGATCATTGCTCGTGACGAGTACTGGTTTTCACCCCTTCTAGTGTCGATATATCTACAATTGGTCTTAAAGATCTCCGCTCCAAGATTTCTATTATCCCACAAGATGTTTGTAATGTTTCCCTGTACTACCTAACACATGACTGACGTACGAACTCGATAGCCTCTTCTATTTAGCGGTTAGTGTTGTAAATCTTCGTACTCTTGTGTGAAGCGTTAAATGATTACCAGGTACCATACGCTCCAACCTAGATCCATTCTCCCAACACGGTGACGCGGAGCTATGGGACGCGCTGCATCGATCTTGCCTGCTTGATTCTACCACCTCGAAACGGTCATCTTCCAGTAATGACGCCGGAAACGAGCAGGCTCCCACCAGCCGCTACGACCTTGACAGCACCATTGAGAGCGAGGGAGCGAACCTCAGTGTTGGAGAGAGATCCCTGCTCAGTCTAGCTCGTGCGCTGGTGAAAGATTGCAGAGTCGTTGTGCTTGATGAGGCCACGTTAGTTTGTGCTCTTCTCCTGGATGATTGATGTTGAATTTTTTCCAGAGCTTCTGTCGATCTCGATACTGATAGCAAGATCCAGCAGACTATCCAGACGGAATTCCAGGATCGCACGCTGCTTTGTATTGCCCGTACGTTTTATCTTTTGTGCTCTCAGTGCGATGCTGTAATGTGATGATATTTCAGACCGACTTCGTACTATCATTTCATATGACCGGATTCTGGTTCTTGACGCTGGCCTTGTTGCTGTAGGTTGTTTTGAATGGCTTTCAGCGGTTTAATACTGACTCTATCGAAGGAATTTGATACACCATCCAATCTTTTCAACATAGAGAGCGGACTTTTCCGTGGAATGTGCGAGAGGAGTAATATTTCGTTGAAAGATATAGAGACAAGTAGACAGGCTTAAGTGGCCAAGTTCGAGGTTAATTTCTTTTCATGCTGGCAAGGCCTGCAGCTACTATGTGGTACTTATTTCTTGTAGCGATCTTGAAGGCGATGTCGTTCTTGCTGAGGCTGAAGAGAATGCGAATTTTGTATATTCAGACTGGAAATAGAAGCATGAACACAGAATACGCATCAACCCAACAGTACTTCAAGTTCCTAAGTCGCAACACGGATCAGTCGCGGGATGGTGTCTCTGTAAATTGATGCAACTCCGATCCATCAATTGCATGATGGATTTAGCACAGAGCATCTTTGGTGCATCTTGCATCGGGTCGATATTGTGCTTGTAGTGCCGTGATTAGCCTATAACATTATAGCTCCATGATGAGGTATGGAAGAACGGGCGCGTTAGATTAGCCATTGGCGGGTGGTTCCGACTCGGAGGCGTTGCAGAGGAGTGAGAAAGGTCAGGCAGATCCCAGGCTGTGGCAATGTTGGGGAGACTAAAGTCGTGCGGTTTGTGGATGGGTGTACTTGGTAGAACTCGAAGTCCCCGACCGAGTGGTATGATCCAATAGTGATGGTGGGTGAACAGTGTATGTAATGGAGTACGTTCATATACAGGTTTCGTCATGCGTGTGGAATGTTGCCAGTGGAGAATGAGATGAGGGATAGTATGTAATAGGGAAGCGATACAACAACTGCACCAGACGAGTTTGCATGCGCAAATACTGGAGAGGTGTGTAGTGCTCCCCGGTAGCAAACAAGTTAGAGGGATTGTGTACAAAGAAACAGTAGTGAATAGCGGGCAAGTACATTTACATGGCTGCTATGGTACAAAAGGGTAAGTCTTAAAAATCGTGGAAACAACACAGGGCAGAGCAAGTACTATACCTCGAAACATCGGACACGGGTACACCGGATGACCGAACCTAAGAATCAGCAACGAGGGAAAGATTTACAGTGTTGGCACTAGCAGATAACAAAGTTGTAGCCCAGTACTAGCTAGTTAGGCTGAAAAGATGTATGGTTAACACCGTGGCTGGGTTTATGATGGCTCTTGTTTCCGATTTAACTTGAGCACTTAGGACACATCATGTAGGTGTTTACCGTGTGAGTCGAAAAGTTACGGCCCCGAACTTGTTGTTGTTTGGATTGGAGGACCTTGCCAAACAAATCACCCTTTCACTTCGGATCACGAAATCGGCGTGGCAAAGAGTGACTTGCTAGACTCAGATGTACCGCAATGACAATGTTGAAAACATTTCGCGATGTGATGATATGCAGTCCTTCTATTCAAGTTGCATTGGTCGACCCTGCGTTTCCGAGGGTGCAACCATCAAACTACCTCGCGGATTCTAATCGTGCCCATGATATTCTCGCATGGTGAGTTATTTGACCGATATCATGTCCTACTGGATGACTTTCCATAGGCAAAATAATCCAGGATAGAATATACTGGAGTCTCAAAAGCATTACCAATACCGCTGATATGTTAACCTATACTAGAATAATCCCCCGTGCATGCAGTCCAATAGATTTAGTCCAGCCCTTGATGGACCATCATGATGATCTTGCAATCCAGTACCTGCTTCTCGACGAGGATGAGGCTGAACTTCAATTCAATGATGACGAAAGAGCTCGGGTCCTAGCAGCTACTATCATTGGTGGGAGTGAGGTAGCACGACAAGACCGGATTGACACTTGGCACCCTCATCGTCTATATCTTTGCTGACCCCAACTACTTCCAAATCCTCGCATGAACACCCCATGGCAGGTACTATATGACAGCCAGAATGATCGAGCCTTTATCACCACAATGGGTGTTGATGTGCCCACCTTCTCTTCACTACTTACTGCAGGCTTTGCGCAAGCCTGGTTTGAGACACTGATTCCTTGTGATGATGTCTCTGCGCATGGAAATCCATGGATAAATCAGTGCTCCCTTGATGCTGCAGGGGCACTTGGGCTTGTGCTACACTATCTTAGCTCCACTATGCATGCTATCAGCCTACAGCAGATCTTCACTATCATCCCCAGTACCATCACTTGATACCTTCACTTTGGTCTTAAGCTTCTCCTATGCACCCTCTGCACTCTAACAGATGCCAAAATTCAATGGCTGGCAGGCTTAGACTTCGAGCACTGTAGCGCACTTGTTGTGGCCTGTCATGGGAGACTTGAAGGGGCATTTGGTAGTATTGATGGTCTCAAACTACTGGTGCAAACATTGGATGATGTTGACATTGAGAATGCAATGTTTAATGGGTGACTCTCAGAGCACTTTATCAGTTCTGTATTAGCTTTTTCAGCTGAAGGTAAGTTCGATGCAGTGTCCCGCTCTAGCCTTGATCAACAACATTACAGGGGTGATTATTGCTGCAAGGCTGAATGCCCCAGGCAGTTGGCACGACTCACATCTCGCTCATCAAATCTATGCCTCTCTTCAAAATGAAACTCCCCCTGGTTATTATATTGTCGCTGACATGGCATTCCCATGTGGCAGCAATGACATACAGGGCTGAATCTGTGCACCTCTGAAACAAGGCCAATGTGTTCAAGGCTCACTCACTGAGATTGATGAACAGATGGCATTTAATCGTGAACTGCTTTCATACCGGCAGACTGCTGAATGGGGGTTGTGTGGTCTTCAAGGTGCTTTTGGAAGATTGCGTGTACCACTTGAAATCGCCGACAAAGACTCATGGGGTGATCTCATTGAAATCTGTGTTCATTTGCACAATCTGCATGCAATCCATGTTGGCATCAATCAAATATGGACAGTGTACCTCAAACATTGGCAGGAGACACTTGATGACATTGCTTTGTGGCATGATCTCAAGAACATGTTGTTTTCAGAGCAAAGGCAGAAAGATTGTGTTACACGTTTTCATGTCACACTAGAGTATGAGTAGCTCAAGAATTTGATTAAAGAACTGGACTACGACAATGAAATAACATATGTTTATCTGTATAAGCTGTGCAAGTACCTTTAGTGAGAAAAGTGAGAAATGTATCTAAGCTGCGCAAGTGCCTTTAGTGAGAGAAGTGAGAAACGATACCTTATCGATATAAGCTGTGTGAGTGCCTTTAGTGAGAGAAGCAAGAAATGATACCTTATCTATCTAAGCTGCACGAGTGCCTTTAGTGAGAGAAATGAGAAATTACACCTCTGGTGTTTGACAGTGAGCTGACTTGCTCATTGGCAGGTCATCCACATCATCCTCCTCACTCTTGATGTCTGTATGCACTTGGGTCTGTTCCCTATTAGAACGAATGACAACAGAATTGCATGGGCGCCCTGCACCACGCAAACAGGGTCTGGATGCCCAGCAGCGGTAGGCAAAGCAAGGAGAAGGAGTGGTATTGAAAGGAGGAGGAGTAGGATGCATATATTGAGGAGATGTTGGAGGATGGTCTGAAGCATCTGATGCTGGGGTCTCTGGATCACTGTGCCAGATGACACTTTGACCTCCGTCAGGGTAATAAGTATAGTCCACGTATTTTGGTTTTAGTTTGCACTGGTGACAAGATTTGGGAGCAGCTTGGTTGGGAGTAGGCTGGTGAACTTGTGCCATCTCCAGGTGAAGCTAGGTAAGGTCATGCTCACATTCAGTAGTGTAGAGTCTGGTTTGTAGGTTGAACAGTTGGGTCCATAATTTCTTGGTGACAGCATTTGCATCGTGCAGCTGCTGTCCCTGGGTAAGCAACTGTGTGTTTGCAAGAGTCCTGGTAGCACAATCCTCGTCTTGAGCTTGCTGAACAGCAGGGTCAAAGGCCCTGCTAATGCGAGAAAGCAGCTCTGAGGCTGCTGCACCTCGGCAGTGTGCCACAGGTGCATCTGTCCAAGTGGCATGGGTGACTGCAGTGTGCTCGAGGGGGGACATACTTCACACCTTGACAGGTGGGTCATTACAATTCAACTTGTCATCCTGGGCATCATAGTCTGAGTCATTTAGATCACGTGTGCCAGCACGCTCATTGATGTGCACATCAAGCTCATGGGCTCGAGTCACATCAGGAGGACACACTCCGTCACCAGTGGGCTTTGTAGTCTTCACGAACTGAGGTTGCAAGGTGAGACATTAAGATGCCATTGTAGAATGAACTAGAACTTACTTGTTTGAATTTGGTTTTGAGTGACTGGGCTTTATGGTGAGGGTGTTCATGGTGGCTTGCCCACTGCATGAACTTCAAGTGGATTGCTTGCCACCCTTTCTGGCCCAGAGGCAGCTCGTCTTCAACAAAGTCCAGGAGGGCCTTGACATCCACTGAGCTGTAATTGTTGGAACCATGTGGGTGGCCACATTTGGCCCTTGGATCATCTTCATCATCCTCGAGGGCACATGCATGCTTTTGAGGGCAGTCACCTCCATTCATGTTAGTATTCTCCTTATCTTTACCCTTGCCTTTGGTAGCTTTGGTCACAGTCTTGTGACGCGCCCCACCAGCTTTGATAGCAGGCATGTATCCACAAGATTCAGCAATCATCAAGGGGTCACAAAGGTCTCAGTCTGGTGAATCCAGGAGTGGGATATGAACTGGGTCCTGGTATGCGCTAGACAGCACAAGGTGGGACCCAGGTGGTGAGGGTGGTGGTGACAAGTGAGGTTGGGAGAAGTTGGCTGGAGTCGTAAGTCCATACATCAAGGGCGCAGCTGCATGTTGCTACAAGGTGATAAGTACATGTTGTTGAAGATCAGAGAATGATGAAGACTCATGCCATATGCCTGGGAGTCTTCAGAACACAGCACTTGAGTGACAGCCTGTGCGATCCCAGGATGGGGCCACCAATGACCCAAGTGGTCATGTGCATATGCATTCCCTGCATTATCATAGCACAACTTGGGAATCGACTGGCTATGAGGGACAATCATACATTGGGAGGGGGTAATGTCAGACATTGGAGGGACTGAAAGTTTGGGTACTTACCTTGTGGCTACCAGTACACAAGCTTTATATGTTTCAAGTGTTTGTTCCGCCAGATGCAAGGGGTAGGGATATTCATAGTATAAAAAAAAG